ACTGTATAATTAACAAACAATATATTGAAACTAATGTACCATAATAATATGGCAAAATAATGTTTCAATTGCTAATAAATAATAAAATAATGCCTATTTTAGATAATAGATAATGATTTAAATAATGAGATTATTATGTTTTATTAACTACCACAATTAACTTTATTCAACAATAAAAACACAAAAAATTTAAAATGGACATTAAAATATACAAAATATAGTAGTATTAAATTCTGAAATAAAATTAAGAGCCAGCAAAAAAAAATAANAATACTTAAATAAAATAAATAGAAGAAGAAATACAAAGACAAATTGTCGTTAAATGTTTCGGAATTTGCCATCTGGAACGTATTGTCAGCTTTGTTGATGAATAATCTTCATGTTTTGTCCCTGAATATGAGTGATGGAGGTTAATGATTGATATGTGAAAAACATACCGAAAATAACTCGTTCTGGGTTTTAAAAAATATGAGTTATAACTGTAATGTTTTATAAATTCGTTGTAAAAAAAAAAAAACGTTAAGGTAATGGCTTTGTCCGTCTGTAGGTGATTTTTACAAATTGTAATCGTTACTGTAGAGCTTTTTCTGGCTGATAAAATGATAAATTTTTGTAAGTGTATTTAATTGATAAATAAAAAGGAAACGAGTTAAAGAGAAAAATCTGGCAGATGTTTTTTAATTCCGTTCTAAGGAAATAAAGATTTCCTGTTTGTGCCATGAAGTAAATTTCGATTTTTTTTTTTTCCTTTTCTTTTTAAGATTTTCTGGTGTATTCTTGATCTTTTGAGTTTTTAAAAATTAAATTATAAATTGTTACGTATTAGAAAATTTAAATAATTGATCAGTATTTCTGGCATTCGAAATATTTTTTCGGTAGAGCCGTTCGAAAATGTAAAATTAGAAAGAGTTTATTATTATACTGGCGACGTTCTTCGTTTGACCAAAGTTGGATGGGAGATTGACATTTGCTTTCTTCTTCTAATTCTGTCTGTCTTCATTGTATATTTATCTTTCAAAATACTCTTTTTGTAATGGTTTCGGCCTCTAACAGTGCGTACTTCAGTGCGATAAATAAATAAATAAATGCCACTAAATGCAATATTTTTTTCATGTATATAGTCTGATAACGTCAATTTAAAAGAAAAATAAATCAATTTAATTTAAAATTTATACTTACGCCAGCTTTATTTTAAATTGTAACAAGAAAAAACAATTGTTCCTTACCTGTATCAGACGCCATGACAGTTTACTGTGAGAAGAAAACAGATACTTTGTTTGTAAGTTAAATAAATTTATGATATAAAAATAAACTTATCGTATTTTTTAATAATATTATCCTATTTAAAAAAAGGAAATGGTTATCATTAAACAATATTGTCAAAATACTTTCATTTTTATATTATGGAGACTACAATGTTATTCTTCCGTTTTCTCTCTTTTTGCACGTATAATTGAAAATTTTATTCATGTTTATTATTAATATTATATTATACAGAAATCTATTTATTATAATGTACAGTACGTGTATATACATCGAGCCTACACACACGTATACAGCACAGTTCAAAGCTTTCTGGAAATGACTGTTAATAGAGACTGTTAATAGNACTAATACTTAATCGAAACAAATTTCACTAAATCATATTTATAAATAAAGAAACTTTGATTTCTATAACTAAATATTTACTGTAGATAGTTTAGGCTTTAGGACAATAAAATTATTATGGTACAGTACCAAATTTCTCATATTATTTTATGATAAGCATTTAGATGTTTAAATATTTAAAAATCTGAATATATTCTGTACCAGTACTTTATTTATTTTGATTATATATGTTATAAAGGTATATATTTGTAATTAATATTGTAATTTACATAAATACTATGCTGTATACATTTTTATATAAATCTGATTAGATTAGATTGAGAGTATACTCTAATTATACACTATCCTTTTTATAGTTATTATAATTAGAATAATACTATTAATAATTATAATAAATTAATAAATAAACAAGGCAAATATTTTTTGTGGCATCTTTACAATGCCAGGCTGCAATTTTAATCATATTTTTAATTTATTTAAATATATGCCTTCCTCCTCAAATTATTAGTAGTGACTTGCCTCTGTATATCATACTTTTCCTTTAACACTAGAGTTGTGCCAGTCGTCTATTAACTACTTTCAGGGGAAAAGATTTGAATTGAAATAACCTGACTTCCAGTTTATATCAGAAGTTGCATATAGTTAATCCTACCCACAGACGGATAAGTAAATTCCCACAGACGGATGGACTGTCGTCCATCCGTCTGTGGGAATTTATATGTATGCATTTTTTCAAATTGCGGCCCAATTAAATATTTTTTTGTAATATCCTATTTACTGATAAAATGCTACCTTATATTTTATCAAAAATAAAATTCAACTTCTTAATATGACATTTATTTAACGTTTTTTTGTATTATGAAATTAAATGTTAAACTTTTTGGATTTTTATAAAAAATCTACTGATATTAGTTAATTTTTGTAATTTATTATGTAACTGATTTTATATCTTAGAATCAAAAGAATGATGCAAGTTGTAGAAATTATATTTAAAATTCATTTTATTTTTATCATTTTATTTAATCCTACATTTAAAAAGTATTTGACATAATCAAGGTAGTTGAGAGGATGGAGCTGGGGATTTTTCTGAGAGTGGAGTGGAAAAATTGTAAATTTTGATTCGAATTTCGATTTTTGTTTTTCCTATATTTAAAGTTATTTGAATGAGTATTTGAAAGGGATTCTATACATCAATATGTGTTACTTAAACAATAATTTGTTTCCAGTTCGAGAAATTACAGGACGAAGTAAACAAGCTTGTATTCATTATAAAAGATTATTATTGCACTTATAACCTTGTCGTTTGGCTTCCCAGTTCGTGCTTTTATGAATGAAGTCTTGCCTATTGATTTCTACAAGAAACATACTTTACAGTTTAATGGATTCTCTGTAGTTTCATAATAAAGTACTTTTCCGATTGGTGTCTATGTTTGGTTTAATTCGTCTCGAACCAAGGTCAAATTACATTTTCTACAGGAAACGAAAGTCTGTGCTTTTATTTTTAACGTTGCCCAATTAGATTTACTTGTAAAAGCCGAAATTTGATTCAATTTTCTAATAAAACTGAGTGATTTAATAGTTTTTTTAAAGTAAAACCTTACATAACTTTGTTTTACTGAATGGCAAAATGATATATCTCTTCCTTTCCGATTAACCAATCAGTTTTTGTAACTTTAGAATATGTATCATTAGTTTCATGAATAGTTTTCTAATATGAAACTAATCGTGACTAAAGTAATTATAAATAAGTCCTGATTAAACTGTAATTCTATACTTGATTCAAACTTTTCTGTTTCCTTCGATAAAATGAACCCATCAACTTTGTTTTGGAAATTCAAGATTTTTATTTAATAAAATATAAATTGATATATACTGTTATAAATAAAACCATATGAAACATTGTTTTACAGAGAAGCATAAAAATATCTCTTGANAAAATAATAATAATAAAAATTGTCCATTAAGGGGCAAAAGAAGTCTGCTGTAAATTTAAACCCTACAACTTGTCAACAGACCTAGGCATAATCATCATTTTATTACTACTGATATATGTGATTTGACAATGATACAGATCCCACTAAGATGCAATATACAATAAGTGACATAATGCAGCATTTCAAATATTCAAATATTTCCAAAATTAAAAATTGTTTTCTAAGTTGAAACATTCTCAAATATAGATGCAATTTGAGAACATATAAGTTATACTTCTTTATCTGTTAATATTAGATTGGAAACAATTTGTAATACTGTAGGACATTTTGCATCACAAAGGAATAACAGACTATAAAGGTAATTTATTACAGCTGAAAATATAAATCATTGATTATCTGTTTGGAAAGTTGTCTTAGAGAATATACTGTAACTGCAAAACTTATCTATTGGCTTCCACAGCATTTAAACACTTTGTCATAGTCAACACTAAACAAAACAGCTTTGGTAATGCTAACATAATAATATATTAGTATTAACAAAGATTAATGGCAAAATGAAAATACACGTTTGCCTGTGATGTAATTTTTCAAGCAGAAAACAAATGATATGTGTGGAAATATTTAGCAGGGTCAACACAGTGTATTATATTTTTGATTATGTAACTTATAGTCTGAATTTATTCTTATTGAATCTGTATCAAACTACCAATTACACTTAACAGATACATGAAATAAATTTATAAATAGTTTACTTGTATAATACAAGTAATACGTGTTGTATTTAAACAAATTTACAAAACGAGTCTTCCTGTGTCTTCCAGAAGTTTTCATACGAAGAATATCTTCAAAAAATTTCATAAACATAGAATTACGCTAGAACCATTAATTATCTAGCATAATCTCACTTAATAACATTATATATTAGTATTATAGATGCAAATAAAGTTTAACGTAATGGCAAAATGAAAATACATGTTAACCTGCTGAAATGCATAATTTTTTGCAATTATATATGTAAATAATATAGGAAAAAACAATAAAAGTTTTCTGAGTAATAGTGAAATTAATTGATGCTGTTCTTATTGCATTATCATTATATTATTATTATATGAGTGAGGAGCATCATTCCAAATGGCATCTTATCCACCTTTTTTTAAATTGTTGGACCATCTGTGCTATCCAATTACTAATGTAAGGAATTAAAATGTTTCTATCATTAGAAAACAAGCTTATAGAATTCTACACATTATCAAGTTTAAAGTTTTAAAAATTTTTATTGAATACTGAAAATTATTATACTTTAAAGGAACGTGTCACAAGTAGTAAATTACATCATTGATAAATACAAGACGAAAAAAGTAATTTTTTGTAAAGTTTCTGTTATTGAATTTTATATTTTTAATTTAATTTACTAATTTAAAAGAATTCAATGTTTATAATGCGTCTAAACTTTTACAGAAATGAAAGAATTATTATGCGAAATGAGAGAATTAGTAAGCAGTCTCCGAAATCATCGACAAGGTCAACAACAGCAGCAACAACAGCAACAGCAGTCATCGCAGATAAATCAAAACTTAATACCAATCAGTACTACTTGGCCGATATCTAATTTCCCGACTCGTAAGCAGACTGAACTCGAAAGATCCATGCAAAATGAGGTAATTTTCTGTTATAAAATCACAAGAAATAAGGATGAATTTGAAAATTACAAATTAAAATGGTCGAAAATATGATTATGATAATGATGATTTATATTATCAAATTTTCAATAATTGAAATTTAGTACTAAATTTGAAATGAAAAAATCAATTTTTATTTCAAAATTTGTTTTACATTTTACTTTCGGTGGTCAATCTGAACTTGTTAATAAAAGATATAGCTGAATTGCATTTTCCAAACGCTAAGATGAGAAGATCGTTCATATTAGTGTTTCTCAAACGGGATTCCGGGATCCCGGTTGTTTTTTTAACCCGGAAAATATCCCGGGAAATTTTTCTTATCCCGGGAAATCCCGCAAATTTCTTAAAAATTCACTTTTTTTCTTATTTTGTGTTAAGGTTAAGAAATTTTGCAAATAAAAAGCATAATTAACTCATTCACTGTCAGAATACATTTGTATTTATTAATTTTAAACCTACCTATTAGTTTTTTTTAAATTTTTGCTCGTTATAGCATGTCACAAATGGTCAATAATCAATATATAGCTTATTTGTGGCAGGACTATAAAAATTCTTTACTTGTCGGAACCTGTAATATCTGGAATAATTGTGCTTACGCTGTCTTGAGTTTTAACCATGCCCAGTAGCTTCAATAAATGCCTGACGCCAGATTGTGCAAATTGGGCAAGGATACAAACGAGTACAAAGTCTGCAAGTATGAAGTTTTTCTTCATAAACCTGATTATTAAAGCCAAATGAATTGCCGAATTATCGAGCTCTAAGCTTGATGCCGCTATTAAAGCAGCCAAGGTAGACAAATCAAGAATACTAGAGAGCGAAAGAAGTACTACAATCTCGAAAACGAACTCGAAATCTTCCAGGCTACAGGTGAAAAAACACATAATATCTGTCTTCTCTTAAATGCATTAAACACTATTCCAATCACATCAATTGAATCGGAAAGGGCATTCTCGGTGGCAAGACTTTTCATTACTAAAATAAGAATTAGAGTGAGTGATCGGAGTATTGATCATCTTTGCTTTTTAAAATCTTATAAAAGTTTACAATATTTTGTATTATATTTTATTTAAAAAACGAAAATTACCTTCTAAGTTATAAGTTTGATCTAAGTTCAATTTTTAATTTTTAACTCAATTCAAAGCATTTTTTGTTGTTGTTGTTATATGCATTTTCTAGCAAACTTTAATAATTTTTTTCTATTTGTGAAAATTTCTATGTAATTCAAAGGTAATTTTTATTATATATCTTACACAGCATTATTAATATGATTTTGGATGATACAGAACTTTAAAATTACTTTAAAAAATGAAAAATAATTATATCATTTAATTTCAAGATATTTTGTATACCTTAAAAATAATTGATTCTATCCCGGGATTTCCCGGGATCAGGGGAAACAGTTCACTTTTATCCCGGAATCCCGGGACAAGCAAAAGACCGGGAAATGAGAAACCCTAGTTCATATATTATGCTGCACAATTTCACTAATGCAATTATTATTATTGCACTCTGCTTGAAAGACTTAAACCTGAGACATTAGATTCAATCAGAAATGTTTTCCCTATTATTATAGATGCCTTTAATTCTAAGGATGTTCGAGGATTTTTTTAAAACGGCATGTAAATGTTACGTAGTGTTTTGTATAGCATTTATTTATTTATTGCATGTACAAAAGGAAATGTCATAAGACAATTGATATCCTCCACCGAAAATAACGTCTGTAACAAAAGAATAAAATACAAATAAAAAAGGATAACAATCAAAATACGTAATAAAAAATAGACATAAATAAAAACAAATGATTATATAATACTGTATAAAGTAACCGTTAACAAATGTGTTGTAACTAATGGAAGTATTTGCATAAAAGTAAATGGTCAAAATATTTAATATGTTCATTAAAACTGGTAATTCCCTATCTGGGCCCAGCAACATTAGCATTAGGGGTAAAATTTATGTATAGTACAGTTATTTAAATTTTGATTTGTTGGATGAATGAAACACTTTGTGAGATGTTGCACTCCCCTTTTATTCTCAGTTTTTAAGTGATTCTTTTATTTTCAACTTAATTTTTTCATAATTATATTTTAACTTAAACTATTAATTATTCATGTAATTAATTAACTAATTAACTATTAATTAACTAATATATGATTAGTTGCTAAATAGTTTAATAAATAAATCCATTGCCTTGTCATTATTTAAATAAAATTATTTTTATTCACTATTATGGTTGATTTGTGTATAAATGTTAGTTGCTGACGTTATGTTGTAATTTCTCCTCATCGATTATATTAGCCACATTCTGAGATTTCAATCGTGACTCATCTTTAGAAAGATATAACTACTATAATCGAAATTAACGTTATCAGCTATTTCATTTTCATTCAGACAATTCAGTAATTATTTGATTGATAAGGTTTAATAAACTTACTAAGGTTTTATTCAAGTTTAATTCTAAAGAACTGATTCTTGCTTACTTTTTAACGTAAAAGTATTGAAATATATAATCCTACTTGTGCATTTTGATTATTAATTGAATCAATTAACACAAATTTTAAAACTTTTTATTCCAACATTCTATATTATGTAATATGTTTACATAAATCAATCAAGTACTTATGGTTTATTTGATTTTTTCTTTTCATGCTTTCATAGCCATCAGCATTTACACCAGAAAAAGAATTGAGCCACGATCTATGCGAATTGTTAAATATAACTCCAGACGTATTCAAACGTCTGGAAGCATTTCCCACGCCTAAAAGATATACAGCCGAACTTATGGTCGAAGTATTTGGAAGAGAAATGTTAGCAACACATTCCCTCATCGGTGCTAAACGTCCAGATGGAACATCTAAACCTTCACTGGATAGAATGAAAATAAAGTTGATAATTGGTATGTTTATTTGGAATTTTCGTTAATATTAGGAGTACACTCTATGTTTACTATATAGCTTTTATCTAATATAATGTTATGAAAACAATAAATAAATAAAAATCGATATAAACTCCTGCTTATAACTATAAGGAGATCACTATTTGTGTTTTTTTCTATTGATTAAACGAATGGAACGTGAGAGTTCTGACGTAATATTTCACTTTATTGTCACAATATTTAGTGTACAACAATTCATAAAAAAGTACAGTATCATTTTTAAGACATCCATTTGTAAAGACAAGCAGATGCAATTCATTTTTCTCAGTTAGATACAGTATTTGCGCACTCCAATGTAATTTGCATAGATTGGATATATACAGTTGACCCCCCCTATAACACTGTTGATAATTCATGGAATTCATATAAAACGGAATTATCAACAGTGTTATAGGGGTCTACTTACAGGAATCTGACTAGCTAGAGCAAAATGCCTTGTGTCAATTTGCAGAAAATAAAATTCGGAACACTTGGGAACTTTATGAACCAGGAAAATCAATTCGCACCATTGCTCAACAGAGTCAAAGGAGTAGTTTAAAATGTACTACAAAGAAGAACAGACGGAACTATCAAGGAACTATCTAGTTAGTTCCTAAGGACTTCAGATCTAAGACTGACAAACAACGACAAGATGTCTTCTAGCGAAATTTCTGCCATAATGTCAACACCTGTTTCTCGTCAGACTATTTCCCATATTCCCTATCAATCTGCATACGCAACATACGTAAAATTGAAGGCACTAACTCATAAAGAACAATGAAGAACTACCATTTTCAAATGGATGGAAGACACATTAATTGGGAAAATATATTGTCTCCTGATGAAAAACGTTTCAACTTAGGTGCCCCTGATGGCGTACATTCCTAGTGGAATGATTTATGGAAAGATCCAAACGTTCAAATGAGTAGACAGTAACATGGGAATAATGATGGCATGGGATGCAGGAAGAAAAATTGATTTAGTAGTACAGTACTTCCTATAACAATGAATCCAGAGAAATACATAGAAGTATATGTGTAATTATGTGTTTTTGGATGGCTTCTAGATGGAGATCATTTTATTTTTTAGAAAGCGATCAAAAAACGGATGGCAGAAACATGCATTCAGTTTCTGAATTGCCCTACAAAAAACGCCAGACCCAAAAATACACCATGGAAAACGTCTGGGAAAAAATGGCTTGAACAGTATACAACAAAGGCAGATAGTTTTCACTCCTTAATTAAATGATGCAATGTAAAATGCTTGGAAAGTATTTGCCATAGTACTTTGTGAAACTAGTTCGAAGCATACCAAAATCATTAGCTGAGTGTGTCGAAAAAAAGTGGCCCTACAAGATGTCGATGTAATAAAAAATAAAGTTGTATCTACACTTCCTTTTAATTTTGAACATGTCATAAAATTAAATTTTGATACTTTTTACATTCTATTGTATACTCTGTAAATATTATGACATTAAAGTAAAATGTCGCTTTTGTAGAATTCTCACGTTTTATTTATTTAAGTGTATTTTAGCTATAGTAAAATAAAGAAGAAAAAATACTATCTAAACTGAACCCGCGACCTCATCAAGGGTTGTGAGGTTACCTGACCAATAAGTTGGCACATGGAGTTTTACACGTTTTCATCACTTGTCTGACACCAAAATAAAGGCTAGCTTTTCATTGAAAATCCTCCCTTTCTCATATCGCACACATTTTACGTTACTGTATCCTATCAAACATTATTACGAAGTAGAACTTAATATCTTATACTTTTTAAATATATGTTAAAACTGCTATAATCTATTTTTCGAAAATTCAATCATAACGTTTCGAAGAATTTTGATAGCAGAAGGATATAAATGATATATTTTTAAAGCAAATTTGGCTAGAATATTCAAACCTACATATATTATATTAAGAAATAAATTATCGATCATCATTTGATAAATTTTATTTTTATTTTTCAGATCATGTTGCCAATAAATTCCAAATCCCTCCTAGTAGTGTGAGAGAGGCCATAAGATCAAAATTAAATAATGAGGACAAATGTTTTAAGAAAAGGCTTCAGGAAATGAGAGACTGTTATACCGAGATGATCGATTGAGACAAAAATCAAATTCTGTATTTCGTATAAAGTAGAAATATTTAACAAACTATGCAGATGAATAAAATAATAATATTCAATTGGCTGATTGCTATAAGAATTTTACTTATTAAAACAAGATTATTTCATCAAACTCCTTGACCAAGTCCTGGAACCAACTCCAAAATAAATTATAAATACAGGTAACCCCCGTATAACACGGCACTTCTATAGCACGGATTCACTCTAACACGGTTCGAGAATTGGTACCATCCCCCGTATAACACGGCACTTCTATAGCACGGATTCACTCTAACACGGTTCGAGAATTGGAAACATCCCCCGTATAGAACAGGTTCACTCTAACACTGTTCGGGAATTGGCTCGTACAACATAAAATGTAATAAAGGGTGCGTTCTTTTATACCTCCGCGTAACTCCGCGCTATCATTCTAATTGTTTTCGTGGCTACTTTGAATGCTCTTTCAACAAATAATCCATTTAATGGTTAAATTTTACAATTGGCGCCGCCATCTTTCTTTCACCCGTCGTTCCTAAATGCCTACAAACAGCAGCGCACTCCCGTTGCAGAGCGACCGCTATTAACGAACACACCCGAAAACTGTTACCAATTGATGATGCTCATGCTGAGATCATCATATAAAATGAATAATCCTCTGGTAAAATATTTACTTAAATAATAAATAAGTATTTTACCCATGAAAAAAATTAATAATAAATCCGATTTAAATAAGGATTTAACAGCATGTTTTTAATTTTTGGAACCTAATCCTCCTTTTCGCACTACTACTTTGTTTCGTATAACATGGATTCGTATAACATGGCAATTTTCTGGAACGTAACTCCCGTGTTATACGGGGGTTACCTGTAGTAATATCATTATTAAATACGGCGCATTTTACTATTTGTGTAGTTTTTTCCTTTTCTTCTTCATTCTATTCTTTCATATTTTTCTATAAATATATTAAATTTAATAATTTTATTTTGTTTAATCTAAAAATCATTATCAATCTGACAACAAGCACGATTTCGTACTTTATAAACAAAGTAATATTTTTTTTCTATGCAGAGTGATGAAAACCAATATAGAATATAGTCAGCGCTTATGACTTGCCATAAATTTATAATTACTTATCTTTTTAACGAAAATAATTTATTATTATGATAAATAAATTGCAGGAAACTTGATTTATTTTTCAATATATCAAGTTGATACTTTAAAACAAGCAAGAACGATGACAGAGGCAATTAGGGGTACTCTGGAGGATCCGGGCAAGCAACTCCGGATCTGTCCTGGATATGTAGGGCTCCGTCAGAGTTTCATAAGGGAAAAAGAGTAATTTCCTAAGGACCCCACCAACGGATGGTTCCAAACAAATCTCTTATAAACTAATTACTGTAGTAAGAATATCGAAATTTAAATTGGAACCATATTTGGAGACTATATTGGTGTGGTGCAAGCGCATGGTGCAGTGGCGCAATGCAGAACTTGACCCGCTTTAGGTCGCATTAGAAAACGAAGATATCGAGAAATTTCCCAGAAGAAAATTGAAGTCCCTCTAATTCAAATTTGCCTGGCTCCAATAAAGTTTTAACGCGCCATTCCTGTTGTCAGCTTAACCAAAATGAGTAAAGATTATAACTTTTCCTATAACTTAGTCGACTTTACACATACTTCGGTTAATTTTCTTTCCTTCTTCTAATCCATATCAATAAACTCAATTATCAAACGCTGTATAAATAATATCGTATTAAAAATAGTAACAATTTATCAGCAAGCAGAATTCGTCAATTACATTTTAAAATTTGATGTGTTCGAAATGTTCGTATCTTAAGCATATTTCGAACAAGTTTTAATAATGAAACATAACTTTTTAACGTGTAAATAAAATTGTTTCATGACTGAGTATTTACACAACTTTCTTAATTATTAAATAATTAATTAGCTGGAATCTTATTTAACGTAAATTAATTTAAACAAATACTAAATCAGTTTGTAAAAAGGTTAAAAGACAGACATCATTTACACATGCATCATCCGATTTTAAGACCGAAAAATCTTTACACAAAGAGAAATAATATTGGGCGAAATCCTAAGAATTTGATTTATTTCGAGCAACGATCGAAAATGGACGAAAAAGATATTAATTCAAACAAATTTCGGGCGTTTATCGGAGCTGGTCAAGCCTGGAGACGTAGAATTTAAAAATATCGTCTTTTACCTCTCCACGGCGGACATTCTGCACCATGTAAATGCAGAAGATAATTTATTTATCAAATTAAAAAAAAATAATTATAAATTAATTAATTAAAAAAAATTTTAAAAATTGATTTTTTTTAAAAATTCTAATTTTTACGAAATTCAAACATTGTTGACGCGTTTTTTAACGTTTGTTCGAAATACGTCACACATGACGAATCACAGTTCGATTGTGTTTCTCGTTGTGATCGGACGTGCTTTTCTTTCGCTCTTCGATTGCGTTTTTTGCGGTTTAAAGACTTTTACAGAGAAGTTTGAAGATTTTTTAGTCAAGTCTTAGTCCGTATTGATCCTAGACGTAAGAATTTATTTAATATTACTTGGAGAATCGGTTCCAGAAGACATCTCGGCACATCGTTCGATGGTCGACCGTTTGCGCTTCGGATTCGAATCTTTTAGATTTAAAAAGGCGGCTGCGGTGAGCAGTTTGCTTTTACTCGGAAGAATTTAAGCATTAATTTAAGCTTTTGTTTTCACTGGACTAATTGCAAATTTTCTTTTTTTACAGGATGAAGATGTTGGTGCGTTGTTGGAGGCGGTTCCGGCGGAGGCAGGCGGTGGCGCCGGAGGGAGAGGGTTCCTCGGACGACGCGGAACGAGTCTGTCGTTCCGTGCCGTTGGAGGAGCGGGGGCTCGACGAGCGACAGGCAGCGGGTGAAGAAGACCTTCGCCAAGTGCGCGTGGCGTGGCATCCTCCCGGAGTCGGGATGATGCGACGCTACACCCTGGGTCCAGTGCGCTTGGCCGAGGTCTTCGGGGGTCATCCGGCCACAGACCTTGCTGTGGAGGATGTCGAAAGTGACAGCTCGTCCGAGCTGACACTTTCTGTTTGGTCGTGTTCTGCCCGTTCGTCCGCGACGGCGACGCCACCGCCTTGCCGAAGTCGGGACGGGGAGGAGTCGGAGGAGAGAGCCCCCGAAGTCGAGGGACCGTGCTGTCCGTGGTTTTTTTGCTGCGGACGGCTGCGGTTGCCTTGGCCTAGGCGGTGATCTTCTTCGACTTCCTCTTCTTCACCCGGATGCGACTTTCTTACCGGATTCGACACTTTTCACCCGGACATGACATCTTTTAACGGACGTGACCTCTTTTACCCGGACGTGACCCACGGACTTGACACGTTTCTTCACCGGACGCGACATTCGGCCGACCTTTCTTCCCAAACAGCTGTTATGAGGATTGAGCTTCCGGTTAGGGTTCGTTAGGTTAGCCTAGGCTAGGCCGGGTCCTTCGCTCTTCTCATAACACTGTTCGGGAAGAAAGACTGTCTGATAAAGGTAATAATCTTGACCTTAGGTAATAAATGAATAAACTTCTCGTTTTCTCACTGTCTTTGTGTTTTGTAGGAACACTTGGGAGGGAGAACAATCTCCCTCCCCAACTTTACCACGAAAAGGACCAAGTGACCATTTATCGTACAAGTGAATATTTTCCGATGGTAAGAACTCTTTCGTTTCACTTTTTAACACATCTTATTCTCGTATGGTAATTTACTGTTTTCTGTTTATAGACATGCCGAAGATATTCTTCGATCACACACATACACACACATACGCACGGACATAACACCACTGTACACGAAGATATACACCGTTTAACCTTTACTCGAATTCTCGCACTCATGCACTTAACGTCAAGCGCCTCGTTCTGTGTAATTCCACACAATGAAACAACCCGAACACTCGCTTCCCACAAATCCAACCCCTGGGTCCTCGTCCCGGGAAGTGGAAACGCCAATTTTAAAGATGAAAACACTTTAAATTGGCGGCCGAAGGGGCTCTTGTAATCACACATCTTGCATCGATTAAATGCAATTTCAGACATTAGCATCAATAATCGGTTGGTGATGAATTGGGAAGGAGAAGAATCCTGTACCAAGTATTAAACATTGTTTTTCCCACTGTGTTTTGTTTTTGTGGCTTTTTTTAAATCGTGGTCTCAAACTTTTTCAGGCAAATTGCAAGGAATAATTTGTTGTATATGAATTTTTTTTTGAAGTACGAAAATAAATTTTTACTTCATATTTGTTTATGGTTATTTTAATACTTAAACAACAACATATTTACAGGATATCAGTTAATTTTAATGGGAAGTTTGAAAACCAGATGGTTTCAAACTTTTTTCCAGGATTGCATATATAAAAGCATTTTAACTTGAATTTAACAAAAAGTTTACTACTTTAGCATGCATAAATCGTTTAAAAAACGCGGAGAAATGAGAACGTATACAGCGAAGTTCACCAGAATTGTTCACTAAGTGATAGCTGCGAGGAATAGGTAGTCAACCTTCTACCGTGTTAACCCTCTGAACACCTGAAATTTCCCTAAAATTAACAGAGTTTTGCCTTAATAGCGTTGCTCCACATATCAAAAAAAAAGTATCAGTATTTCGACAATCCAGAGAAAAACAGATTTTCACGTTAAGACGTAGACGCTAGGGCACAGCTGTGGTTTTCTGTGTTAGCACTGTTTGTTAGGACTGGTGTTTTAGGACTAACACAGTTTGAGTTAAAGCCAAGGTTTAGCAAAAGCATCGTTTGATAACAATTGTATATTCATGTAATAAACGGTCATATCTGTATTATGTATATCCAGCAGGTGTGCAGCTTTATGCCTTTTAAGTGTCATGGCGGAAGCGCGTTCAATTCGCTTCAAAGATGGCGGCCCGGTTCGGGGTCTGGTTGTTATATGTCGTTGGAAATACCCATACAGAATGGCAAAACACGACTATTAAATTTAGGAATAATTTTGTCTGACGAAGATAGGCAACTCTAGGGTTTCGTTTTATTTTTAAATTAGATACTTATTTTTATCACTGGAAAGTTTTACGGATAACAAAATTAAAGTTAAAATAAAAATATTTGTTTAAGCAGGTCGTATTTTTCGGTCGAGTGCCGAGCATGCAGTCAATTATCGAGCATTGTATTTTTTTTTTTTTTTTCGTGCATTCGAATATCGAATTATTCGAGTTTGGAGTTGTTCGTGCACTGAGGCACCACTGTATATATTTCTAGCGCTGATATTTTAAATTAAGAATAATTTTGTAAAGGTCGCTTTTCATAAAACCTTTCTCCTGTTATCACGTTTCCTTTTAATGATAAATTTTTTAGTACTTTAATTAAATTGGTTTAATTAACTCCAAGCATGAAGTTTCTGCTGCTTATAACTGTAATTATTTTTGTATTAATTCATATTTCGTATGAAGAAACTACGGATGAATTTTGCTGTAAGTAGGATGGATCATGATGATGATAATTTTTAGCTACAAAACGAGCAATTATTTATTGTGACATCGTCACAATGCCGGGCTGCAATTTTTAATCATATTTTTAATTAATTTAATTCAAAATATATGCTCTTCACCTTAAATTAGTAGTGGCTTGCCCCTGTACAGTACATCATACGTTTCCTTTAACAATAGAGTCGTCTGTCTAACACCTTTCGGCGGAAAAGTTTTGAATTGACGTAAAGTGACATTCGGAAGTTGTTATATAGTTAATCGGGCCTCCTGCCCTTAAGGTTTCCATATCTTGTCTCTGATTTCATCTGCCTAACTCTTTTCTAAAGACGGACGACAGTGGGAATTTATAGGTTATAAAAAAATGAAACAATTAATACTTTTCCCAATTTAACACATAATATGAGAGAACATGTCTACAATTATGGTATTCTTCAAGCACATTTCCACAATTAAAGGCCGTTGGAATGTATTGCAATTACCATTGCTTTGGTTTTCTTTCTTTTTTTGAAAAAACTATATTTTTAACTATACAAAGTATAGTTAAAAATATAGTTCATATATAGGCATACTAGTTCTATACGTTCTCAGCCAAACATTTTATTATTTTCTTTTTTATTTGCATATTGCTTTTGGAAACAGTGGTACCGCAAATATAACCAAGTAATTTTTATCATTTACGTGATTTTAAATAACTGAATCGGAAGGCAAGCCCATTGTACACCTATGTAACTTACTGTGTATTTGCATTTTAATTGTGCCACTATAATGTTGAATTATGTCAGTTTTTTATAGATGACGTCATCGTTTCGTTTCATCATTGCTTATAACATCAAAGTTGACGGCAATTTTTCCTCTGCAGTGATTTTGCTAAATTGTACGATAATAGGCCTACAGTAACATATAAGTGGACTATCTATTTTCATGCCGTCCTTATCCCGAACAGTTTGTAGATATCTATCCTTTCCGAATGTTCTATCATAACACAACACAAGGCCCTCTGTTCTATCTATAAGGAGATAGTCCAATGTAGTAAGCACAGAATTCTAAGGAGTGGGGATATTGTAGGATTTTAGAAGAACCCTACAATTTCCTCACTTCTTAGAAATGAAATAGACGCCGTCGAGAGAAAATAGTGCCTCGGCCGAAACAACTTGAAGCCTTTGGAAGAAGGACGGTAACTTCAAGGAGACAGACTTTATTTTGTCAGGTTGGAGAGCGTATAAAAAGTTATAAGTAAAGGTTTCTTTTTCCAATAGCGAGACTAATAATATTTATCACGTCGTTCTTAAAAACAGGTACGGTCATTTCGTATATCATCGAGTTTTTTAAGTCATCTCTTTCGCCGAAAGTCACACTTTATAAGCGATAATTACTGGCATAATTGGTCACCGAGCTCAGCATGTCTCGAAGATAACGAGTTCAACGAATTGTTTTCCTAAGCGAACACAACGATGATGTCACTGTATATTCATTAATTAATTAACCCTCGATGACTTCAGGAAAACTCTAATTTATTGTGGGTTCATGCAACTAAATTATAGATTTAGTTACGTAAACATTAATTAAAATGAGGTAAGTATTAAATAAATTAATTGTAAATAAGAATACGATTGCTGGAAATTTTTAGTTAGAATTACTAAATTAGAATTAGAGTCTATTTTTCCTGGACATGTCTAAGAGGACAACTAGTCTTCGTGATACTGTATTTCACTTCTCTTACATAATATTTGAATGTTAATTTTTAAAAATATAACTATCATTATCAGAATAAATAATAAATAATAATAATAAACCATTTTAATTATATATTGATTAAATATTCAAATTATCATCTCTATTCCAATACGACGCCATTCGGAGTATTTACTACGCAATAACTGAACGCACCGTTATCCGTTCAACGCATGCGCAGATATAGTTTGATAGCAGAGTGGAAGCGAGTGACAGTGAGGAGATAAGATGGGAGAGAGAAATGCTTAAATATTTATTAATTATAGTTTAGTTTATTCTTAATTTATTTCTAACGTAATGGAGAACGGGGCAAAGAGTAAAGACAATCCATTTTCATTTAAGAATTTCTTAAAGGGAAGTCAAGATATTGATTCTAATCCAGGAAGAAGTAATTATCATCATATTTTAGTCTTTTATAGATTATTTAAATGTCATAAGTGCATTGATTTGTTCTTAAGTAAAGATGAGTTAATTGAGTACATTTTTGTACACTATTTAATACATTCAAGCAATACTTTCCATTTTATCCATTACTGAATGCCTACTAAAATAGACAACTTTACTACTTATAGAAACAATTGAAACTTTGGCAGCTTACAAGTCTCTCTCTCTCTCTTTTTGCATGTAAATAGTATGAATGGTGAACACAAGCAAGTTCATTGTACATGTAATATATCTATTTTATTTGCCACAATCAGAACAATTACAGATATTGCTCGTACGACATGGGTTTGCTCTGATGTGATCTGAAAATTTGGGATATCCCTGTATGACATGACTTCCGGTTTTGCTGTAATGCTGTTTTGGAAATCTTCCGTATGAAATTTCACAATGGCTATGTTCGGCAGACTCGACAATTATAACTGAGCAAATCGATAGCTGTTATGTAGCAACCTGGATCTGCTGAACGATGAGTGATGTTGCGTTGGAATAAAAAGCCTCATTGGTCAGTTTCGGGTAGCATAAATGAAAGATGCTACCAAATGTGACGTCAAAACACCAAATGTGTTCCGAAAGAGCACTACTGTATAGGATTCAGCAGAAAAATACTCATCAGCTCCAGAACTGTTGAGTCTGCTGAATGTAGCCAATTTTTAAGTATAAACTTTATTATTCAATTTCTTTTTCTTCAATTAAGCACACATGTTGTCTCATATTTGCCTACAGATTTTAGAATATTAAAATTTTCAATTTTTGTGCCTTTTTTCAGGTTTATTTTAATGAAAACTGATAGTAGAATTTTTTTCTTCCTTGTCCTAGCTTCCTTATCAATCAGGATAGTGTTTGGTAATGCAAAATTCTTGCCAAGTCTAGTTATGCTGCAATATTGAACTTGTTTCTAACTACTGCTTGACTATTCCCACTGCTAGAATTATAGCTAGTTCAGTCGGCTTCTTTTATCAATATCTATGCTAACTTCTGCTGGTGATGACGTTGTTTTTGTCTCCTCGTACATTTTGCAAGATGGCTGCTTGTGTTGGACTAAACATATTTTATCATAACAGTCACAAAGTGGATTGAATGTTTACTCATTATAAAATGACTTTGAAATGTAAAATTATTGTACATCAGTATAACAGATTCCAAATACATTTAACAGAAGATAACGGTCCATTTTGTTGATTACAATTAATAATTGCTTTGTTAATTTCATCACAACCTAACGCAATTATCATTTGGATAATTGTATTGGTTACTTCGTCCTTTTCGACCGGTTCGTTCATGACAATTGTTGCAATCATAATTTTAAATTTGTCCACCATTTTGCCCAGTTGTCTAACTAAGAATAATTGTTCAATGATGTGCAAAACATTTTTATCTCTGCCCACTAAGCCACTCAGAGTTCTAACTTTATTTCGTTCTAGCGTTATTGAATATGACCCAGGTGTTGTTTGTTGTTGTTGCTTTCACACTTTAGCTCTTAAGACTATCACTGTGTTTTGTTTTTATAGATCAATCTGTGTATTTAGTAAAGTTTATTTAAACATGTTTAGATAAATGCTATTAAACATTTTTTAACTGTAGGTAAGTATTCATGTGTAAAAATGACAAATGAAATATGGCAGTATATCAGTACTCAAATTTTGTATATCAGTACTCAAAGAATTTGTGCTTAAATATTGAATTGTTCCCAACTGGAACAATTCAATATTGTTTCTGATTGATAAAAAAGCTCAGATGATGATGATGATACTTTGAAAAAAAAAAGCCCTTTTCTAACTAAAATTAATATTAACAATACTTTTAATTATGCTTGTTAGTTAATTATTGATTGCTTTAATAAACATATTTCACTTCGTAACGAAAAAGAATAGTACTTTTGTTAACTTCTGGAATGTAATCCTGTTTTGCACTAGTCATTCGTTTTGTACAGCATGAATTCATGGCATAACATGGAATGTATCTACTATGTTATACGAGGGATACTTGTATGTCCAGTTTGATGCTAAGTGTAATACCCCTAAGAGCTCTCTTTGAACTTAGGACACATTTTGCTAATGAATGCACAAAGTAATTAACAAACAAAAAATATTCACAGATGCAATTTAAAGCTAAGACAGCTTGATGCTGAATGTAATTTCCAGGGAAGGGGCTTAGAGATTCCTATTGCTGTCCAGGATGCACAATTCCTCTAAAGTGGCTGCTGAAAAACAAACACTAAATACCATTTTTGCATTTTCATTTTTGTAAATCTGTGGGATTCTTTTGGTTAGTGAAAACTGGTACTAATGTGTGTCTTTTATAAAGTGGGGGATACTTGTACTGTATTCCTAAAATTTCATCAAAGCATCAATGTTTTCTCTCTGCACTTAATGATTTGGTTATCATCATCATCATCATCATCATAGATTAAAATAGTTTTAATATATTTTTCCCATCAAGTATGATGGGTTTCTTTCTATATGAAAGTACAGCATCAATAATACAACATCGTGTGGTCACTATGAAAAATTTTTTTAAATTTGTTGTTGAAGCAACACAATGAAGCTATTATTAAAGTAAATGATGTCACTATGATATAAGTTCTGTCACTGAACTGAAATTGATAGTCCTATCTTATGGACAAAACACACATTTTTCATATTTAAAATTAATTTATATATACATTCATCAGAAAGTACAGGCTACTTATATTGAAAAAAAAATATATATATATATTNGTCCGCACATTATACATACATATATATATATATATATTTTTTTTTTTCTGTTTTCAAAATAAGTAGCCTGTACTTTCTGATGAAATGTAGTAGACCACCCAACAAAATTTTATCATAAAGCAGTTTCCAATCACAAAGAAAAGCAAACTCATTTTTACATAGTTTCTTTGAATTATTTTCTTGCCAGTATCAAGTTTCTAAGGTTTTGAAAGCATATATTATTTTGGCACTTTTACTTTCACATATTTAAATGCTGCTAATTTATAATTAGATATTAATTCAATGCTAAAAAAACAATATTTTGCAGTCAACTTACTTTTCTATTGTTTATCCTGCTCATAAGTACTTCTGAAAATGATACTTAACTGTAAATTAGTGAGCTCACTCAAAGAAGTTTTGGTTTATAAAAGAACTTTTTTAATTTGAAGTAGTTATGACCAAAAAATAACACAGAATACAGAATGGTTGTTAATACAAGCAAGTAATCAGATAAAATTTTTATTATGAGAATAAATGCTGAATTTTGTTGAAAAGCTGAATTTCAATTGATTTCCAGTATACTTCTAGTAAAATAGAAATACAGTAGAACCTCGAAAACTCGGCTCTCGATAACCCGGCACTCCGGATAACTCGGCCACACCCTGGCAAGGCAAAAAAATCCTTAGTTAATTAATTTTCATTATAGACAGCTTTATAAAAGTATAAAAGCTCTCATAAAGTATTTTTCTGAGGTCTGTCTTATCAGATAAATTACTGTACACAGTGTATTCATTAATTTTCATTTTCATGTAGTAAAGGCTGTATGCCTTCATAAAGGACGTGCTTTTCCTTTGTTTAAGGGTATTTGGGCAGTTTATTCTCTGTTATATTCTCAAGTAAACAATACATACAAGTACAGTACAGTATTTTCTGAGGAAAAACGCATACTTATCCTTTTTTAACCCCATTCCCAATAACCCGGCATTTTCACAAACTCGGCCACCCTTCGGTCCACATTAGGCCGAGTTTTCGAGGTTCTACTGTAATAAAATATGACACATACGGTTTTTAATTATAATTGAAATGAAATTAGTAGTTTTATAAAATGAGTGGCAATCTGCCCAAAAAAATGAAAGAATGGTCATTGATATATTGAAGACAGATCATAAGTTTAGGAATTACAACTAATTAGAATATTTTTTTGCATAAAATTAAAAATAAGTCTGAAGATTTTACATTAAATGAGTAAATAAAGTTACAAATTTTTAATTTAAAAAATTTCTCTCAAGAATATTCATACGCACAAGATATATTTATCTTGTAGAAGGGTATCGCTATATACATTGATTGTTCAAAATTTTATATATATTATTTCCCAATTCTTATTTCATTACTCATTCAAATGAATCTATATCTGTCCATACTGCTTCTTGTGGAATTATTTTCATTGTTTATTATCGTTTGTAATTTATATTCACTTATGATTTTTCAATGATAAAATCTCAATTACCTTAAATTACTCCAGTAAGTAGTACTTTAATGCCGAAAAACATTTTTGATCCAGTTTACGGGCCTTAATTTGTTGCAGAACTAAAAAATACCATCCATTTCTGTCTGCACACTGCTTCCAGTAAGCTTCAGATTCCATGGTCAACTTTTATGATATCACGACTAAAATCTTTGGAATCAAAATCCTACATCAAGCAGAAAACTCCAAAGTATGTGAAGAATCAACTCAAAAAAGCCAAAAGTGGAAGTTGGAAAATTTACAAGAAAACATTGTAAAAAAAGTCTCATCATTCATTAAGAGTGCTTATGTTTCAGTGGACCCAAATGATGCATCATTGTGTCAATATCATAATGGGAGAAGTAAAGTTAAAGTGAAATATGAAGACAAAGTTCATCCAAAGGTTAAATTTATCAAGAAATTCAGGATCTTGTAAGTAATAGACAAGTTGGGAAACATCAGAATTATTCATAATAAAGCTTACTTAACTCAAAAACATATATGGAAGAATGAATGAAAAAAGGTCTTCCATAAAATTAAAACATTTGTTCTGGCCAAGTCAAGAAAATACGTTGTAACTACTTACAGGCAAACAATATGGAATATGTGACAGTAAAGAAAAATTCTCCAAGCATGTTTCAAGCCAGAAGAATTGGGATATTTTAAGTATTATGCAAAAGAAGAGACACTGTCCAAAAATCAGTACCCAAATGAATAATTGGTTTTCAACATGTTTGGAAAAACATAAGCCAGAGAATGGCAATGGAGTCAGGAACTCATGTAATGAAAAGCAGTAAAAGAATGCTTTGAAAAATTAGTTATGCTGGAGTGTCTGGTGCTAACTAATATGTATAAGCATTGTATGAGACTTGTTCCAGTCATGTGTTTAATATGTGAATTGAAAATAATATATGTCAGTCAGAGCAGTTACTAACCAGATACTTGAGAGGCCAGATTAGGAATAATGTACTGTAAAAGGGCATTGCAAATTCACTTGTTTAAAAAGTTTGATAGACTGTTTAAATATATAATGGTATATCTCACTTTATGTGACTAATTGATTCTAAAAAAATGGAGTTGCATAAAGCAAGTCAATTTCTGTACTTAAAATTGGATAAAATATTTTTTCACTTAGTACACCTGTAGCCAATAATTTAATCAAATTATGAATTAAATGCAGGAACTCAGTCTGAGTCATCTTATCTTCCTCCTTTGGAGGTTCTGGATTGATATATTGACAGTTTTCAATTGTTGAAGTAATCATCATGAAATTGAGGAGACTGAACATTTCAACACCAGATATATATATGCCAATCAAATTGTGGATGTAGGTGGACAGAAATTTAATTCAATGTTCTGATTGCAAATTGATTTCTTATACATAAATAACTTGAAAACTACATGCTGTCTTCAAGCTGTAATTTGTCCATGTTTGTATAAATAGGGAAATAATATGCTGATTAATTTAAAAATGTGGAAAATATACATTTGTAATTTTTTCTATAATATATTTATTAAAAGATTTACTCTAAAATCTAAAATTTCGTTTTTATACAAAATAGTGTTTGTTTTTAATATTTAGGTAACTTTTGATTGTGTTTTGCATTCAGCTATATATAAATAAGATTATTTGCTATTTTTCTAATTTGAATAATAATAATAAGGCCCAGGAAATAAGGCATCTGTAGAGGATGGATAGGGTGCTTATTGTACCAGTTGTTCTCTCCTGTACAGGTGTGATACCACACACACTACATAAAAGCCTGGAAACATTACAACTGAGTAGAAATACATACATCACACTACAGAAGACCACTGTATTGAATACATGCCACATTGTTAGGAAATTCCTGAATACAGACACACACACACTGACACACTTATTTAATTTTAGTTTTGTTTTGGTTGCTATGCTTTGACTCTGGTCCGGTATAGTACACAGCCACCGGTGCGAACCAAGTATAACTCACAAAACCCAACATAATAATAATAATGTATATTTCCTTAAAATTGAACTAAGTCAAAACCTTTCATTGCAAATCTTTATATGTATTCCAGGAAGTGTTAATGAAGATGCAGACAATCCTTTCTCATTTCGAAAATTTTTGAGTCAAGGTAAGTCATCAGAAACAAAGCGTACATACAATCAAAATGTTGAATCATCAAGATCACAAGATACTGCCAGTAGTTCTCCAAAATTGTCTTCGCAAACTACAACTAGTTCAAGTTTTGAAATTTATTCTGATTTTGTGCAAGAACTGCCAGATTTTATCCAGGACCACTTGGAACTGAAATATGAAGATGACAAGATTGAGAGTAATGAACATCTTTACAATAGTAACGAGCATTATACCCATACAGATTACAGCCGAGAGACTTATGGAAATTCTGGTAGTTCAATCGAAAGTGGACAAGCAGAGGCGTCTTTGGAAAGTTTTAATGGGAGTTCAGTTTCTACCAGCCATAATGAATCTAGAATCGAGAACCAAATAAAAAATGAGAGTTACTGTGGCCTTCCAGATTTTATATCTGGCACATCAAAGTCAGAAACTGTAGCAACGTGGTCATCCTCCCATCTGGAAGAATCTAATTGCATTGGCCATTCACAAAGTTCACTAGAAGATGAGATTTACAAGGCAAGATATTTCAGATTATATTTACATTTAATTTATATGTATTTTAATTCAGATGAATTGAAAAAAAAAACTATATTAAAGAAGTCATTTCAAAATTATTATAGCTTAGAGAAGAAAATGCATTCTTACATGAGCAATTGGAAAAAGCAAGGAGGACTTCAGACATTCAAGCATCTAAGTAACTTCTAAGTTTACTATATAATTTATTTGACAAAAAAATGGTTAGAATATAACAACTTTAAATACTAAACTAGAATAATAATCTATCATCTCTGAGATTTTAAAGGTTTATAATTGTTTGTTTTAGTTAATTGTTTTTAAAGGATACTCATTAAAGTTTGTAAAAAATACATTCATTAAAAATTTAAATTATCTTTAGGATTGTGGAACTACAACAGAAAATGATTGAACTTCGAGAAGCTGAAGCACAAGAAACTGCTGCACTTGAAAAAATGGTGCAACAAGTTGAACTTAACCTTAAAGTCACAACTGTAAGTTAATTTTATCATAATCAGTTCTTAACTATTTTATTTATAAAAATTCTGATTATTAGGAACGAGCTGTGTTAGCAGAAGGGCAAGCTGCAAAATTAAAACAGGAGTTGAAGTCCTTGCAAGTAAATCAAAATAATTTATTTATATTTTTTATTTATTTTAGAATGGTAAACTAACAAAATACAATCTTAGTTTCAATCGTTCTTATGGTAGAAAGAAGTAATTATTGTAGTTAAATGGATGAAAAAAATACTAATCAAAAGTAATCTTATTACAGAATGTATGACTTAATTCAGGTAACCAAAAAGATTTGTTAGGCGAACTGTTACCAAAAACATTTCTTATTTTCAGGTTGTAAAATTTACAAACAGTTGAATGAATTTGAATTGTTTAGAACTTTTTTGAATGATATAATTTAAATAAATGTTATGAGTAAGGAATGGAACTTCAAGTGTAAAGTTTTCCTGGTTTCTCTTGGACTGCAATTTGAAAAAACTTATAAACCTATAAATTTCCATTGTCATCTGCCCATCCATCTCTTTCTCTTTAATCTTGAGAACAGAGTGAGATAGATGAAATCTGAGACCAGATATGGAAATCTTAGGGCAGGAGGCCTAATTAACTATATATAAACTTCTAATGCAAATCAGAAATCATGTTTTAATTCAAAAATTTTTCCGAAAGGTGTAGATAGATGACCAGCATGACATGATTCCATTGCTAATGGAAAAGTATGATGTAAGGGGTAAGATACACTAATTTAAGGTGAAGAGCATATATTTTCTAACTTAGGATAAAAACTAGGTCATTTAGTGTAAGGTTTGTTCCATTGTTGTTGGAATTTTTTTTTATTTTGGTTTACTTAGATCAGGGGTGTCCAACCTTTTTGTTTCTCTGGGCTGCATTGGAAGAAGACAAGGAGTTTTGGGCCACAAGTATATATAATATATACTTGTGGCCCAATATACAAGTATATTTAAAAATTAACATGTCTAGATTATAATAATAAGTATTAAAACTTTATCAAGAAAAAAGGATATTTAAAAAAATTACTTCTACAGACACTTTCAATTTTTACTTAGAAATAGATAAATTCATTTATTATAAAAGAGACAAACGAAAATTTATTTGAAAAACACAAATATTTGTTTTACTCACAAAAGACAGTCTGTCCAAAAATTATTTTATGAAACCACCATTTATTCTGATCATGTGTTCCAGAACACCTTCGACAACCCGACCTTTCTTTGTAGGCTACTAGGTCGTCAGGCTAAGTAAAATGTGTCTTTTGTGAGTAAAATAAATTTTCATCCGGCGAAATTCTACAAACAAAACCTTTTTTTCTAATTCGTCACCAGAGGGATAAGGCCAAAATTTACATTTAACTGCGCATTTATCAAGTGAATATAAGGACCAAAATTCCCTAACTGGAAAGGATGCAAGTTCAAGACATCTGTAAGGCCGCCAGTTCCAATTTTTTACTTTTAATGTTTTAATTGGATATTTTTGTGTGTTTTTTAAAGAATGTTTTAGCCTGACGACCTAGTAGCCTACAAAGAAAGGTCGGGTTGTCGAAGGTGTTCTGGAACACATGATCAGAATAAATGGTGGTTTCAAAAAATAATTTTTGGACAGACTGTCTTTTGTGAGTAAAATAAATTTTCATCCGGCGAAATTCTACAAACAAATATTTGTTTTATTTGGGTCTCTAATTAATAAAAAGCGACAAAACACCATTTTAAAGTGCATTTTTATTCAATTAATATAATTATAAATAATATGTAGCCAGAAAAGTAGCCAAAGCGCCAAATGATTTTTTTTGTTTGATGTAAAAAATAAGTAGCCACATTTGGCCCAATGTAGCCAAATCTTGCAATGTTGGAAGAAATACAATATAAAGCTGGAGTTGTGAATCAAAGGATTACTGTATAGACCCAAGTGCGGGATAAAGAGGCAAAGGATAAAAGATAAAGAAGTGTAAAAGGTTGAAAAATTACGGGTCCATATGTGCTTAACAGATGATCTATTTAATGTTTCTCACTGCTACATCTTTTGTCCTTTCTCATCTTTCCCTCCTTTTTCCAAATTTGGGTCTATAATCCTTTGAGTCACAACTCCAGCTTTATTTAGTAATCCTTCCACATTCACACATCTCCAAGTATTTGAAAATATTTTCTTTCCACTCAAAAATAAAATATGAAGAAAAGTTTACGGCTTTGTGAAACTTTTTGTTTTGAGTTTATGCTGGTGAAATAAATAAATAAATAATTAAAACATTTGTTGGTTTTGTTTACATGTTTATTGGGCCCCATTGGAGCTTGCCTTGGGCCACATGTGGGCTGCAGGTTGGACACCCCTGACTTAGATCATTTATTAGAGCAACTAAGTGATACAACAGTATATTAAAAAAAAAAATTGTCAACAATTCTCAAAATATAAAGCTGTATTTAGTTAGCCATTGCTTTAATTAAAATTATTGTATAACCTATATAGTATAGTAATTACATGTAATTGTGAAGACCACCACTTCCCCCTCCAAAAACATATGTATTTGTAAACCTATTTGTAATAATTTTCGTTTATTTACTTTATATCATTTTTAATTATGTATTCGCGTGAACCTTAACTGTATCTTGAATAACAACCGAAGTTGGAGGAAATTCATCTATTTTACCAATCTAGGGACTCCCCTTTCCAAATTTTAATATCAACTTAAATTAATTAGAATAAACCAGTTTATTATCCAACTATCAGAAATCTCACAACATGCCAAAGAAAAGAGGAAGAAGTAATCAAATAATCAAAAATTATAAAAGATATATATAGAAATGGGGAACATTGCATCCCCTCCCTTGTTTTCAGCAATGTTTACATGAAGAACTTAGTCAAAGCAATCAATGAACAAACAATGACTAAGAGCAAAGATGAGTCATGTCAACTCAGAGATAAGAAAACACCAACTCAGAGATGACTCTACAAAAGCTTGACGTCACCAAATAAGAAAACACTGCCTCAGCTACAATGATGACACTGCCAATGAATCATCACCCGATGATGAACTTTCTCATGCTGGAAGGGTATAAAAGGAGAAAGTTCAGTTAGAGATGGGGACACAGTCCAGTTAGAAAGAGACAGTGAGATAGTCAGCAGTTGAGGACACAGCTCCAGCCAGAGAAAGGCAGTTGAGTTGCAGACACTGTCACAGAAGGAGTTGCTGCAGAACGAGTTGGAGTCGCAGTCACAATCAGACAGACAGAGATCCAGAGAGTGAAACCAGACGAGCACCAGAGCAAGAGTGGTTCAAGAGAGGACGACTCAAAAACAAGCAAGCACAAGACAAAGTGCAACGAACGCCAGAAACCTCCGCAGTCTTGGCCGTCAGGTCCACGTCACAAGAGAAGACATCTTGTTTACCTGGTATGTTGTGAGTCGCGTAAGTTCGAATACCCCCCGTTAGGTACTCCCTCGTTGTATAGATAAAAATAGGCATATTTTCAAAATCAGGTTTTATAATTCTGTTCTAAACTTTCGTTTATGTTAATAAATGCCCTTAAATTGGTTATATCTGACACTGCATTCTTCCTCCTGAGAGGCTCATTCCTGGACTTTGGAGTGACTCTTACCCTCGTGCCTTAATCATCCATTTCATCTCAAACAGCAGTGTGTTCGATAAAACACATCTGGTGGCAAGACTCTACTCAAAAAAGTGCATAATAAATCTTTACGGCCCCCTGAACCCCACAACTGATGACTCTGTCTTCCTTGTAAGATACAGTATGGCATCTGTATGTTAAGACAGAAGAGAAACAATGTCTCTGGTTGAATTGTTGATAATATGCTGATTACTCAGAATGATTAACCAGGACAAAATTCCAAATCAATGTAGGGACTACTCGACAAGAAACCAACTTCCTTCTCTAAGAGTCGAGAACTTGGAGCAGGTTTATCCATGTAACGCTCCATTATTCTTGTTAGACGAGGTTCTACATCGCCTAACAATAGGCGCTGTCCTGGATCACCAGCCCGACATTCTTCCATTAATTGCCAGCAATCATCATCAAACTGAGGTAATCTTTCTGGTCTTGCACCTCTCCGAACAGCATTCCATAACTGATCTTTACTTTGGCATTGCTCAAAAACATAAGGCAATTTTACATGACCTGCATAGATGTACCAAAATAAAATTCCAAAGACATAAACATCAACACTGTTGTCATATCGTCCACTGAAAAGTTCTGGTGCCATGTGAATAGGTGTACCAACAATACTTCCAGACATCATTGCTTCTGGTTTACAAAAACCTAAATCAGTTATTTTGGCACGATTTCTTTTATCCAACAGTACATTTTTCAATTTAATGTCACAATGAACAAGACCTTGACTATGTAAAAATCTAATGCCTTCTACTACATTTAAAGCTACTTGTAATTGACACATCCAATTTAATCCCATCTTGATAGCTGAATATAAATCTCTTTGTAATCTTTCCATTATCAACAAAACAGCAGGCGTGCTTCCACTTCCATAAGAATGATCAATTACTGAACCACTAATTTGGACAATACAATCATGTTCTGGTATACTTCTTGTATAATAAAATTTCATAGCTAAATCATTCCAATGTTTATCATCAGGTGGGAGAACAGATTTTATAGCACATGGTGAAAAGCCACCCCATGAATCACAAGCATAAACTACACCACACTGACCTGTACCAATCTCTCTTCCAATTTGTGGCATTCCAAATAATAACATGTCTGTCAATGAAGTGCTTTGTAATGCATATTTTGCAATCCTTGGTGCATGAACTTTTCAAACTTTTAATCTTTGTTCCTCTGTTCTTTCCAATCTTCCAGAATGAATAGCTTCTAATTGTCTGAGAGATGCAGCAAAATGATCATGAGATGTTTTTAATCTCTCTCGAAATTGAGATCAAATAGATCTTGATAAACGTAAGGGACTCAGACTAGCTAACATATCAGAAGCCACTTTTCTTTTCCAGTCTTTGTCTATGTGTGGTGGTGTTTTCCAGGGCAATGCTTGAACTAGCTGCTTCATTTTCTCAAAAAGTGCTCGTAAAAATGTTGAACTAGTTTTAACAGTAACTTCAACTTGATATGTAGCATTCAAAATTTGTTTCAATGCATTACTTGCTTGTACCGATTCACCACTTTCTTTACAAACTCTCTCTAAACTTCCAAGACATCTTTTCCAAAGGAACAAAAGTGAAACTCACCGGAAAATATATAAATCCAAATTAAAGTAAAGACTTCAAATTTAAAAGAGCAGGAACAGAGGAATAGGAGTGACTTTATGACCAGAGCTGTCAGTGTTGTTAAAGACTACTCTTCCCCCTAGATGTGAAGTGATTCAGACAGATTAGGCACCCAAAATCATTATTTAGTAAAGGGTGGCAGCATAGCCGTTATAGTCACTATCATAATTATCGTGTTTTACGTATGTATTATTAGAGGTAGACATAGATGCCTATAATTGCCCCTATTGTGAACTCACAAATACCACGAGAGACAGTACCAGAGGAGATTCAAACACTCCAAGTAAGAGGAAATGGAGAGAGTGCAGAAAACACCGCTAGCTCTGAGTACAACCCGCCAATAGAGTATAACTGCTCTAAATTGTAATGTGTGCACAAACTTAAGGACAAAGCTCACCAAGAACCACAAGATCAACTATGTCAGTGTATACTCCAACACAGTGCAGAGTACAAGTTGTTACTCTGCTTGTCCATCCTTAAATCAGCAGACTTCGGCCTGAAGACAAGAAAGAAAACTGTGGACCTTTTTTGTGAAAACTTCCTGTTGCATGATGTACTCTTTATATTCCAACCATCTCAGGATGCCGAGGAGTGGTGAACGATGCTAACAATAGGTAACTGACTAAATGGTGACAGTGAATGACATCAGTGAAGGAAAAATGTCATAAACATTTTTTTTGGAAATGGCAGAGTGATGTGAAGACCACCACTTCCCTCCTCCAAAAACATATGTATTTGTAAACCTATTTGTAATAATTTTTGTTTATTTACTTTATATCTTTTTTAATTATGTATTTGCATGAACCTTAACTGTATCTTGAATAACAACCGAAGTTGGAGGAAATTCACCTATTTTACCAATCTAGGGACTCCCCTTTTCCAAATTTTAATATCAACTTAAATTAATTAGAATAAAACAGTTTATTATCCAACTATCAGAAATCTCACAACATGCCAAAGAAAAGAGGAAGAAGTAATCAAATAATCAAAAATTATAAAAGATATATATAGAAATGGGGAACATTGCATCCCCTCCCTTGTTTTCGGCAATGTTTACATGAAGAACTTAGTCAAAGCAATCAATGAACAAACAATGACTAAGAGCAAAGATGAGTCATGTCAACTCAGAGATAAGAAAACACCAACTCAGAGATGACTCTACGAAAGCTTGACGTCGTCACCAAATAAGAAAACACTGCCTCAGCTACAATGATGACACTGCCAATGAATCATCACCCGATGATGAACTTTCTCATGCTGGAAGGGTATAAAAGGAGAAAGTTCAGTTAGAGATGGGGACACAGTCCAGTTAGAAAGAGACAGTGAGATAGTCAGCAGTTGAGGACATAGCTCCAGCCAGAGAAAGGCAGTTGAGTTGCAGACACTGTCACAGAAGGAGTTGCTGCAGAACGAGTTGGAGTCGCAGTCACAATCAGACAGACAGAGATCCAGAGAGTGAAACCAGACGAGCACCAGAGCAAGAGTGGTTCAAGAGAGGACGACTCAAAAACAAGCAAGCACAAGACAAAGTGCAGCAAACGCCAGAAACCTGCACAGTCTTGGCCATCAGGTCCACGTCACAAGAGAAGACATCTTGTTTACCTGGTATGTTGTGAGTCGCGTAAGTTCGAATACCCCCCGTTAGGCACCCCCTCATTGTATAGATAAAAATAGGCAAATTTCCAAAATCGGGTTTTATAATTCTGTTCTAAACTTTCGTTTATGTTAATAAATGTCCTTAAATTGATTATATCTGACTCTTCATTCTTTCTCCTGAGAGGATCATTCCTGGACTTCGGAGTGACTTACCTTCACGCCTTAATCATCCATTTCATCTCAAATGGTGGTGTATCCGATAAAACACACCTGGTGGCAAGACTACTCAAAAAAGTGCGTAATAAATCTTTACGGCCCTCGAACCCCACATAATGTAATGAATAGATATCAAATAAATACAAATATATTATACAGAATAGTGTTTTAATTCTTTTATGTATGTAACTATTGTATTCGAATGGGAATATTAAAAAGCATATTTTTCCAATATTAATGGAATATTACAGTGCCTGTTTGTACGACTTAGTTGTTATTCTTAATTAAGAGGTACTGAAATTTTGGCACAAATTTCATTTACACCACACACACAAACTTACTCTATATCATTTTCAAAGTGAGTCCTTTTTGCAGCTATATGCATCTGCCAATATCCATATCATTTGTCAAATCAATCTTGAAAATTATTTTTATAAATACTTTGGGGTTTTGTCATTGTAAATTTTACCTATGCAGTTAGTTGGAATCTGCAACTCTTCAACTTCTTTCATTTTAGGCTAACAGCTTATTGTCAGAGGCAAGTAACAAGTTGAAGGTTCAAAGTAATGAGTTCAGATCAGAAGGTAACAAGTTGTTCCTTTCTTAGATATTTTTGGCTAGGAATTTGCATGGATATTGCAATCTTCAATTGATTTCTAACAATCTTTAAATCACCTATGCCACTTGTAAATCACTTTATGCTTTATAGAATGTGTTATGTAGATATTTATATAAAAAGTTTCTATGAATGTTTTAAGGCAATGGTTTTCAATCAGGATGTGATGCAGCCAGATGGACGAAAGGTCAAGGTAACAGCCTACCGCTTGAGGATACCCGGAATTGAATCTGGACGGATCGAAAAATCCCCAGGATTTTTTCAGGGGTAGTCCATCCAGATATGTCGGGCTCTGTCCCTCATTACCTGGCTGCCCTATTGCGCACCTGTCCAAGTCCATAATGGGCTTGCTAAAAGAGGCCCTCTCTTAGTGCCCACAGGGTGGAAAGAGTTAAAAAGAAATCAGGATGCCACAATAAATGCTTGAAGAGTGCCACAAAATATACTGCTAAGCAGCAGTGGTGGATGCAGAAGTGCCAGAAAGGGGGACTAAAAACATATTAATTATTCAAATATTTTAATTAAAAGTGCTTTATGTAACTAAATCAGAGCTGCCACAAATATAATAAACATACTCAAATAACCTTGAAGAAACAGAAAAAATTTAAATGTTTTGTTTCTTCAAGTTTGAAATTTGAACAAATTTAAATTAGAGAGGTTGCAGCCAATGTTTTCATTGCGAAAACGTGTACGTCGGATGTTGAGCGCCACTTTCCTGTAAGCCTAGAAGTTTGATAATGGCATTTGATACATCCAGCATGATTCCACTGACGTTCCAAATGCCATTGTCAAACTTCTAGGCTTACAGGAAGGTGGCATTATACAGAAACATGTACATTGGCACTGAATGTCCAACGTACATGTTTACACTATGAAAACATCGGCCGCAACCTCTCTATTATTTGTTCAAACTTCAATCATAAATGTTTTGAAGTTTAAATAAATAAATTTTAATTTTTGTGTCACTAGGGAAGACTTAAGCTCCTTTAGCCCTCTTCATATATCTGCCACTGCTGAGCATGAACATAACACTTCTTACATGTGTATTAAAACTTGATAAAGTTAAAACAAAGATATTTAGTTTTGACTTTTGACTAAGATTGCCTCTCTTTGCTAATCAGAAACTTCACCAGTATAATAAGTTCTACTAATAAATAAGGTTCAAGTAGACAATATATACACAGAAATTATATAAAGTTTGTAAATAACATTTTTTTTAAACATTTTTTAAATAACATTTTTTTAGGTTAATTTTAAAATGTCCTAAAAATTTTATATACCCATAAAGTGTTAAAATTGATTCTATTATCATTTGTAAATTTTATAAGCTTGAAATGGCTAAATTATGATCAGAATTGTTATTAAAAAGTGAATTTGGGTGGCCAAAAAGATTTAAGTCATATATTCTTTGATATTAATAAAATTTGGTTTATTATTCCATTCTAGATATTTAAAGAAATTTATTAAACATGAACATTCTGTTATAGTCTATATTTTGTACAACTGAGCATGTTTCAAATGTAAAAACGTGTGACGTATATTGCAAGAGTTGTGAAACAATAATACACTATATTAATACATTCATAATGACAGTTTTAATATCAGATCCATTTTAGATATTTTAAACATTTTTATCAAATATTTTATTAATAATTGAACCTTTATAAGTTAAATTAAAACTTTTAGGCCTTATTTAAAAACGTAATGAAGGAGAATGACAAATTGACTGGTAGTTCTTCCGATATGGAATGCATTGCAGAAAAGGCAAATTCTCTCGCTTCTCAAATAAAAGTCGCTGCCGATAATGCCGAACAACCGCTCAGGTAGGAATATTTTCATATAGGTTAAATCTAGTGTGAATTATTTTATCCAGTAAAAATTGCAAATCATTTTTTTATTGACTTCAGGAATCTTTTGGAGGGAGTGGAGCACCTCCGATTGCTGGCGACGTTAGTGTCCAGCATTGGGAAGGTAGAAGAAAATTGAGAAATGTTCGTTGTATTTTTGTGGCATAAAATTCCAGATTAATCTGATTTTGAGAAAGTATATTTTCTGATTTTATAATCAATACTTTTTGTGATAGTTGTAAATATTCTGTAATAAAAACTTTCATATTTTTCTTAAATATTTTTATTTAATATCACTTCAGCTTTGATCAGAATAGTTGACAAGATTATGGTAATCTATGATTGGATAATGGACCTTTGTTTTTATTTTATTTTATTTTATTTGACTATCAGTACCCAAGTGGAGAGAAGCCACTGAACTCTGGTAGTGTCTGACTAATGGGCTGGCTGTATAGTTTTCTGGGTTTTCTTCCATGTGTAGGTGTTAGACTTGTGGTAATTTCCAGCAAGCATTTCCCTTTGGAGTTGCCCATATTTTTTGCATTGCTCTAGCCCATCAAACCAAACTAAACAAAAACTACATTGGCACTTATTTGATTGATTCAGAAAGACTTCTTTAAAAACAGTATTTAGAAAATATTATATATTGATATAAAAGTTAGTTTCAAATTTAACAATTGAAATTATTGGAATATTAATAGTTTTGGTGTTTTGTTAATAAAATACTCCTATAATCCAGCTTTTAATACTGTAAATTGAGTGCAAAGATGCAGAATATTTTCAGGATCAAAAATTATTGCATACAAAATAAAGCAATAGTTTACCAATGAATTAATAATTATTATTACAGTATTACAGTAGTTTAAACTGATGAAAAAAATTATTAGAAAAATCAAATTAATGTTGCACAGAAAATTTTAAAGTAGGCCTATTTAATGATATTTTTTGTAAAAAGAACTTTTTTAGTTTTTTAACTGGTTTCTTTTCCATTATTATTATTGTTTGAAAATGCAAACATATTTTTGATTTAAAGTATATTTCAACATTTTTTTTTATTTGATAAAATGATAGTGAAATAGAAGTTTTATTTAACCAAAGATGTTAAATGTTTAATTTGCAAAATTTTTCTTGTGGGGAATGAATGACTATTGCATTGGTTTGAATTAAAAGTATCAGAGTTTTGAAGGAAAAAAATGACATTTGGTTTGGTAAGGAAACAACTTGTCTCTACTGCAAGTAGGCAGCAATGTAAAGAGTGACTGAACTGATCAGAAGCAAAGTAAAAAAAAAATTTCAATGTCACTTATAAAACAGTTTGTGCGTTTTGAATTTTTGCAATTGTCTGTAGGCAACTCAGAGACTTTTTCATTTTATTGTAATGCTTTTTCAGCTATTGCCGTAATATTTTTTATTATAAATTTCCCAGGATGACTATTCCTGCAATTGGCATATTCTCCACTTCCAATTGAGTGTGGCCGAGATCGACGTTTCAAAACTTGGAATTTTTGCAAAATGTTATTTTGAATGAATGTCTTGAGGTAAAAAGTTCTCAATTTGATCTCTCTCTGGATTGGCTTTATCCTAAGAGAAAAAACAGATGTAATACTTTTCTAACAACTTAAAATTTGTTTATAGACATTTAAAGAAATGAATGAATTCATAATTTTTTATAATAAGTAAATACAGTACTTATTTTTAACCATTTTTTGTATTAAAGTTTCTTTTTTGTTTCCTTGTATAACTACAGTGAGAATGAGTGTCAATACAACAAAAAATTGATGACCCAGTTCAGATTTTCATTTCAACTTTGATACTAGGCAATCATAAAGTGCCTCTATTAATGTTGTCTAGAGATTTAGCACAGATTAAAAGTTATGCTGTAACTTGGCACAAAATAATCTTCAAAATATATCATTTGCAGTATTCTTGTTCAACATTAAATGATGACAAAGAAAAGATTTATATATTAAAATGGTTTTAATCATTTTCCTCAAAACAGTTTCATAACCCAATCTGAAAATTTCAAATTTTTAACATTGAATTTACACTCAGCATCTTATACTCTAATGTTAACTAATAGCAGTCTTGATCAATTTCCAACCATTATGGAAGCAATAGTTAGTTTATATAGCTATATATATAAATAAAAAAATCTTGATTTAATGGAATCCCATTTGAAATTTAATGATTTTAATTTTGAATGTAATTAAGTATTATAAAACCTTCACTTTTTTCTAGCAATTTCTTTAGTTAAATTAAAGAAATTGCTATAAAAAAGTGGAAGGTTTTATAATACTTATTACATAGAAATTCTATGCATGGAAAGCTAGAACTTCTGTAAATATTTTCAAGTCAAAAAGTACTCTATAAATCACCATATCTGATCTAACCATGAAGTATATTTCACAATCAAAATTTTTTTTATCCCAGAACACTAAACAAAAAAAGTAATAAATTTTCTGTGTTCTGGGATGATAAATTCTACTGATAAACTTAAAAAAATTGTTTTTTTTTATTATTCCTATTGGTTTCTATCTTTCATAGTATTCTTGGTAACCAAAAATAAAAGCTTGAGACTATTTCTAATTAATTTTTATGGGCTTCCCATGAAAATATAGTCAGAAGTGCATTGAAATATTTATAAAATAATCTGTTTACTATTTGTCCCTATTGAAATTTAATGACAACACTACACATGGAACTAAATGTATCTGGTAAAATCACCTTATAGTGGCCTAAGCACTCAACATTACTCAAGAAATATATCATCATGAGTATGCTTGAAACGGTTCAAATTAATTAGATTGTTTATTATTTTTTTTATTTAAATTACTATTTACACAAATGTACACATCACAGGTCTTTCAATCTCTGTAATTGATGCAATCTGAAAGAAAAAAAATATGCAATTATAGTTCAAAAACACATCAATTATCTTAATCTAACATTTGTACAACAAATTAGGAAGCTATAGTTTATTTGAATTCTATACTAGTAGGTGCACCTTGTAGCATAAAAATAATTTTAGGGACTGAATTTATAATAAAAATTTGATCCTCCAATGATACACACACACACACACACACACACACACACACACACAAATAGAGCATGCAAGTATTTATGCTATTTAGTTTCCTCTTTACATCATTTTGATTTCCAAAATTTGCTTTGAAAGACAAAATTTCAGTCAATTTTAATTTAGGAAACAAGCCCTCAACAGGCTGGCAGGCCACAACTGACCACTTTAGTTCTCTCTGTACAGTCTCTCTTTCAAAGTAAATTTTAATCTGGGGAACAAACAGCATTCCATAAAGATTGTGCCATGAGGGACATATGAAAATTATTAATGTGTGCAAAGGAATACTAAATTGAATCACTTCTGCCAAAAAGTTTTTTTTAATAAATTCAATCCCCATATTTAGTACACACACACCACGTATGTTTGTCTAGATATCAAGAAATTCAGAATAATTAGCCATTCTAGCATATGTACATAATGTATAACATGGTTTTGTTTCTGAGAACAATCCTTTTCTTGAGTAATTATCTCATCTATTTATTTCTAGAGGACTGACAAATATTGCAGTAGTATGAAATTTTTAATGCAAATCTTGAATAGTTATTTCTGTATGTAAGGCATGGATGAATTAATGTTTTTTCATTTATCAAAGACTACCTCACTAGAAATCTTTGAAGACTTTGTTTTATGGCAATATTCACACAGAGCTATTGCATTACTATAATTTAGATAAAACAGTTTCATAGGAAATCTTGAAACAAAAAAATTCACTGTGTAATTATAAATGTGCTTATTTCAGTTTCTATATTTTTCCTATTATCAAGGAAGTAAATAAATTTTTATCAACAAATCTTTTTCTGAATCATTTTGTTTCATTCAGACTATTAAGTAATAACTGCAAATCATTCTAGAGATACTTTGTATAAATCAAATCTATTTAAACGAAAAGTTTGTGCGTCACTTCTATTATAGTCCTTATAATAATACCAGTATGAATGTTTAGTGAATAAAAAATATTATTTTTGTAAAGTTATTGTAGTTATTTTAAATACAGAATGTCTTTCTTTTTCTGATCTTAAAGAATACAAAATATTTGTATTAGAACTAATTTATTGGCTTTTAACATTATTGTTAAAAAAAATAATTTATTAATTGAAAAGCAATTTTAAAATAAAGGTTATCCAATCAAAACTTTTCCAAAATAATACTAAAAAATCACCTCACAAAATTTTCTGTGGAAAAAATGCATATTATTCATTGTATATCTTTTGATATCCTTTTGTAAATTTAATTTCAATTTGTTATTTTAATGTTTTAAAAACTGATAAAGTATTTAAAATCTTCAATAACCTAGCACTTACTTTTGCAAAATTTGAAAATTTGATGGCATTTCTGTTTCTGATTCTGATGTATTTTCACTACTTGAAGTTGATTTCTGATTCAGTTTTTTATGTTTTAGTTTATGCTTGTGTTTTGTCTTCTTTGATTTTGACTAAAATAATTTGAAATGTAATAATTATATGAAATAGTAATTTAAATATTTTAAATACAAATTTAAAATCTAACCTTATGTTTATGTTTATGATGTTTATCCTTCTTATTCTTCTTGTAATAAACCTTTTCTTTTTTCTTTTTATCTATGTAAAAATATATATAAGTTAAAAAAAAATAAAAAATGCTTAAAGTATTAAACTATCAATAACTATAATAGTTTACCTTCATCTGAGGTAGATTTTAATAGAGTTGGAGGTAATTTTGGTCCATAAAAACTATTTTCAGAATTTTCTACTTTCTTTGTTTCTATTGTTGGTGGATTTTGAGTTTTGTTTGAAAAATGTTCATTCATTTTCTTATCAACATTACTTTCAATGTCTTTTTGTTGATTAATTGCAATTAAATCAATATTTGCAAAAATACCAAATGCCGGAACAGTTTTTTTGGAATTTTCATTACTTGATGAAGCATTAGTAACATTTACGTTTGATTCATTTTGTGAAGAATCCAAAGCATTTGATACAAGTGTATTTTTTCCTTTTGAAACTTCTTCTTCTGAAGAATTGCTATCTTCTGATGATGTATTTTGAAATATTGCCTTAAATAAATCCATTGAAGGTCTGCCATCATCATCCTTTTTTTCCTAAAAAGAAAAAAATTCTTTGTATTATTATTGTGATTTTAAAATATTTAGATATTCACATATAATAAACAAAACGAAAAAAGTTAATGTGGTATCTATTGATTTGGCACTATACTAAACTTATTACTTTTTAAATAAATAAAATCTGTAAGAGATTACAAAAGGAATTATTTACTGAATAGTAATCTTATTTTTGATTAATATTTAATTTCTTCTAGGAACATGAAAACTATTTCATCATCAAATTCTATGGAATTTTAAAAAATTTTTGCACTAAGAGTAACTTTTTCCATATCCATCACATCCAGGTCTTACTGACCACAAAAAATCCAAGGTGGCTCATTCAGATTAAATTCCAGGTCCCCCAGAGTGATATGCTGGTTGGCCTTGACTGTCTCAGCCAACCAGCCTAAAATCTACAGATTTAAAAATGAACAGAAAAATGACAAAAAACCAAAGAATCAAATGCAACAAATAACAACAAAAATTGAATAAAATAAAAATCAAAGATAAAACTCAACTGTCACGTGTTGTTAAATGGAGAATAGAACACAATCTTCTAGGAAATATGACAAAATAAACCTTGAAAAATTATTTAGCATATTTAATAAAAGAGCACTAAAGATTTGTTCCATGGATTTGGACAATTTCACTTTTTTCTCTTGGTGGATTTTGTACTGTTGCTTGTATCCTTCTCTAACATTTATAGTCTATTTGGCTAATATCATGGTTATATATCCTTTCTAGAAACTTTTAAGTACTTTTTGAACTTTCAATAGACTGTACTTTGTTGTATTTATAATCATATTATTAAATATTAACTGGAATTTCGTACAATTTCTTATCCTATTAAACTGTTCATTGCTCTCTTTTGCATTTTTTCAATTTCTTTCAGGCAACTTTTCCTGGATATTTTAGCATGTTCCAACCCTTCAATCTCTTACTATCAAAACTGTAAAAAGAATATGTATTGTCTTGGCAGATTCCAGAGATATAACTGATGAATACTTTATTTTGTAGTTATTATTAAGCTTAATGTTTTAATAATAACCAAAAAATATTGTAAAGTAAATATCATACAGCATTTATACTTTTTGCTTGTTTTCTTTTTTGAACAAAATTTTTAAAAACACCAAATAATTCATCAAGTCCGTGACTTGTCTAATTAATTAATTACTATTCTACTTTTATAGAGATGATAATTGAGATATATATACAATATTTTGGATTAAAAATGTAAGAGCAGCATACCAATGTTAATAGTTTCTTTGTTTCCTTTTTATGCTTCTCTTCTTTAACTGAGTGACCATCTATGATACGAATTTCTGAAATATGTATATATTCATATTAAATAATAAATCTCTTAAATAATTTATATATATGAAAGTTCTACCTTTTTGTATTGGTTCAGATGAAACTGTTTCTTGAGATTGTGAAGAAGTATCAATGGGTTTTGGAAGATTACTTTCAGTTGGCACAGTAAGAAAATTAAATAATGAATATCTATCTCTCTTCACCTTTGGTAAACCAACCATAGTACAACTGTAAAAATATAATTTACTTTCATTAAGTAAATGAAAAAAAAAATTATTTCATAACATAAAAGAAAATTCAATGAATTATTTTTATTGACAAATATGAAAAAATAAAAAAAATGTGTGAAATTTGCTTTTAAGCAGAATAATTTCTGCTCTTAAATGTTTATTCATAATGTCTTAAAAAAAAAAATAATAAGTTTTGAAAAACTCAACAAATACACAGAGATATTACATTTTATACTAAAAAAGTAAGAAATTAAATCTAATATTAGTGTACAAATATATTTCAATTAGTGTTTTTCTACATTATTACTTAAAAATTATTTCAAAAAGAAAACTTACAGATGCATTAAAATTAAATAATACATCTATAGCCAAATTATTTGTTTTCTTTACATTGAAGAATAAATAAGAGAAAATATTATTATTTTTTTGGTTTTGAAATCAAATAAATCTGTATTTTCTTAAAGAAAGTGTTAAAGTATGAATTTATTGTAGGCATAAATTTACATGCTAGCAATTGGAAGAATTCATTTAATATGCATGAACAAAACATAATTTATTTACTATTCAATAGAAAGTGTAAATCATGGATGGAATAATGATAAAATTAATATTTTCCTTTGCTCATTTATTTCTATATTTAAGAAAAAAGTTATAATGAAATAGTTAAAAAATGAGTAATAGATGTAGAAAAATCAGCAAGGTAGCTAAGACATCAGCCTACCATTCTTGAGGACTTAGGATTAGAACTGTGAAATTAAAAAACCCCCAGTAATTTTTCATGGGTGGTCTGGCTTTATCCCCTCACCCCCAGCCACTCTCATTATGGAGACCTTAATATGACAGGTATGATTAAAACAATAAAGCCACAGGAAAGAGAAAGTTGAAAAAAATCCCTGATATATTAATGTTTTATTCTACAAAAGTTTAGTAGAAAAATCTCTCTTAAAATTTTATATAGATCAGTAGTTCCCAATTAGTGGTACGCATACCCCAGGGTTACGCGAAATTGCACGAAGGGGGTATGCGCAGCAATCTAAAATCAGTCAATTTAAAATTTAAATGCACAAAATGAAGCAATCAAAAAAATAATGGGTGGACCATCAAAAATTCGGCAATTTACAACACGATGTCGAATGCACAAATTTGTTTATTTATAACTAAAAATATTTTCGAAATTTTATCAAAAAATGCATTTGTGACAATACCTAAATGAAATTCTTATGCAAGAAACAAAAATTGTACAATTAACACAAATTGTGTTAATTGTACAATTATCATTATTGTAATGTCAGGAAAGTGGCAGTAAAATATTTACTACCATTTTGCACAAAATACCTCTGCGAAAGTGGATTTTCGGCCATGACAAACATGAAAACTTAACATTGTCACCGACTTCGACCCGAAGATGACTCGAGACTGAAGCTGACCAAAAAGTGACCAGATTTTACAAAGTTATGCAAAGATAATCGTGCACATTTGTCACATTAAAATTAAATAACCTTATGCTATTTTCATTATTATTAGAATTGTATTTTAAAGGTAATAAATGTAAAAAAAACTTATTCTATTTATCACTACCTGTCTACCCACAGCTTCACCCACATTATATCGAATTTTCTTGTGGGAATTAGATATTTTTTCACAGTAAAATGTAGCCTATCTCCAACATGTAGACTATCTCTGTGCCAAATTGTATTAAAATCTGTTCAGTGGTTTAGACATGAAAAAAATGACAGACGGACAGAATTACCTTCAAATTTATAATATTAGTATGGATTAATATGTATTTCTCCTATAAGGGGTACGCGAGTTTGAGCTCTTTCTTGAAGTGGTACGCAGGAAAAACTAATTGGGAACCACTGATATAGATTAAATACAATCATTTATTAAAAAAAATAANAGTAATAGATGTAGAAAAATCAGCAAGGTAGCTAAGACATCAGCCTACCATTCTTGAGGACTTAGGATTAGAACTGTGAAATTAAAAAACCCCCAGTAATTTTTCATGGGTGGTCTGGCTTTATCCCCTCACCCCCAGCCACTCTCATTATGGAGACCTTAATATGACAGGTATGATTAAAACAATAAAGCCACAGGAAAGAGAAAGTTGAAAAAAATCCCTGATATATTAATGTTTTATTCTACAAAAGTTTAGTAGAAAAATCTCTCTTAAAATTTTATATAGATCAGTAGTTCCCAATTAGTGGTACGCATACCCCAGGGTTACGCGAAATTGCACGAAGGGGGTATGCGCAGCAATCTAAAATCAGTCAATTTAAAATTTAAATGCACAAAATGAAGCAATCAAAAAAATAATGGGTGGACCATCAAAAATTCGGCAATTTACAACACGATGTCGAATGCACAAATTTGTTTATTTATAACTAAAAATATTTTCGAAATTTTATCAAAAAATGCATTTGTGACAATACCTAAATGAAATTCTTATGCAAGAAACAAAAATTGTACAATTAACACAAATTGTGTTAATTGTACAATTATCATTATTGTAATGTCAGGAAAGTGGCAGTAAAATATTTACTACCATTTTGCACAAAATACCTCTGCGAAAGTGGATTTTCGGCCATGACAAACATGAAAACTTAACATTGTCACCGACTTCGACCCGAAGATGACTCGAGACTGAAGCTGACCAAAAAGTGACCAGATTTTACAAAGTTATGCAAAGATAATCGTGCACATTTGTCACATTAAAATTAAATAACCTTATGCTATTTTCATTATTATTAGAATTGTATTTTAAAGGTAATAAATGTAAAAAAAACTTATTCTATTTATCACTACCTGTCTACCCACAGCTTCACCCACATTATATCGAATTTTCTTGTGGGAATTAGATATTTTTTCACAGTAAAATGTAGCCTATCTCCAACATGTAGACTATCTCTGTGCCAAATTGTATTAAAATCTGTTCAGTGGTTTAGACATGAAAAAAATGACAGACGGACAGAATTACCTTCAAATTTATAATATTAGTATGGATTAATATGTATTTCTCCTATAAGGGGTACGCGAGTTTGAGCTCTTTCTTGAAGTGGTATGCAGGAAAAACTAATTGGGAACCACTGATATAGATTAAATACAATCATTTATTAAAAAATAATTATTATTTTTAAATATCCATCAATTTATTTAACCTAAATATATTGTGTTTTTATAAATTATTATTTCTTTATAAATATTTTAAAAATTACAATATAATCAAAATTATGCTACATTTACAGAGAGTTAAATACTTACTCACTATATGGATTTGGTACATTAAATCTTTTACAGAGAACTTTTGCTGGATGCCATTCAAATTTCTCTCTTGTCAATTTACCAAACATTTTCATCTCAGCAGCTTTTTTCTGATCATTTTGATCACTCTATTTTATTAAAATATTAAAACAAATTATTTCAAAAATCTTAAAATACTTTGCATATATATTAGTTCTAGTTTCTTTTTCAGATTAATATGATAATGAAAAATTTATAAATGAACATTGTTATTTTACATCAGAAAAAGGCATTTAAATATCGAAATGTCAAAAAACATTTAATAAAAATTATTGAATTTTTAATTAATAACAGATTTATAAACAGAAATAGAAAAAAATACACAAAATACCAAAAAGTGAATAAAAAGGAACTAATATCCCCTCTAAATGATCATAAACTTGTGAGTCCAGGACCTCTCCTTTCAACGGGAAACTGGCTGTTGAAATAGGTACAATAAACCAGTGACTTATTTTGTAAACAGGACCGGGATGCAATATGATTTAATTGTCACATTCCAAGACCTAATTGACATATCCCCAATCGAAGATTATGAGGGAGATTGAACTCTGTGTGAGGTGACCATCAAACTTTCCCCAGAGGTCAAAGCAGGAATTGTGGACGCTCCTTCAGAGGGGGAGCAGCTGGGACTGATTTAACCCAGCTGCACCTTCTCCAAGACAGGAAAAACACATTTAGCAGAAATTTGCATGATGGTCACATGGGGAAGAGCTTGCCCAGGAACAGAGGGAGGTCCCCCAGAGGGAAACAGCCTGGGCAGGAGTGTTTGACCACTCCACAGCCCAAATCTCATCCCTGGCAACAGATCAGGGACCAATAGAGTTACAGGGAACCACTGTTCAGACCAACCAAGAAGCGGGATTTTGGGTGAAAATCATATAAAATCCCAAGGACATGAGGTTTTGAAGTTAGGGAGTCCACCAACATCACAGTACCGGACAGATCCAGGAATGAAGAACTAAGTTGATCCAGTGGGAGCATAACATATTCTTCCTGCTTCCTGCTGTCCCATCAAATAAACATCTTCTGGATTTTTGCACCATGACTTTGGGGACAAACGATCTCTGGGACATCATCAGAAAGGACTGTGTGAATGAACTTTCTTCCACATCATAACTTGGAAAACAACTTTCTTCAGGAGTCATCCATCTGGACTTAGGGGACAAACCATCCTTCACTTCATCGTTGCATCTCCCATGGGACAACAGTTTTGTAATCCATCTGTAAGCATGTGTTTTATACCTTAATAAATGTGATTCATTGAGTAAATCTGGCTTCTGTGTGAGTCTCTCTGCGTCCTGCAACCGCACCCCCATACATCCAAAAGACATCTCATGTCATCCTGACAGATCATGGGAAAAGCAAGGGTCACTGTGCCTTCCACTTAAGGCAGACCATCATAACGGTATTGCCATCCTTACAGTGGTGTTGCAGTTCCTTACAAACTTAATAACCACCCTGTGATAATTTGAAACAGTTCTCTGCACAAATAATATAAAGGAGAAGCACCTCAACTTTCCGACTTTAATCATTATATGTAATAGATGAAAAGTACAAATTTTCACTTAATAGTAAAATTACAAACCTCTTCATCTACTCTTATTTCTATTTCTCTATCATTTTCTAAAATTGAAGAAGATATGAATCGAGAATTCAATGTTGATGATAATGGTCGATACAAAATAGCAGCCCGTTGAAATTCTTCTTTTTCTCTTTGTTTTTCCCATTCAGTCATAGATTTTGGTTGGAGCTGTTCTAAACAATCTATGTGAATAAAAGTAATGTAAATTTAATTTTGAAAAAATAATTTTTAAAATATCACATCGAAAAATTTTTCAATTTTTTTTAACCTTTCTTTTCTATTTTCATAAGTGTAAGATACTGCTCATAACGAGCTTGCTTGGCTTTATCATTTTGAAAAGGTTTAAAACATTGATTTTGTTTTTCCTTTGAAGAGACTGAAATAATTTCTTGCATCTTTTCACATTCCAATTTTTGTGTTTCTTGTGTTGTAATCTGTTTGTCTTGCAAAGTCTGTCCTTTCTCTTGAATCTGCTTCTTCACTTGTTCCAATCTTTGTTTATCATGTGTTGAAAGAAGATCAAATACAGAACCTTCAAAATTATATATAAATGAAAGTTAAATATCAGAAATAACTTTGATATACTTGACACAAATTTTGAAAAATTTAAATTACATACATTTATCAGTCGAAGATGATTCTTCTGTCAAAACTGCATTTCTTTCATAAGCATTCATATTATGACGATCTAAAAATTGATTATCCAATAATGTTTGTTTTTGTAGTGGATTATGCTTTGGCTGATGAATTGGTCTAAAATTGGGTGGAAGAGATGGAGGAGGATAATTCTTTTTCCTAAGTAGTGATTTAATAGCAAGACAAAACCCTTCTATCATCTCCTCTTTATTTTCATTCTTTCCTAATTAAAAATAGATTTTTTTTGAATAAATTAAAATATACAATTTTCACTATTTCTAATATAAACTTTTAAATATTAATTTATATCAAATTTCATAAAATAAAATCTGAAAAGCATAAATTGTTTAACTTAATATCATTTCACATATCAAGAATAAAAAAGACACTAAACACATATTACGCATTTTTCCAGCAACTAAATTTAATGAAAACAAACATTTTCAGTCTGAATTTAGTTGCTGGAAAAGTTTATAAGGTTTTTTTAGTGTCTTTATATACTGTTGAAGTTCCAGCTCTGATTATTATTGATATTAAAAATAAATTATCTATGTACAAATACATAGATGTAATGCTACAGTTTTTATCAGTTTATACTATAAAAGTAAAATCTTTATCATGACTTTCATCTAAACAGGTTGTTGCTTTTCTTAAATTTATTAAAAAAATATATAATAAAGTAATTATCTACAAGTAACTATAAAATCATAATTTGTATGTTTGTGGAACAAAATCTTTTCACTTTTTCCAATGATACATTACTATCTCAAAGTTTGTTAGTATTATGTAAAAAAATTGTTCTTTTACACAGAAATAACAGATGCCAAGTGCCTTTCAATTTAAATCACCATTATAAATAATTAAAAATCTTAATGATTAGAAGTATAGACCTTAAACAACAATCAATAAATTCTAAAAATATAATAATAATAAACTATATAAGATGCTAATAAAATACATAATAATAATCTAAATAAGCATCTTTTGATTAAGATAAAATAGTAAATATGAAGAATTTTCTAATTTAAATTCTATTGCATTAATGACAATCTGCAAATAAAGTAGTGTATTCAAAAAGCAATATCAAGTAAATTACCAAATAAATCTAAAATTAAAAAAGGGTCATCATCATAACATCCACTGGATACTTAATTTAACTATCACCTGCTTATTTTTAATTTTTTTTAACATTATTAATACATTCTTCATTATTTTAAATAACCCATTTTGTTTAGTCTTATCATCAATCATTTTTATTATATTTTTAAAATATCAGTTATATTTACTTAATTAATATCTATAATTAACTATTGATATTGTTTAAAAATTTATTATAAATTGTAATACAGAGCACTGTGAAGAAATGCAAAACATCAAAGTTGTATCATTAAAGGCAATCAGGAAAAACCACTCTAATAATTATATTGACTCAAAATGCACATCATTCAAGTATATGAGAGTATGAGATTAAAAATTCTGCTATAAAAAACTTAATAAATGGAAAAATGTTATCCAAACTTTGAATTTAATTTTATCACATTCTTTGTGTAAAATAATGAATGAAAATCTAATAAACATTTAAAACAGAATTAAACATGTACTTTTAGGTTTCTCTTTAGTGTCTTGTTTATTTGAAGTTCCTTCCAAAAAGTAATCATACTGGGTCATATCATCTTTGGCATATATATCATCATCTTCATCTTCAAATGCACCAACTCCAAAAGCCTGAAAATATGAAGATTAGAAGATCCAATAATTAATATACATACAATATTAGAGAAATTATAGAAAACTGAAATTATTATTATTTCACGGTTATTTCACAATTAAATCTTACTTGACCAGAAATTAATAATTTCTTCTTTTTTTCTAATATAGTTGCTGTATGTGTTGGCTCAAATAAATTTATATGAGAAGAAAGAACTGGATTTTTATTCAAACCAGAATATCCTATTCCTTGTAGATTGTTCTTAGGAACATATGGTAGAATCTCAATATCTTTTGGAGCAAACGTGTGACCAATAGCATATGGATCATCATCATCATCATCATTCTGTAAAATAGAAACTTAATTGTAACTATATTATTACAGTATAAAATCAAAGATTGTTCATTTCTGATTAATATTATCTTAGAAAATTATTTATTTCTTCTAAGCCAAACAATTACTATTATTAATTGGGCTATTAATATGCTAGAATTAATAATTAGAAACTAATAGAGTGGAGGAATATATATGTCACAAGCAAAGAAGTCACACCAAACTGTCACTGTAACTGAATGGTTATATCTAAATTTAAATATGTCTAGAAGGAAAGACTTTCTAAGAGTTTGGATGGCATAACTGGCAAGCACATCACATGTTAGTGGAAGTTGCAGGTTCAAGTCACACTCCAGACTAGTTCTTTTTTTCTAGAATGTTCTAAATTATTTAATAAATTTGTGGTCATTTATAAGTTTGGTTTTGAGGCATATTAATACTGAATAGAAAATTAACATAGTTATCCAAACAAGAAGCAATTTATACTACATTTAATAAATTAAAGCCAAATCAACTTTCACATAAGATCAAACTATTTTGCAGTGATTATAATTTTAATTACTAATTAATTTGCCCTAGAGAGAGGCATCAGGTGCCTCTAGGACAAATTAATTATTAAAATTATAATCACCGGAAAATAGCCCAATCTTACATGACAATTGATTTGGCTTTATACTAATAAATTGGGTTTGGAGAGAGATTTATATTTAATAAATTATTAATCTAGATAAAAGATGGTGCCTAACATCTACCTCTAGTACCAAATTACTTAGTTTCTAATTATTAATTATAGCATATTATTAGCCCGATTAATTATGACACTCATTTTGCTTAGTATCAATACATCAGGTTTTGGAAAGTTGATAATTATTTCTTCTATTTGATCTTCAAGAATTTGTCTTTTAATATATATTTCCTATTAAAGCAGAATATAAATTTTAATTAAAACTTCAATAAAGAAAATGACAAAGAAAAATATAAATATTTTGAGTTTGTTATTAGATCCCAATATATTGTGTGTCATCATATTGAGAAATATGACCATTTTACAATATTATATTATTTCATTGTACAAAATAATAAGAATAAAGTTTCTTATTCTTAGTTGTTTTGTAGAAGGTCAATGTACAATATTTCTAAACATAATTTCAAATAGATCTATTCAATTCTAAACAAAATCATTATGTTTATAATAAAGATATTCATGTATAATAATACGTTGATGGTAATTAAATAGCTTGGGTACATAAATGTCAATGATGAAATTCTAACTGAACAGAGGAATAACTTTCCCACTAAAAAATTAAAACATAAAAATAATCACATCCAAGTACCAGCCATTAGAGTATAAATCCTAATAAAAAAAAAATTAAAGCAATATTAAAGTTTAATACCAAACAATATTTCTATTATTTTTGTCAATATTTTAACAGAAGTGAAATTAAATCCATTACTTTTAAAATAATTGTGAGAAAATTATAGAAGATTGATTGAAAGAGAAAATTGTATATCCTGAGAAATAGCACCAAATTACTCCTAAATTATGAGAAAAAGTGATAATTCTTTTGGAAGTAAGTACAGAATTGCTGAGGAGAACTTATCAATAGGAACACAGTTCCCATTTGACAAGTTCTATTTATTCTATTAGTTCTTTCTATTTAGAGAGAACAAAAAGCAATTGAAGTAAAAGAAGTAATTTCATTACAATTTAAAAACTGGAAGAACTTTTTGACAGAGACCATATCTTTGTAGTAAGAAAAAGACAGAAAGACAACAAATCAATATTAGAATCTAGAAAAAATGTACTGAATATATAATTTTTATTTGTAAATTCAATATTTTGCATAAAGAGTAAAAATAAAATTATTTTAAATTTATTGTATCTGGGTAATGAATAATGAATATTAATGAATTTTTTTAATAGTATCATTATTCAACAAATTAAATGAATGTGAAATTCATTAAAAATTTATATTTATTGATAAAAAATGATCAGTGATCAACTCCTATCACTTATTTCTCATTGTGAGTATATGATCTCAAAAGAAGTAATAAATCCAAATTTATGTAACAATGTAACAAATTTTATAAATTTGCAATAGCAAAATGAGTTGAGACAATGTCAATGAATACACATTATGTTCTAATTTTTAAACATTGCTAAAAGTTATCTCAAAGTTGCTAATGAATCTTCTAAAATTAAAGTGGTTAAACTAATTTCATGAAAAAATTAGTGTAGACACTTCATAATTCATTCCACTTAAAGAATTTTAAAAAATATACGTATTTTGCTAAATAAATAAAATAAATGCTAAAACTAAATACTAAAAAAGTCTAGAAATATCTAGATTTATTATTATACAACTAATAACTTAATTCATTATTATTAATTTATTACTTCACTGTAAATTGCTGCATATAAGTAAACCTTTTAAGCCTGAAAATCTTTGACATATAACCAATAAAAATACCATGTACTACAGCCACATTTCAGTTCTAGCTTACTGTATGTTTAAGATCAACTTATATTGCAAATGTTAGCCTAAACTAGAATTCTGATCTTAAAATCTTGAAATAGTTTTATATAATTATAATTTATGTTATTTTTTAAAAGTTGTTGTAATGGTTTATACAAATTACAATACAAAATTATAAAGATTCTAAGTACTGAATATAATTTTAAAAATTAATTCAATGAAAATATTTTCTATACAATTGTTCAAATATATATGTGTGATTTTTGACTTTCACCTGCAATTTAAAAAAAGCTGAATATTTTGGAGTCAATCTGATATAACTGTTTTACTTGAAATCAATATACACCTGTTTCATTTTTACAATATTTAAGATACTGTTATAGAAAATGGAGCCTTAGTTTCACAACTTATTAAAATATAACAATAAGGTTCAATATACTTTATTAATATTTATATTAAATGTATTTATTTATACAAATTTTCTGGAATTGATATAAAAANATAAGATTATGCTATGAAATTATTATTGTTTATAATTAATTTTAGATTTAAATCAGAACATCAATCAGAGAAAATACTTTGTTTCTATGAATTGAATTGACAAAAAAAACTTCTACTTTTCCTGCAGTAAAGTGTGGAAAGTTTTCATCAATTCAATTCATTGAAGTACTTAAGTACTTTGTTTCTACTGAACAAATTTATTTCTTCAGTAGAAACATAATTATTCACCCACATGTTCAGGAAACTAATAAAAAATAGCTTTTTGTATTGAAAACAGCATATAATAGCAAATGCTATTTAGATGGTAATTTATTAATAATTGTCATAAACAAATAAAATTAAAATATTCAAGTTAATTTTTAATAATAATATGAAAATATTACAAAATGATATGCATCTGTTGATATCTTAGAGAAAATAGTTAAGAGATTAATAAAAAATAAATTATTTATATGTTTATTACTAATCCTAATTATTTCATCCTTACTTCATCTTCAGTTGGAGGTAAAGCACATCCATAGATCTTTTTTCCATCACTAGAAACTTGTTTTTGTTTCTTTTCAATTCTTGGACCTATACCTTGACCTTGTTTCCATCCCATTTTCTGCAGCAATCTTACTCCAATTGTTTCTCTATAAATTTTAAAATTCCAATTTTTAAGATTACTTTTTTAAAATGCTTAAACATATAATTATAAAAATTTTTAAATATCATAGTTTTAACGTTTACCTAACAGGTTTCACTAATTCTTTGAGAGGAGGTACTCCAGGAATAGGACCGCTTGAAAATACTGGAAAATTTCTTTTTCTGCTTTCCTCTTCTTTATAGCTAAAATTGTCTGTAGTTTGTACTCTTCGTGAAGCAATACCAAAAACTCCAAGATCCTAAAATGTATTAAATTTAAACAAGTTTAAATAATTTTATCTACAGCATACAAATTATAAAATTATAAGCAAAATTTTAATGGTATCTTTTTTCTGTCATAAATAATGCAATATTATTTGGATCAAGATGTAATTTAACTTAATAAGTAATTTACATTATTAAAATTTCTTTTATATTCAATTTAATATTTGAGATTTAAATTGAATATAGACTACAAAAAATAAAATATAATCATTCAATTTCTTCAGATTAGTAAAACTAATCTTCACAAACTTAGGAGAATAATCAATTAAGAAATTTTAAATAAAACAAAAAATTACTTTATTATTTTAAAATTAGTTTATTATTCAATTATTAAAACAAAAAATCTTAAATATTACTCATGTCTTACAAATAATCAATCAATCAATTTCTGTTGCATCTCTTTTGATAGCCAATATATTAAATACAGATTTCTTAGTCTTGATATAAACAACTTACAAAATCTAATACATTACAATAGCACTACATCAACTGCTGTATAACATCAGGCTCTTTATTGGCGATAATAATTATAAATTACTAAACTTAATTTTAAATGTACAGAAATTTTTCTTGAAGAATTAAGAATTTATTTGTAATATGTATATACTTTTATAGAAGTTATATACTTATTAAATACTTTCCTAATTACTTTCATACTTATAGTTGTTTGAGATGAAAATGATTAAGACCTAGATGATAATGACAGTGCATCTGATTTCATTATGATGAGGTTCTATTTTAACTTCTAAAATTTACATTTTTTATTTTTTAAAAGCAATTTTTTAATTTTTATATTCTATGATTTTTCCTAAATATCTGTTTCTCACAAAGACAATCAACATGATTAATTTTACCTTATTCTTTGTTTTATAAAAATAAGGGTTATCTATAAATTATGCAATGCAGATTTGAGTGAATGAATGGTTATGCAGATAATTGTTGCATTACAAAAAGGTGGAGCTGGATCTAGAATACAAGGATGGGATTGTGCAAGGCATTAAACAACATTAAGAGAGAGTAGTTGAAAAGTGTAAAAATAGCATTACATAATTTACAGATGGTCCCGCATGCAGATTCTTAGAGATCCTCGAAATTATTTAACTGTAATGAAAACAAATACAATCCACATTGAAACATAAAAGGAATTTAATGTAGACTATGTCATGTATATATAAGCAATGTAATTGCATCACATGCTTGCTACTTTATACATATATATACTTTATACTCAAATGATGTCAAAATAAGAAATATGACATTTAACACTGAAAAATAAATCAGTTTTTATCAGGAAAAGTTAAAGTAAAAGAAGAGTATGTAAAGAAAGTAGAAGTTAAAATATTACTTTATACACATAAATAAGTATAAATATACAAATACCTCATTATCCATAAAATCTTCAGGATTTTGTTTAAACTTATCAGCCTTTTGAGAACGTGATGATTGAAAAGCAGAAGGAGCCCATCCTTAAAAGATNTTATTTAAGGCAATTATTTGCTTATACTTCTATATACATATCGGGCTTCATGATATTTGATAATTATAACCTTATTAACCAAAAAGTGTATGGAAGCAACAAAGTCTAACAAGTAAGAGGGAGACTACAATATCAACAATTGAGATGAAAAAGTATGCTTTGCAATAAGCATGAAAGCAGTACACTTGTGGCATCTGCTGGCCATGTTTAAGATGCTAAAGTTGACAATGTATGAACAGTAAATGCAATTTTCATTTTATTATAGAGTATTTATGTATTTTATTTATTGTTTTCATGTTTTAATTTATTATTAGTTCTCAAACATCCTTACTACACCCAATATGTTTAAAGCTATACATTAACCAAAGCTGAATATTATCAGACTAGAAATGGCTATAGTCATTTCTAGCCAGATAATATTCAGTTTTGGTTGGTGTATAGCTTTATTATTAGTGCATTTAATTGTGCCAGTTTTACTTTAAATTTCAAGTTTTTGCTGTTTTAAGTTCATAAAAGTAAGCATTGGTTAGGATATGAAATGGATTAATTCACTTTCCATTATTTCTAATGAATAAAATTGATTCAGACTTCAAGAATGAAATAAATTTGAAGTGTGAGACACCACTGTATAATATTTCTACAAATGATTAATAAATTGTCATATTACTGTTTTAATTAGTGAAAATATAATGCACTAAATAATGAAATCATTAATTGAAGATCATAGTATGAGAAATAATTTACAAAATGCCTTTATAGTGAGAAGATAAAAATATATCATCACTATGCATTCATATGATAGCTCATTAAAGTTATATTTCTATTTAATAAGGCAACAAGTGAAAATATCTTATTTTACATTAACAAAATGATGTTGGAATTATAGAGAAAACAAATAATTTCCAATAATAATGAATGCAAAAACATAGAGCAAAGATTAAAAAAAGATAAAAACCAATAATGAAAATGATTATAATAAATTAGATTTACATCATACGTGCAAGGCATTAAACAACATTAAGAGAGAGTAGTTGAAAAGTGTAAAAATAGCATTACATAATTTACAGATGATCCCGCATGCAGATTCTTAGAGATCCTCGAAATTATTTAACTGTAATGAAAACAAATACAATCCACATTGAAACATAAAAGGATTTTAATGTAGACTATGTCATGTATATATAAGCAATGTAATTGCATCACATGCTTGCTACTTTATACATATATATACTTTATACTCAAATGATGTCAAAATAAGAAATATGACATTTAACACTGAAAAATAAATCAGTTTTTATCAGGAAAAGTTAAAGTAAAAGAAGAGTATGTAAAGAAAGTAGAAGTTAAAATATTACTTTATACACATAAATAAGTATAAATATACAAATACCTCATTATCCATAAAATCTTCAGGATTTTGTTTAAACTTATCAGCCTTTTGAGAACGTGATGATTGAAAAGCAGAAGGAGCCCATCCTTAAAAGATTACCAATAATAATTTTAAAATGTAGGACTGAAATTTTATATTAAAAATCTAAGTATTGTCATTTAAATTTCAGTTAAATGAAAATTAAACTTAACAAATCTTCAAACTTTTAAATTTATTTGAAGAATTAATAGGATTATTTCACTGTAAATAATTTCATTAAAAGTGTTTATTCACCTTCTTTAGAATTAATGAAGAATTAATAGGATTATTTCACTGTAAATAATTTCGTTAAAAGTGTTTATTCACCTTCTTTAGATCCAACAGTATTAAAATAACCAGCTGAAAATCCACCAGTGAAAGCTCCATGAAATCTTCGTCTTCCTTTTTCATCATGCACTGTCTGCTCATGTACTGGAATTTTAGATGGAGGTGCTTCATCTGAAAAAAATCATTAATTTTAAAAATATGTAAATATAACTGAAATGACTTCTGCATATTTATCAAAAGACTATTAATTAATAATAAACATTATAAGAAATTATTAATATTTAACATAAAATTAAGAATTTATATAATTAAAAAAATTATTATTCAAATTCAAATTGGTTTTTAGTAGTGCATAAAAAAAATTGAATTTTCAAATAAAATGAAAAATACAGTGGTACCTTAAAGTTCAAAAGTTAAAGTCAACAAAAATTTGCTTCAAGTTTGAATGATTCTTCAAAATCAAACTGCACACACATTGAAAAAATGTGCTCAAAGCATAAAACAAGCTTCTAAACAAAGAATGCAATCTCAAATTAGCAATAATATGTTTAATTTTACAACTGTTATAATTAAATCACCTATCCACATTAAATAACAAAACCTGTTAAAAATATGCAAAAACTGTGTGTTTAACTCAATAAACATAACCTTAACCAAACAACTGCCTTAAATAATCGAGCTATAACTCCACTAATTTAACGATTAATACTAAGTAATTTGCCACTATAGGTAGATACTAGGCACCATCTCTTAACTAAATTAATAATTATAATTTTAATAATTCATTAAATAATTTGGAATCATCTGGAAGAAAAGAACTGACCCAGAGCAGGGATTGAACCTGCAACCACCACTTATCAGTTGCATCACCTGGACCCCAAACTAGCCTTTGCTTCCATATGTGTTTAAATTTAGATATAACCTTACACAGTTAATTACATGGTATATTGTGGTTATAACCCAATTATTTAAGGCAATTATTTGCTTATACTTCTATATACATATCGGGCTTCATGATATTTGATAATTATAACCTTATTAACCAAAAAGTGTATGGAAGCAACAAAGTCTAACAAGTAAGAGGGAGACTACAATATCAACAATTGAGATGAAAAAGTATGCTTTGCAATAAGCATGAAAGCAGTACACTTGTGGCATCTGCTGGCCATGTTTAAGATGCTAAAGTTGACAATGTATGAACAGTAAATGCAATTTTCATTTTATTATAGAGTATTTATGTATTTTATTTATTGTTTTCATGTTTTAATTTATTATTAGTTCTCAAACATCCTTACTACACCCAATATGTTTAAAGCTATACATTAACCAAAGCTGAATATTATCAGACTAGAAATGGCTATAGTCATTTCTAGCCAGATAATATTCAGTTTTGGTTGATGTATAGCTTTATTATTAGTGCATTTAATTGTGCCAGTTTTACTTTAAATTTCAAGTTTTTGCTGTTTTAAGTTCATAAAAGTAAGCATTGGTTAGGATCTGAAATGGATTAATTCACTTTCCATTATTTCTAATGAATAAAATTGATTCAGACTTCAAGAATGAAATAAATTTGAAGTGTGAGACACCACTGTATAATATTTCTACAAATGATTAATAAATTGTCATATTACTGTTTTAATTAGTGAAAATATAATGCACTAAATAATGAAATCATTAATTGAAGATCATAGTATGAGAAATAATTTACAAAATGCCTTTATAGTGAGAAGATAAAAATATATCATCACTATGCATTCATATGATAGCTCATTAAAGTTATATTTCTATTTAATAAGGCAACAAGTGAAAATATCTTATTTTACATTAACAAAATGATGTTGGAATTATAGAGAAAACAAATAATTTCCAATAATAATGAATGCAACAACATAGAGCAAAGATTAAAAAAAGATAAAAACCAATAATGAAAATGATTATAATAAATTAGATTTACATCATACATGAAATCAATGTTTGTGCCTGAGTATTCTATAATATAATTTTAATTTGTAAAGGTAAAAAANAAAGGATTAAAGAGACAAAAAATTCACAAACGAATAAATACAGCTATAACCAGAATATTCAGGAGTAAAAACTGTCAAAGGAATTGATGGTCTACATGTGATCCTTTACAAGATATATTTCCCAAAATCAGCCTATCTAGAATTTTGAAGATCTTCAAAAATGGGGTAAAAACTTAAAAGTAAAAACATCTGAAACTTTCTGAAAACAATGCTAAGAATCAACCATTTTCCATTTTACTAGAGACAACTAAAAGCTCATAAAACATGAGAAACATTATTGCACTGACTACTTCTGTGGTGGGATTGTATGTATATTGTGAGGGATATATTTCAGGTTGCTATATCTGTGAACAGTCATATGTAGACCAGTTCCTTTGACGTTTTTTACTCCTGTATAGTCTACAGCTCTGAAAAGGTTTCAACCTCCTCATTTAGAGCTGCAATTTTACCAAAAAATTCCATTATTTTAGCAGGCAAAAATTTCACATGAATCTTACAATATCTTGAAAGTTTCTTTCTAAAAAGATAAGCATCGTTCTAGCATAGTTTTGGTGTCTCTTAGGTGTAATGTTTACTAAATTCTTCACATACACAATTATGACAAAATTATTTTCATAAAGCATTTCTGAAAAATATAATTCAATTTATAACAGTAATTGCTAGTGACATTAATACAATGATTAAATTCATGTAACACACTGGAGAAAATTTTTTTTTAATTTTATATTTTTCAAGTAGATTTTTTTTTTCTAATTACTTCATATTCAGATTTGAATGTATTTGAATTTTGATCTTCTGTGAAATATTATTTCAAAAGCATTACTTTAGTACTAAGTTGTGTGGTCAGAAATAAATTATTAGGGCAGCGGTAGCCAACAGTTTTTGCCCCTGGGCCTGATTGGAAAGAAAACTTTTTCCACGGGCCGAACCAGAGGCTGCCTAGGAAAATTTTGAGGTGGTGCAAGATCTTATTGTGGTGTCACCCCATAGAGACTGAACTGTAGATAGAGATTACAGATACATTTTTCACATTATCATGCTTTATCAACACTCTACACTGTACTTAAGAGATTTGTAATGGAAGGTTAACTCTAAACACACAAGTTGACATTTTTTTTTCATCAAGCTATTCGGAATTCACAACCTAATATTGAAAGATTGATCGTGGGCCACATAAATTCATTAGACGGGCCATATGTTGGCCATTCCTGTATTAGGATGTCCAGAAAGTTTTCTAGGTTTTTAAAAACAAATTTATTTAATTTTTTTCATAAATTTCAATAAATTTATGAAAAGATAAATTGCATAAAATTACAATTATGTCATATTAAGGTAATTTATAGTTTACTTGAAAATAGAGGTCAACACTACAAAAAAGAATATTAGTCATTGTTTTGAATTTGAATGAATAGGTTTTTATTGAATATAATGGCAAATAAAAAGAGTGTATTATTGACATTGTGTTTCTTGTTTTATCAACGGGAAAGTGCTACAGCAGCTGCTAGAAAAATCTGTACAATTTACAGTGAGGATGCTTTAATACATAGAAAATATGATTCAGTATTGGTTTAAGAAATTCAGAAATGAGAAATCAGATGTTAAAGATAAATTTCAGGCAAGAAGACCTTCAACCATGGACAAAGACTTCTTAAGGATTACAGTTAAAAATACCCCTAGAATGACTATACAGAAGCTTGCAGAAGATTTTCAAGTGACAGAGTGAATAATTTTTAAAAATTTAAAGAAATTAGGCTATGTGAATTGCTTAAATGTTTGGTGGCCTCAATTAGTTAAGCAAACAAAATTTAGGTGCTCTTCTGTTTTGTTACCCCTTGCAATGCAATACTGCCCACAACCATCACTCACACCTTGTGACACAAGGACAGATGAAAGCATTTGTCCAACAGAAAGCATTTGATTCTCTCTAGGTATAATTTACTCTTTATTATGGTTAGTAAACTGCGCAATGTTAACCGTCAACTTATTATTATTTTTAAAAAATCACATTTTTTTCTTTAAAGACATTTCCTCTTTGGTAGTAATGTGTGTTTATAAACTTGTTTCCATTTTCTTTTTTTTTATTCATTTTATATACCTATAATTTAGTAAATAATTTGTTTTAATTTGGTTTCATTTTTGCTTGAGTTTTTGTTTAACATAGTATTTCTTCAATTTCCCTAACTTTTTTAATGTTTCAGATTGTACAAAAGCACGAGTAGTTTGGTTAATAAACACCACATCACGTTAATATGAAGTACAGTATTATGCAAATTATTCCTTTTCCCTTTAACGATGTTTGAAGGGAAAAGGACAACCCACGTAAACTTATATCATTAAATGCGTTGATTTTAACATAAAACCATAAATACCGTCTTCTAAAGGTTCTAGAGGAGTTCCATACGTAACAAAATCTTCGTCGTCAGAAGCCATATTTAGTTAATTTTCAGTAAGTCATACTTTCTAACTATTAAAACATAAACAACACAGTATCGCCATCTTGGCGAATCTATCGCACCCTCTCGGTAAAAATTGTAAGTATAAATTTTTAAACTTAAAGAAAAAATTGTTTGTGTTAAAAAAATAAATAACTCATTTCGAAATAAATTTATTTTTTAGAGAAATTATTAATATAATTTTGATACGCTGATTAATTAAAAAAAGTAAGAATGAAATTATATATAAGAATCTTTAAATCGTTTTCACATATTCATTTATTCTTCTGCATTGTAATCATTTAGGAAGTTTACGATTATCAATTCTGACGCAGATTTTTGATGTGACTTTTTTTAATCTGTGTAAATTGTCATAATTTGTCAGATATTCCATTTCCTCCAAAGATTTCTTTACAGTGATTTCTTTTCTTTTTGAAGCTCTATTTGTTGCTCCGTTTTCTTCTTTTTGAACTTTTGTACTTGTTACAATTTTTTTTACGATATCTTTAGCCTCTTTTCTTTTTGTCTTTTTTCTCACAAATCCGTAGCATTTGTATATACCTTTATATTTAACTTCATCATTTCGATGCTGATCTTTTTTCTCATCTTTCCGATTATCTAAGGTTCTCTCGGCAGTACGTTTCGAGAAATTTCGTAAAGGGGCGACATTTTCTTCGGTGTCTACTCTTACTTTTGGCGAAGTTATTTTAATACCAGGCCCGTGACATGGTCTACATGTTGATGTAGCATTTACTTTAATTATATTATAATCTGATTTTGAAGGAAGAAATACAATAGTCGGTGTTTCTCTAACTGGAGGAAAGAACATCTGATTGCTTTCTTCTTCAAGTACATTTTGTTCTGGAAACATAGAAGAAGCTGCTACGATGACTACTGTTTTCATTTCTTCTTCTTCATCCTCGATAGCTTCGTTTTTGCACTGAGAGTCGTCAGGCATCAAAATTACCATCGGTTGATCATTGATAGTTTCTGGTAGAGATATTGCAACTTCTTCAGCAATCTTCCTCCATCTTTGTTCTTCTGCGTCTTCCTGAATTTCTACACATTCTTCTTTCTGTCGTTGAAGTTCTGAGGGCGATGGAGCAATAAGTACTAATGGTGTTTTGACATCTGGTATGCCTGAGAAATCTTCGACATGTTCTGAAATTGCAGCTTGTTGCGGAATGTCAGTTGGTGATATAGCGAGAATTAGAGATTTATCATATTCAATATCTTCTTTGCTTTTATAAGATCGGACATCAGTACGATGTGTTGGGAGTATTACTGTAGATATTTTCCTTCCGGCTTGTTTAGATTTGAGTGTTTTTACGACTTTTTCCGGCTTTAATTTTTCTTTTGATGGTGACAAGATTTCAATATTCGGTGTATCTTCCATTGTTAAGGGAGAATTTGACAAAACTACAATATTGGCATTCGGATCGATTAATGGTTTCATAATCTCGTTTAGATCGGAGCTTATGACATCACGTTCTAACTTTACTTTTCTCGAAGGCTCTTTCTTCGGAACTGTAAATTCATTCAATTGTATGTTTATACCTTCTTGATCAAGATTTTCGGATTCGGTTTGTTGCATTCGAATATTAATTACTGACCGCTGCGTTTTTGATGTTTTATCAATGGGTGTTGCTTTCTCAGCATTTATTGTTATTGTATCTGCACCGATTTTAAAAATAGCAGGATGTGAAGTAAGTTGGTTTGCAAGAATGCCTTGAACTCTTGTATTATTTTCATTTGCTTTGGCCGTTGTTGTTGTTGTTATCGTTGCCGTCGTCGTCGTTGCGGTTGTTGCTGTGGTTCTTAAAGGTGTTTCATCGATTATAGCTGAAATAATTGAACCTATTGCTGTATAATCGGTTGTCTCTTCATCAATTGTAGAATGTTTGGTGTCGTCACTCTTCAATTCCATCGTTTTTATTTCAGGTGGTATAATTTTCATTTCTTTTTCAGATTTCTCTGATATATCATCGGTTTCGTCCTCCTGTATGAAATTTGGTTTGACCTTATCTTCGGCACTTTGTTCTTCAGGAGTAGTAATTGTAGTATCCTTTAATATAACGTCATCGTGTTCCGATGAAATACTCAATTCTTCTACAAAAGTCGTATCTATTGATTTAGCGTCTTCAGTTTGACTGACTTCTGTTGGAGTAGTAACGATAGTTGGTATATCTTTCGGTTTACTTTCATCAAGAAATTCGGTTTTTTCAACTACTTCAGGTTTTAATGGAATCGTGTCTATTTTTTCTTTTTCATTTGGAAGAATTTTAGCTTCATAGGTTTCAATTTTTTCTTGTTTTTCAATTTCCATAGATCTTTCAGAATGTATACTTCGAACTTCTGCCTGTTCCGTGGTCGTTTCATCTTTATGAGACATTTCCTCTGATGCCGTTTCAAATGTACTTGAACTCGATCCTTTTAAACAAGGAAGTAATGATAAAAATGGCGATTTCGATTTTTCTTTTAAATCATAAGTGCCTGATTTAACGAGAGCTTTGCTTTTATTCTCGTTAGTTACATCCGTCGATACTGGATTTCGTCTTTTTTTTATTACTTCTGTTTCGGGACGTGAACTTTCTGATATCTCGCTACCAGAACTGGAATTTGATGATCCACGACTGCCTGAACTTGTATTTGACTCCCGAGTACTAGAATGTACACTTTCGACATTTAGACTGCTGTTTGATTTCATCTTCCTTTTAGATTTTGCCATTTTTACAGTTTTTACAAAAGATCTGTGCGAAAATGTTTAAAATCTTCTTAATAAATACACATATAAATTACTAAAATTAATTGAAATCTACGGTACTTATCAATAAATGAGAAAACTGAAGTGATTAACACTAATACTGACATTTGTTAAAGTATTATATTAATCACAAGATAATGATAAACAATAAGATTTTGTTACGCTATAATGTGTATAACTATAATAGCGTAAATTGATCAAAACTTTTTATTGAATCATTATTTTTCGTCTTTGACTCTTTTCGTCCTCTGGGTACTACGAAAGCCTTTTAAATTAATCATACCCATCATAATTTCGGCTAGGCTCATAAGGGGAGCGCCGAGTAGTGGTTCACAACCGGATTTATATTTTTTAGGCCCTAAGCTAAGAAAACATTAAGGCTTCTTCCCCAGTTTTTTAACTGTATGAAAATGACACATATGTCTATTTACACAGGTTATTAATAGCAAAGTCTTTATTAAATTATTTAACTTTAAGATGTGTACAATATAAATTGAACAAAATATAATATAAATTAAAAACATACAAATGTGTTTAACACGTGTACACGACGTCATCCACTCTAGCTAAGATAGGAAAAATTATTCCATTGTCAAGCGTCAACTTAAATAATTTATCCTCTGAAAGCGATCCAAATGCTCAAGATAATCATGACGTCGTAATAATCATCCAATAGCGATTAAAGGTATAGATTCTATCGTTAGTATGTGATCAAAATTTCCTTATCGCTTTCAAACGATTAAAAAAGTAAATAGGCTATGAAAACCGGCAGCCATCTTGGCAACTTTTGATTACCAGAGGTGAATTTCAATCACTTTTTTACAGGGTAACATAAAACATTTTTCTGTGTTCAATTTTTTCTTAAAATTTAGAGGCCCCAAGCTTTATCTTAATCCGGCACTAGTTCTGAGGTACAGACATCATCTGAAAAACTCCTGGAGTTTTTGTTTGGATTCGATACCGGATCCTCCAGAACGATAGACTGCAACATTCTTATGGCCAGAACAATTAAGTTTGGCCATCGAACTGTCATTTTTATTGAATCATCAAATAAAATATTTTGAATTAAAATCCATATTCAGTTTTATAATCGTTAAACTGGTTTTCTTGATTTTCAACAACGAATAATTCACAGATTATTTAATTTATTTGTAGTTACGTTTATTAACAACAGATAACGATGACCATAAGACTTGTGTAATATCATTCCTTAACTTCAGCCATATCCTCCCTTAAAATGATGAGCTACACCCTTTTATAGAGATAAAACTTTATCAGAGATATGAAATGAATTATATTTTACTTAAATGTAAATTTTGCAATTTAACTTATTGATAAATTTTTCGTGAAGAATCAAAGGTATGTAATTTATAAAGTTTATTAATATTTAAAGGTGTCAGTTAAGGACATGCTCCTAAAAAAAAGTCTAACAGATACATGAATGTTCCGACTAGACTGGTTTTAAGATATCAACTTAATTTGATAAAATAAAGATAAATTTTTAATAAAATATATTAAATGTTGATAGATTATACATTTGGTTTGTAATTCAATTAGTACATTAATTTTTACAGATATAAAATTAATTAACGCTAGTTTTATTTTCTGATTAAAAAAGCCCCTATGGTTTTATTAGTCATCAGAATTCATACATCCTGCTGAGTAGAAGGATTTCTTTTGAAAGATCCAGCAAATAAATTATAATCGGGTCAGGGATAATTTTATAATAGAAAATTCATTTTTCAATTTTTAAGTAAACTTTTTACTTTGTTTAATTTATATGCTTCCACATTTAAATACCTGTAATTGTTTATGTTGTAAGTAGTAGACTGTAGCATGTTTTTAACATTAAAAAATAATCTTCAAATTATAATTTAACTGTAAATAAACAATAATACAATATCTTGTTTTCGTGTGTATTTGTATGTGTATGAAATATCAAGTTTTAGAATACTTTTAGAGTTTTATAGATAAAATACAAAAATAAAAGTACTTTAGATAGATAATTTTGATAAACAGAAAATGATAGTACGTTAAGCAATAATCTGGATTTTCCTATATGTAATATCTTAGAACGGATATAATGCATCAAATTATTCATTATTACTTGGTTTTTACTCTAGTAAATAACGATAATCGTGCATTTTTAAAGCTGCATAAAATATAGTACATATTAAAAAAGGCATATTTCAAAATATTTTGAAAAGTTTAATAATTTAATATGATCCTTTTCTTTTTATTCTATTCATATTAATTCTACATGAACATTGATGTTAAAAATAAGTTTTAATGACAAATATATTTACCGATGAGTTTAAAATTTTTATTAATATAATAGTATAAAATTAATTAATTAATTTTTTAGAGAGAATTAATTTTAATCTTTGAATTTTTAATCATAATAAAATGAGTAGAAGACCATGATGCTATTTTACAACACAGTAGATGTGTATGGTTTTGTATATTTTATTAAATTATGATGTTCCTAGTAAGGATGACTGTTTATTTTTCTTTTGGCTGAGTTTAGAAATTGTGTAACGAGAATTATGAATTGTTGTAAATCTAGCATGTTTCAATTACTTATTTTTTATGTAAAGCGAATGGTAAAGTAGCAAAGTGCAAGGGAATATCACCAAATATAAAATCTTTTATTGCTTACAACTCTAGCTTAAACCGATTTACAGAGATTTGGAGTAAGTAAAATGAATTCAAACTTATAATTCTTTTATAAAAATTAAGTTTATTTTTAAGCATTTAAATTTTATAATTGTTTAAAAATGTATGATTGACAGTATCTGATATACATGATCTACACTGCATTGTGCTCTTATTTGTGTAATTCATATTCAGAATAATTAATTAATTTTAAAAAATGCAATTTTGTTTTTAAAAAGTAAATTTTTATTATTAAAATGAAACAATGAAATAATTAAAATTAAATTTTAATTTTAAATTTTCTCTAGCTCTATACAAACTAAGCAAATTGAAATTAAATCTGAGGGTTAAACAATTAAAATATGAAAATCTCTACTAATTAAAATTGTTTTTATATTTTTTTCTATTTTTAAATCAGTAGTTACTATTTATTACTAATTATATTAGCAACATTTAGGTCTATAATTTTAACATATATATGCATATATTTTTTTAACAGGTTTAAACAGTATTTATTAGAAATTGTTTAACTTAAAACAACATACAGTATAGACCATTTATGAATTAACATATCATGGTTTATTTATGTAATTACTGAATACACTAGCATTCTAACGAATGTAATTTTGTTATAATTTAAAATTATATAAAAGTTAATTTCTTACGACATTTGCGTTTACAAATAGGCAATAAAAAATCCAAGCAAAAGCTATGGTTGGGTTTTTCCGTCTTCTCTCTGTAGGGTACCAGACTTATGAATAGTGTGTCATTCGTTAAAGATATTATTCAGTTAATTATTTTACTCGCTTTCATATAAAATTATACAAAAAAAAAGCTTTACCTAAAGTATTTATTTTTAGTAACGGTGTTCTTTGTCTCTAGTGAATAATCAATTAACATATAAGATATTTAGATTTATCTTTACTTTTATCAAAATTGTTTTAAAATAATAAAAAATAAAATAAAAAGAAAAACTTGTTAATAAACTCTTTGTAAAAAAAAATAGGAATAATTATTAATAACATAATAAGCGAATTATATGTGGTCACTTTGGTTAAGGAGACAGAAAGGTTGATTTTTCCAAAATTTTATACAAAATAAAAAATTTAAGCATCTATTTTTAATTTGTCATCACTGTCAACGTTTGTGCTTTTTTTTGTTTTTTGGTCTTTATTTTGCCTTAATTTGAGAGGGCTATTCTCCGACTTGTACAGTACACCTGTGAGAATAAGGAAGTAGATTTACAATCGACAGGACAAACTTTATTAAAACTAGATTCATAATTGGCGTCAGATTTTATACCTTAATAATCTAATATGAAAGATAAGCTTGATTTACAACTTTATCAGTTCCTTTCTAATAAATTCAAATACGGATATGTTTTTGGGAGGTCTCATTTTTATCCTGGTTTCCTGCGGAGAACAGAGAACTCTGACTATCTGGATATATAATATATTTTCTGAAATTAATCGCAGTCTCAAGTACTTTCAGCTTACGCAGTTCCCATCAATAGTAGTATGTAGAATTCAACATTACAAAGTCAACTCTGGTAAGAATATTGGTTAAATTTATATCAGTTTATATTTGTTAAGGTTAATTTTTCTTATATCTTAATATTGTAGCGTATCTTTTCATGTGGGTTGTGTAAATTATTCCATAAAAATATATTACAAATTATTGAATTTAATAAAAGATAATCATATTAATTCAAATATATCTGTTAAATAATATAATTAATCTCCCTTTAGTACAGTATTAAAATTTATGCTTGAGAGAAACTTTTTAAGTTGTTTATATAAATTTACCGACATTATATTGATAACTATTACGTCAGATGACTAGGTAGAAAAGTATAAGAACGTTAAATAAACGTCAAGAGGATGGTATATGTTGTAACTTCATTTAAACATCCTTGGAATTTTAATAAATGTTGTAAGTCTTCATTATTTGTTGACACAACACATCGTTGCCATGTAATTAATTAAAAATATATTAATTTATTAATTTTACAACCAATTTATAACCTAGAATGTTTTGAAAAATTTTGACAGATTCTATTTGCCCTTTAACATAATTAGAAATTTCGTGACAAATAACAAGAAGCTTCGAAGCTTTTTATTTGTTCTTTCTCTTAAGTTTTTGCTGTAATGCATTTTCTACGTTAATTTCTTTAAAAAATCATCAATTTTAAATAAATTAACATAGAAAATGCCTTAGTAAATTAGTTCTCGGTAGCTGTTTTTTTATAGATAACCTCCATTCTTAGAAAGTTGTAAGATATATTTGCGACATAACGGGAGTCCAGATATGGTGTAAGCCACGTTCGATGATTTCGAGATTCGCATAAAGAAAAATACATAATGCGTCACCAATTAGAATGACGCATCATTCCTAGAAATCTTTAAACCTACTAATACTACAGAAATCTGTATCTTCCTTCAGAGATGAAAGTTAAAGAAGATAGATAGTACATACAGTGCATCGGATTATTGGAACATGGCGGGTTTGGAATTGTTTACCAGAAATAGTTTGTCTTCTCTACGAAGTAGTAGTGAATCGTCCATACTCGGCCTGATTCCTGAATCTCTTCATCCGATTTCTGACGAAAACAGTTGGTCCTGGTCTTATCTCAGAGTAAGTTCTGACACACGTTTAAGTATTCTTTACTACAGGTTAAGTGTGAAAAGTAGATGAGAATAATGTCTCAAATTGAAGCTCTGAATAGCATATAGGTTAATGATTAAAAGATGCTGCATAATATAACTGTTAACCTGCTTCTGTATACAGTAAATTAAGCTGGCTTTGTGTTGTACTGTTAATGATAAAAATTTAAATTTATTTTTATTTTTTATAATTTAATTTATATTATTTTTAATATTTGAAATTAATTTTAAATTTATAGTTTAAATTAAAATGTGTTAATCAAATCTAAAGTACTATTCAAAATCAAAATCATACCATGCATACTATGCATTTAATATAAATTTAAATTAGTTATAGTTGATTAGAGTATTCATATTTAAATGAGTAATGTTTTAATTAAATTAATTAATTGTAATATATATTTATATATTTTTTAAATGTTCACTTTAGGAACAATTTCGTGTAAAAAATGCAGAATCGCTGTTCCATAGATATCAAGCACGACTCCAACATGCTATGTTCATGGTCGCTCTCATGCTCAATATATTTTATAATGTTATGTCCATTGTTATATATTTAGTTTTTACTGAGGTGAGATTTAATTTATATATTACTTATTGTAACAGTTAAATTCTATACAATAGTATTTAAATATTTGTTATGAATAGGCCTATTAAAGGCCTAATAAAAATTATCATAGCCTTATTTTTATTAGACCTATATTGCAGGCCTAATAAATATTTCGAAGCAATCCGAAATATATATTAATATATATTTAATTATAATAATTAGTGATTTACAATAATGTAATTGTTAATCTTTACTTTTGATTAATGAATAACAGTAAAAACTAACTAAACTTGAATTAGGCTGAGGCGGTTAAGGCATTAGCCTATCGCTCTGGGGATCCGGGATTGAATCTGGGTGATCGAAACCGCTTGGAATCTTTCTGACAAGTCTGTCTCGGATATGTTGGGCCCGTCTCTCATCACTAGACATTCCCCATTGTGGGCCTGGCCAAACGAGTTGGTATGATTAAAAGGCCCTCTTAGTTTCTGTAGGACGTAGTAAAAAATGAATTCAATGAGAGCAGAGTATATTTAAATTTACAGTAAATTAAATAATTTAAAAAAATAAACATTGTTAAATTTTTATGTAAATTACGTAAAACTAGCATGTGGCTTATTTAACTAAACGGAGTTTATTCTATAATGTGCTCATTATTACTGTTTTTGAAAATTCTTGTGCTTACGACTTAAATAAACAAGTTTCCAGTGCCTTTCTTGTTTTATAAACTTTCTAATTGGGGTTATATTTATAAATATAATTTATGTTATAAAAATAAATGCAAATTTCATACTCTATATTAATTAAAATTTAATTTGCAGGACCGCGAAAGTACAGTTTCTTCGGTATCACTTAGTTTTCGTTGTTTCGGCTTGGCTGTTCATCTTTCAATTTTTGTTGTAGCTTATAAAGAAACATGGTTCAAAACAGACTATTCGCGAATTTTCGTAGCTAGTATAATTCTTCTAACAATGCTAGTAAGTGAACATGGAACGAGTGTGTATCATCTATCCAAAGATACTTATCCTCATCACAACATCCGTCATACCTTCTATATTGTCATAATATGCTTCTTATTGTTGCCATATCCTAATATATATCAATCTGCTATTGCTGCTGCAGTGACGACAGCGATAGAATTATGCACATCTATAATGACTTACTCTCAAGATTCTTCAAACATGAAATTAAGGGTGAGTAAATTTATCACATAATTTAACTAAGATAAGCAACGGTAATAATTGGTCCTATAAATCTTTACAGATTGCTGCTGATGTCACTTTTTATGTTATTATCATCTCTGTCTGTCTCTGTATTAAATTTTTACTAGAAATTATTAACAGAAGAGCTTTTCTGGATCGTAGAGAATGTTTCGAATCTAAATTTACGTTCGATTACGAGAAGGATCAAGAGGTAAAATTTATTAACGAACGTTAAGTAATTAATGGATTCGTTTACGTTACGGAACATAATTTTAATAAAATAATATAAAAATAACATTTTTCTTATGCTCTTATATTCATTTTCCTATCTTCTAATAGACAACAAAAATTAATAACATAAATTACATTTAAATAGATATATTTTTGAAATGATTATTTAACATACCAGAAAATATTTTCATCTTTTATATGCTTAGATTTTATCCATTTTCTATATAATATTTTATTTATTAAGTTGTTAACGAGCTAAACAAGAAAGAGAGAATATATTAACAAGATTTTTATATGATTAACAATATTATGTAGGAGCAATTACTACTCAGTATTTTACCAAGACATATCGCCACTCAAGTAAGAGAAGATATCAGACGAGTTTTGAAAAGTCTTGATCAGCATCCATTACCTCAAAGGCCCTTTAATGAATTGTATGTTGAAAAACATAAAAACGTCAGGTTAGATGACTTTCATAAATATTATTTTATATAATTAATAATAAAAAATCATAAGAAAATATATTTTTTATACAGCATTCTCTACGCCGATATCGTTAATTCTATGCTTCTAACGGCAAGCTTAGATGTTAGCGATCTGGTAGAAACTTTGAATGAATTATTTGGTAGATTCGATGAATGTGCGGAGGTAAATATAGAAAAAAAAAGAAATTAAAACATCAGAATATTAATATATTCTATAATATTTAAAAAAAATTGTTTATAGAAAAACAATTGCATGAGAATTAAACTGCTGGGTGATTGCTACTATTGCGTGTCAGGTATGCCTCTTCATGATCCTTATCATGCTGATCACTGCGTGCATATGGGATTAGATATGATCGAAATTATAAGGTAAATTTATGACGATTTGTAAATGAATTTTTTGATTGATTGCTTCTTAATTACTTTAATTGGAAAGTGTCTATTCTAATCTAAAATAAATTGTTTTAGGAAAATTCGAGATGAAAGACACGTTAATGTTGATATGCGTATTGGAATTCATAGTGGAAACATATTGAGTGGTTTATTAGGACTTAAAAAGTGGCAATTCGATATATGGTCCAGGGATGTAACCATTGCTAGTCGTATGGAACAATCAGGAAAAGCTGGGTAAGTAAAAAATTCTTTAATTTTAAATTTGTTTTTATTAATAAAAATATATAAATATGTAATTTAAAATATATTACAATAAAAATAAGACTACATTTAAAGAATTTACTTATTTATTGTTTCGAGCAATGTTTGAATTTCGTTGCTGCATTATTCAAAAGATACGAAATCTACATTTAAATATTTGCATTTATAAAAACATTAAAATATGGATTATCTGCATAAATGTTTCTGTAATATGACTTCGTTAATAGTCGTTAATAGAAATTTACGAATAAAAGTTTATATGTCAGTTATCGAATCGTACATAAAAAGTATACTTAAAGTAAAGCCATTATTTGTAGCTATTGGTGACCTTCCGTGGGTCCATTTTGTAGTGGCATTTTAACTTTATGCAGCCAGCTGAGAGATCCCTTCCTTTTGCAAGACGGGTGCACATTACGAACGTGACGAAGAATCAACTGAAAGGAACTTTCGATTTTCAACCCGGAAATGGTCATCTTCGTGATCCTTATCTGGCTGAATATCACATTGAAACTTTTCTCATAGTTCCTCCGTCTAAAAAACCAATGGTAATTTTTTTCTTCAATAAATTAATGCGGATCTAAACGTAGATCAGAAGTGGGATTTTCTTTTTTTATCTATATTTTTCAGAGAGAAAGTATATATGAATCCGTTTCTGATGGAACTTTTCGCATCCCGAATCATCTCAGGAAAACTTCTATATCCGGAATTCATAAAAATAGTTTGAGATTATTAAATGTAAGAAATTTATACAGGTAATTTTTATTTAAATTTTATTAGGGGAGACCGGGGCAACTTCGGCATGCGGGGCAAGTTTGTCAAGCGCTTTTTTTTAAAAACAAATTTATTTAATTTTTTTCATAAATTTCAATAAATTTATGAAAAGATAAATTGCATAAAATTACAATTATGTCATATTAAGGTAATTTATAGTTTACTTGAAAATAGAGGTCAACACTACAAAAAAGAATATTAGTCATTGTTTTGAATTTGAATGAATAGGTTTTTATTGAATATAATGGCAAATAAAAAGAGTGTATTATTGACATTGTGTTTCTTGTTTTATCAACGGGAAAGTGCTACAGCAGCTGCTAGAAAAATCTGTACAATTTACAGTGAGGATGCTTTAATACATAGAAAATATGATTCAGTATTGGTTTAAGAAATTCAGAAATGAGAAATCAGATGTTAAAGATAAATCTCAGGCAAGAAGACCTTCAACCATGGACAAAGACTTCTTAAGGATTACAGTTAAAAATACCCCTAGAATGACTATACAGAAGCTTGCAGAAGATTTTCAAGTGACAGAGTGAATAATTTTTAAAAATTTAAAGAAATTAGGCTATGTGAATTGCTTAAATGTTTGGTGGCCTCAATTAGTTAAGCAAACAAAATTTAGGTGCTCTTCTGTTTTGTTACCCCTTGCAATGCAATACTGCCCACAACCATCACTCACACCTTGTGACACAAGGACAGATGAAAGCATTTGTCCAACAGAAAGCATTTGATTCTCTCTAGGTATAATTTACTCTTTATTATGGTTAGTAAACTGCGCAATGTTAACCGTCAACTTATTATTATTTTTAAAAAATCACATTTTTTTCTTTAAAGACATTTCCTCTTTGGTAGTAATGTGTGTTTATAAACTTGTTTCCATTTTCTTTTTTTTTATTCATTTTATANCTGAAAGAAAGTGTTAATGTTTTTTTCCTCGTTAGAAGAGCGAAAAAAAATGTTCACCTCATTTATAACTTAAAAAAAGCTCCCGGGCATTATTATAATATGAATAACCGTATTAATATCTGCAGTGAATTTTAATGAATATCGAAAGCAAACTTCTACTGTCAACTTATTTATTATAAGAACTTTAAAATTTGTATTAAGAAAAAAAATCATGATTCTAATTGCTAAATATTTAATTTAAAAACAAGTAAACTAAAGAATTATATATTAATTTATGTTAAAAAAAAGAGCATTTGATTAAAAATTATACATAAGAATTGCATTACAGTTATAAATTATGTTTAAAACTATATAGAAAAAATTTAAATATTAAGTTTAACCTTCGATAAAAAAAAATTACCTTACCTTTTTTTTTAACGATTTCTAAGTGAACTGGCCATTAACATTCATCCTTATATATCCCCATCTAGTCACTTTTCATTGGAATTCACTGATTTGACGTCACAAATATCGACCAATGAAAACATACAATCTAGTCGCATACCTAGACTTTTGGATGTAAGAAGGAAGCATCTATTCTGCTTGTCCAACCTCCTTTTACTTCCAGTGATAAGGTTAATGCCTCCAAACAGTTGAAAGTATTTATATGGGTCAGTAGGGTCCGGAAATGGTAACCTTCTATGCCCTTGTCCTTGTATCTGTGGGCATTGGCTTTTGGCCCCTAAAATTGAGTCGGGCTATCGAAAGTACAAAATTGTCCAGAAGAGATCAAAATTGATAATCTTAACCAAGGTTCTTTATCATGCCAACGATGTGTTTATCATCAGAACTGAATGTTTTTTATTCAGTGTGGATAGTAAACGACACTTCACTATAAGAATTTATTAATTTTTTATCTTCAAAAACTTGTTAAATTTCCGAATATGCACAAAAAGTATGCTTTAAATAAATTTGAAAATATGTCGGGTAATATTTTAAGAGTAGGCCATGGTTGCATCGATACAAGTATCAATTTNATCTTTATAAATTATCGGTAAATAATGCTTATTTATGATATAATTTCTCGTAGTCTGATGCAATATCGAAAAATGGTATCACAAGTCAATAGATATATGGAGACAGGTATAGAGAATATGGCTTTAAGTAAAACAGAGTAAGTGAACTATATAATACAAAATTTAGTTTAAATGTCTATATAAATTTTGAAAGTGACTATATAGGCTAATTTTTTTCACAGTCAGTGGTTTAGATCAGAAGGAATACAACCTCTTCTACTAATGTTTCGTGATTGTAGTTTGGAATTACCTTACACTCTGCTGCCTGACCCTCCTTTTAAATATTATCTGTTCTGTGTTCTTCTATTGTACATAGGAATGATCACCATACATCTCATAACCATGGCCAGGTAATTTTTAATATTTTTCTCATATTTCAAGTTTTTTTTTTCATTTTTTAATACTCTATAATCATATATATATATATATTTTTTATAGAACTTTTTACTTCTGGGTCGCCTACGGAACTACATTTTTGGTCATTTTTTTATCTTTCGTGACTGCATGGACAGGTTATCTTTGGAATAAATGTCAGGTAATTTTTATTCTGAAGGAATTAATACGATTTTATATCGGTTTCTGAATAATATATTATATTTAGAACGACGATACTACAAACACGACTTATTCTGCTAATCTTATGACTAAAATATCGAAGAAAATAGTGGAAAGCATCGTCCTCAGAGTGTTCTTATATATTGTCATTACCATTATGCTATTATCTTGTGCTATGTTGGGTCTGGTAAGTAAAAAATATATTATACAATAATAGATATAAATTAAAAATAAATTAAATAAAAACTATAATAAGAAATAAACATTTTTTAAAAATATTCATTTGTAAATATTTTAGACAATAAAATATATGAAGTATTAATTCTTCTTTTGCTATATACTGTTGTAATTATATTATATTAAAAGTAATCATTAGATTAAAAGGATAAATAATCGAAGTTTATTATTATTTTATATTTAATTTCTAAATAGAAAAGAATAGAATTATTAATTCATACGGATTTTTTAATTAAAGAATGAGTGCTTATATCCAACTACAACGAATAGTAACAATTCCACAAATTCAAATTCGAGTGAAGAACGATTTATTTCTTGCGATTATCCATGGGTAAACATATTTATAAATAATTAATAAATGGTTATATTAAATAATTATATAATTATGTTCTATTCTTTTAATGTAGTATTACACTTTTTGCGCCGTCCTGGCCATGTCAGCATCAACAGTATTTTTGAAAATTCATTTTCTAGTGAAATTTGTGGTGAATTTTTCTGCTTTATCAATATTTTGCTATCTCATTTTTCGTCAAGAATGTGACGTATTTTCTCGAGATAAACTGCATTATGGTGATTGGTAAGTTCTTGTAATTTTCTTATTGTTGTTATTATTATTACGCTAAAACCTAGATTTAACTGACTAATTCGGGCGACGGGGCAATTTTAAATTTGAGAAAAACACAAAAAAATTCCTATTAATTTGTCTTCAATATAGCTTATCGAGATACCCTGTTGTGATGTAAAGTTAAGAGCGACAACTCTTGGATTTGGAAAAAAAAACTGTTAATTTAATTACATATAAACGTATTTTAAAATTAACAGGGTGTTAATTTTCATATGTGACATATGGACCAAAAATTTTATCCGTTAAATCCGAAATTTGTTAAATCGAGGTTTACTGTATTATTGGGTTTAGTAAGTAAGTTATTATTATTATGTGTGGATTATATATTACTGGGTTAATACTGGTACCAAGTGTTATGTTGGTTCAAAGTCAACGCATGACTGTATAAAACCTGCTACGGTATGTCACTTATATATTGTTTTTGTATGTATCTGTGTTTAAGAATTCCTAACCTAAATATGTGACATGAGTTTAGTATGGCTGCTTTCTGAATGCCATTTACCCGTTTATAAACTGTAGTAAGCCCTAGTGTTTCTAGTCTGTACAGTATATGTGATATAACACCTGTGCAAATGAGTATAGGTACAATATGTAATCTATCCATTATCCATAGGCATGTATTTACTATTTTTTTCAGTGTAGGCTATATATTTGTATGTTATGTGTGTTTGGAACGACTATGACTGTGATATATGCGATTTTGTTTTGTTTGTCAATGAATATGATGTGTGGTCTATTGTGATAAATTGTTTTATGTGATGACAGCTCGGTCATTTTGAGTGTTGTTTTCTATAACTATCTGTGGTGTGTATTTGTAGTAAGGTTCTAGGATGCGTAGTAGTTTGTTTGTCTTCAAACTTTTGATGTATTGTTTGCTATTGGCTACGTCGATATAAATATTCGACGTGCTATGTTTTATAGTTCGTGCATTATGTGGCATTCCTACTAGTGTCGTCTTTTAAAATTTGCTTTCTCTAGTTTCTTGTACTTATAACTTGGTCTTATATGGCAATTACAAACCGTTCCTTTCTTTAGTCTCTTAGTCTCTTTAAAGAGGCATCCAAGAGTTGACCAACAGTTTAATGCTGTTCTGTCAACGTGATCCTGGCTGAGATTGTTAGGACGCTTATCATGGAGCTTCTTAGCCAAGACAGTCTGGTGGTGTCTATGCATTTTGTGTACTATGTTAAATCCAGGTCAGTGTTGTGAAAGTTTAATGGTGTACTGTTTTTGTCTTCAAGAGTTACAGCTTTATGTAATTGTCATGCTTCTTGTTTTTTGTAAAAACAACCTTTGCAGTGTCTTATTTATTTGTAGTGAAAATTTATGTTGTTCGTGTGTTCCATTGAAACTGTTCTAGTCGAAGACGGAACAACTTCATAAAATTCTAATAAGAACCTCTTTCCCTCAACCTCCCGCTATTAAGGACGGGGACTTGCATCCCCCTAAAAAGCCTCTAGCTTGACTAAAGAATCTCCCCATCTATTAGTTCTCCTTCAGAATTCCTTTTTCTAGTGTGATGTGTTTTACATTTATCTAGGCCAACTCCATTTTTATGTCAGTGGAGTAAATGTGTATAATTTCTAATAGACGATTTAACTATGTATGGACGCATAGGGTTTTTGTGTTCCATGTACTGTACAGTACATAAGATAGTATATATTGTGTTGTTCTGTTGTATTTAATGTTGTATTATATTAGTTATTTAGTATAGTATGACCTATTAGATAGTGAGTTTAAAGCCAGACAGAACCAGAAATGGACTAGTGAAACTCCCTGGAAAATGCCTCGTCTAATGAGTATTTAGTTTGTCTTGATATAAGTTATGTATTCTGAATTCTGAGTTGTAGCGTTGGTTTCTAGTATTACATTGTGTTTTTAAAAATATAAATAAGTGTTGAATGTATGTACTGTACTTTGCATAGACGTATAGTGTATGCAATAAATGTGAGTATAAGATTCTGCTGAATGGTTTCTTGTAATCTTTGTACAGGGTTTTTCTCCGGGCCCGAGAAAACTTAAAGGCACATAATATTAATCTATAGAGAAGTAACAACTATTTTTAATAACAAAAATAAAATCTTTAGGACTGTCATTAATAAAGAAACATTCTATGTATTTCATTCTAAAAAGGGGGTAAAAGTGATCCGCTTTACTCCAAAACCTCCATACGAAGTTTTTCGACTGTTCTGTCCATATATGTTACGTGTAAGTTTCTTTGTGTATTTGTCGTAGAATAACTGAATCTACAAATAAAGGTTGCACACGGATAACAAAATTAAAGTAATATTCGATGCCGCCTTAATTTTGTGGCCCATGTGAATCTTCCTTAAAGGCTGCCTCACATTACATCGAATTCAGCAGCAGAAAGCGATAACAGCACGACCTACTTGCCGTCATGACTTCATTTTACGACGGAAAGTAGGGCGTTTTGTCGCGACGGAAGACGGCAAATCGAGCGCTTGTCCAATGACAAAAGAGTTTTTGGAATGTTTGTTTCCCGACATGGCCTATTATCAACTTGATTTACAATCACGTTATATGATGCTAATGGTGAAATTACAATTGAAGTGGTGAGAGATCAAGAATCTCAATCATCTCTCGTGATCTTTGACTCGTAGGATCGTTTGATTGTATTTCTGTAATTTCGTTATCGATTTTGTTACCGTGTTTTTATAATATAGCCTTTCTTCAGATTCTCTCTTTTGGCTTATCATCACCAAAATTTCGACGAGGAATTATTATACAGATAATTTGTCACGATTAGCATTTTTACAGCATCCGTTTTACTTTCCCGGCTGTTATACTTACATAACAAGGGAAAGAATTGGAATCGTGTCATATTTGACCCTCCGAGATTTTTGCATCTCTGACCTCTGAACCCAAAAAAAGTTATAAAAAAAAAATGGAGAAAAAATTTCATCGATATGTGTGTTGGTGTCTATTTCGTTTAATATCTCAGGATGGGGGTAATGATGAAGAAACTAAATTTAGCACGGTAGCCTGTATATAAGAGGAATTAGTGCTATTAACTTTTCGTGTTTAAAGATAGAGGGGGTGAGGAGTAAATAAAGATTTTATTCGTTATTAGCATTTACAATTTTTTTAAAAAATAAAACTCATCTCTATCTTCAAAATTCAGCTTTTTGTTATTTTATAATAATTAAAAGCTATAAAACGTTTTAGAATAAAATCGCGTAACAGCCGGGAAAGTTACGCAACTTGTTGCAGGATTTTTTTATTTAGGCTATGACCTTATTCAACGCTTCGCTTGTCTACAATGAATAGGGTATCAAGGTCAAAATAATATAGCTTTCAATGTGAACAGAAGCGTCAATGACGGTAAACGATTTTTTTGACCCCGCGGCATTTTTTTGCCGTAATGTAAACTATCCTTAAGTGTTCTTTCCATCCCACGTGGTTTATACGATAGCCTTTTTATTGTTCTCTGAAAATGCTGTGTTGTTCTATGTCATGATAGGCTATAATTTGTGATGCACGAAGTAAGTATTTTGTAAGGCATAAGAAGTAACGCCTGCCCCTAGAGTAGCAAATTTTACTCCAATTCCTACTATGTTCCCCGTCCAAAGAAGTCTGCAGAAATTCGTGTAAATCCTAAAATATTTAAATTATTCCATCATGTTCCTAAATTGAATGAATTTTTTACAATTTTATAGAGTATTTCTTCTGATTTTATTTTTAAAATCATAGTTTTTTCTTTTATTTCATAAAATATCTGCAAATATACGCACTTTTTCCCATAAGAGTCAAATTTCTCGCCATATGGTAACTCTGTTAGGAAGCCACGTGATTGGTTTGTATTGTGTAAGGTCTCTGGTGTTGTCATGTAAGTTTCATGTACTGTACAGTACGTAATGTTATATGTAAGAAATTGTGGATTGTGTGCGTAAAATGGAGGAATTTCAGATTTTGTATTAGAAATTGTGAATGTCGTCTACACCAGGAATCTTCCAACTGTGCTTTTTTTTATTGCATTTTGTATGTTTCGACACAGGACATATTGGAGTATTGCGCTTGTTTTCTTCCTCTTTGGTCCAGCTTGCCTCACTTGCTTCACGTCAACAAAAAAAAAGAACCCACACACTATCTAGTAGACAGTGTGTGAGTCCTTTTTCTGTTGACATGCCATTGAGCTGTGACGGATTGATGTATAGTTGTCTGTAGAAAAGTATCTCGTTGTTTATGAATAATTAATTTTGCTATTTTTGTTTTGTATCGTTTCAATCTTTGTAAATTAACCGAAAGTTTTTGTTGTAGGGTGTCAATGTATTCCTGTATGTACTGTACAGTACAGTAGTGTGTGTACTTTAATTTTCTGAATAAATAATATTCTGAATATATATTTTTTCTTACTATCACTATCCTGTGGGTACTAAGAGGCAGAGCCGGCCCTACCATAGGGCGAACGGAGCAGCCGCTCCAGGCGCTAAGTCCTAGGGGGCGCCTCAGTGGTAAAGAAAATTAAAGGATATTAATTAGGGAAAACCAAGGGGGCGCCATAATAGGACCTCGCTCCATCCTAAAACTTGCCTTGGGCCGCCACTGCTAAGAGGGCCTGTTTTAGCAAGCCCATTATGGGTTCGACCAGGTCAACAATGGGATGGGCGGGTGGGGAGGGACAAGACCCGAATTACTAGGATGGACCATCCCTCGAAAACTTCCTGATCCGTCCGGACTTGATCCCCGGTTCCCCAACCACTTTAACTACTCGACCATCCGGTCATCTTTCTGAATATTTTCATAATCTTTCTCACTAAGTTTGGTGTTATTTTGTTTTGATGTATGATGTCAGCCGCCTAATTATCTAATGTTATTGATTTGCGTTTTTTGTCTTTTTTGCTAAGCAGGCTTATGATTTCTCTGTATTTTTATTATGCCTAAACTTTTATTTACACTCATAGTGTTTAGATACAACAACTGCGCCATAATAAGTAAATATATCTATATCTGAAAATTTTCTGATTGAATATATTTGTATATCATTAATATGTGTGTTTAGATAATGTAAAGTTATATTCTTAGTCGTTTTTATGTGTATCTTGGGTATTCGTGGTCTCTGTATGGATCTAACTCTGGATATTTAGTTAATGTTTCTTGGAGTACATTTGTGTGTTAGTTAATAATGTGTCTATACTCTATAGGCTAATGCCACTAGTTGTACTCTAATTGTTACGTTTATATTTCATTAGTACATATTATGTTGAGATATTGTCAGTGAAAGTGTGATCTAATGGTTCTGAGTGTTGATGTATCTGTTCTATTCTGCAACTTATTGTTTGATACGTTCGAGTGTTTTTATGAGATAAGTTTATTGGTAAAATTGTTGTTTTTTTTTTTTTAATCAAAACTCTTTGATCTTTAAGAGTGTGTGCTGTGTGACTTTGTCGTGTAGTGGCTATCTGTATGTTGTCATGTCTGTTACCAGTTTTGTGATGGTATAGTGATGATGAATTCATTTCTGTCTTGATTTTCATCTATTGTAATGGCTTTCTGGTCTTTGTGTCAGTAACTGGATTTCCACTGAAGCACTTTGGCTGGGTTGGTGTGTGTTATGTATTCTGCATGAATGAAATGGTGACTGTGTTTGTGAGGTAGGCCTAACCACAGTTGGCCAATGCTGCATTTGCCACTTGTAACCAAGAGGAAATGCAGATTTTTCGAACATGATCTGCGGATCTTACAAATACGGACCTTGTTAACCAGGACAATATCTGATCAAGTATTAAGCTGGAACATGTCACAACCATTTTTTTTCCTCCATATAAGTAGGTGTTCTTATATACCTAAAGCCATTAGTTATAAATCAACCGCATCTAACATCGGAAACAGACACCGTTTAGTAGCAATCCACTTTAGGGTTAGAGGAGACTGTTTGTGGGTCACTCTTTACTTCATTTTTTCCCACAGACTACAAGATGATGATTGGCAAGAGAGTTATTATTAAAGAATGAGATGAGACTTATTCAATAGAATATAAAATGATAATTTTATCTTTCAAAGGCATGACTTAACACCCGCAATAGGACATTGTTGGTATTTAACTGTGGTATGGTTTACTCTGCACGTTTTAGATCGGCAGGTGAGTCCTTTTAAGTTCAAAGAAAGCTTAATTTCGTTTAATTATTTTTATGGTTACTCTTATGATTTTTTATAGTTCGAATATGTTAGTCGCTTGGATTATTTATGGAAACGGAAACTTAGACAAGAACAGGAAGAGACTAGATCCATGGGATTATTGAATAAAATGCTCCTACAGAACATTTTACCCGTTCATGTTGCAGAGTATTATTTAAGAAAGGATTGCAGGCATTTAGATGTAAGTTGTGATTTTTTTTTTTAATATTTATTTATGTAGAAATTGTACCTCTTCTAAAAATGTGGATATTTTATCAATACAATTCTTCGTATAGGCTAATAATTATTAATGTAATATGACACGAAAACCGTTTATATTTGATTTTATACTTATAACAAACGTGACAGCTGAAGAATTCTATGAATATCTCATTTTCCATTGCAGAATTTTAAACAGATGTAAAGGATAAAGTAATTAATTATTTATTATTATTTTTAAATTTAGGAACTTTATCATGAAGAATATACATCCGTAGCAGTTATGTTTGCATCAATTCCCAATTATATGGATTTTTATACAGAAAATATAATTAATGATGAAGGTTTGAGATGTCTACAATTACTTAACGAAATTATTTGCGATTTTGATAAGGTAAAATATTTTATCCTTTTTTGATTAATTGTACAAAACGCGTCGTGACAGACATCAATTTATATGATGTATATGTTGACATTTCTCTTGTTTCTATGATTGGATTTTAACAAAAATACCATAAATCACCATAGCGTTAAGTGACTGTGCGTAAATACTTCACTCGAAGCGAATCTTCTAGCGTAATATCATTTTTTAAAAAATATTTCCTATGATTATTAAATATAACTATCAAAATAAGCAGAATATTGAGTTAGAACTAAGATAATAGTCGAATTACAAAGTAAAAAATGGACCAAAGGCATGATTCTCCATGCCACGTGGTTAAGCGAAGCGTTCAGCTATAAATGTTTTTTTTTAAATATAATTATCTAATAATTATTATCTTCATACTTTAATTTATTTGGAAACATTTTTACAGTTGTTATATGAACAACCTTTCCATAAAATCGAAAAAATTAAAACGGTCGGAAGTACTTACATGGCTGCAGCTGGATTACAACCCGGAAGAAGTTCCCAAGAAGTAAATATAATTTTTTAATTTGGTAAAACATTAAATTATTTATAAGTTAGCTTAGATATATTTTTTTCTTTAACAGAATGATAGAGTAGAGAATCCAGTTGCTAATGTACTTTTATTAGTACGATTCGCGACAATGATGATGGCTACTCTTCAACAGATGAATAAAGATGCTTGGCAGAGTTTCCAGCTAAGAATAGGTTTAATTTTTAATAAATTTTTAATTGTAAATGTAAACGAAGAAGAATTTATTAGAATATATTATTTTTAGGAATTGCCGTTGGTCCCGTTATTGCTGGTGTAGTAGGAGCCGTTAAGCCTCAATACGATATCTGGGGAGATACTGTCAATATGGCGAGTAGAATGGATAGTACAGGAATTATGGGAAGGATTCAGGTAAGTTAGACTGTTTATAATTTAATTAACAATTAACAGTTTTCATATTTTTTATATAAATTCTTACAGGTTACTCAAAAAGTGGCGGAAATTTTAATGAAAGAAGGAAATTATCCATGCGAGTGTCGCGGCGAGATATACGTTAAGGGAAAAGGCCAAATTGTTACTTTTTTAGTGAAAACACAATATGATGAGGGAGTGGAAGAAACTCAGCTTTAATGCATTTCATAGCAAACGAAAAATAATTTAAAACGTAAAAAAAGTGTACAAAGTGTAAAAAAAAAATACATTCTAAACTTTTATTTAATGCTTCGTAAATGTTGTTATCAATAAAGAGATTAGCTTGAAAGAATTTTAAAAATTTTATTAATTTATTCTTTAATAAAATCCGTATTTAAATTTTAAAAAGTTACAACTTTTTACATTACTTTTATTTAAATTTTTATCAACGGTTAATATACATAAACATGGTTACAAATACGACACAAGAAAATATAAACTAAAACAAACAACTAAATCATAAAAATGTCGACAAAAATAGTTAGAATACATATAAATTGTGTTTAACCTTGTAATCATTTTACAAATTTTATTATTTAATAAAATATGTAGTGATGAATACATATAAAAAGTTCCAGTTCTTCTCTTGTGCATAAAGATGTATTGATGGACACATCTCGAGATTTTATGAACTTGTTGCTTAACCAACATTCTCGAACTGGCACTTTGGTTAAGTCCTGAGATTTAATTATTAAGTTTTAATTACTTTAAAAATGATGGGTTTTTCTCAGTCCCATCCTCCACCACCTCCAGACATGCCCATTCCTTTACCACAACCTCCACACATTGCTCCACCTCCTCCTCCGTAACTCATTCCACTCATACCACCCATACCAAATCCTCCCATTCCACCAAAATCTGAATCCCATCCTCCCATTCCTCCTCCTCCAAAACCTTTCATCATTCCGAATCCTCCTCCTCCTCCTCCACCTCCCATCATTTTAGATAGTCTGAAAAAAATAAAAATAAATAAAAATATGAACTATGATTTTTAACTTTCTAAAAATAAATCTTCCTAGTAGACAGACAATAGAGATAATTTTCGGAAGTAGCCCATGGCCCGGAAACAAAAGGTTGATGGACTAATTGGATAATTTAACTTAAAAATATATAGAGAGAAACAAGAGTTATTGTGCCAATAAACAGGATTACAAAGAGTACAAATTGGTCAAAATCATCATTTTTCATTCTGCAATGGAGCGTAAAAACTAAAATAGAAGCACTTCTTTTTCCTTGATGCAGTTCTATTTTTGGATCATTCGCTAATAATAATTATATAATAAGTTTCCTATGATGCTTTTAAATGTTATCAACAAAATTTGAGAGATAAATATGAGTAGCTTAAATTAGAAAGGGGAAAGTTGTTGTATAATAATCGAAATAATTGCGAATAATTGGACTGAGATGATGGCGAAAATGTGAAACAATGAGTTTTAAATGAAGATAAATGCTGTAATAAAAGAAATGATAATTATATAATATCAAAACAATATCAGGAATCTTATTTCATTGTTATTTTAAGGAGGATGTCGCATATAAGTTTACATAAATTTGTTTTTTGTACACAAAATAAGAAGACATACACATGCATATACGTATAATATACGTTAAAAATATATTTCATAAAGAAATATTTGTTTTAATGTTTGGTAAAGAACGTATTTGTCTTCTCGTCTATCTGCCGAATAAACCTGTTTTTTATATAAGAAATTTGATAAAAATTTCTATATTGTAGCGAANCCTGCTGAGTAGAAGGATTTCTTTTGAAAGATCCAGCAAATAAATTATAATCGGGTCAGGGATAATTTTATAATAGAAAATTCATTTTTCAATTTTTAAGTAAACTTTTTACTTTGTTTAATTTATATGCTTCCACATTTAAATACCTGTAATTGTTTATGTTGTAAGTAGTAGACTGTAGCATGTTTTTAACATTAAAAAATAATCTTCAAATTATAATTTAACTGTAAATAAACAATAATACAATATCTTGTTTTCGTGTGTATTTGTATGTGTATGAAATATCAAGTTTTAGAATACTTTTAGAGTTTTATAGATAAAATACAAAAATAAAAGTACTTTAGATAGATAATTTTGATAAACAGAAAATGATAGTACGTTAAGCAATAATCTGGATTTTCCTATATGTAATATCTTAGAACGGATATAATGCATCAAATTATTCATTATTACTTGGTTTTTACTCTAGTAAATAACGATAATCGTGCATTTTTAAAGCTGCATAAAATATAGTACATATTAAAAAAGGCATATTTCAAAATATTTTGAAAAGTTTAATAATTTAATATGATCCTTTTCTTTTTATTCTATTCATATTAATTCTACATGAACATTGATGTTAAAAATAAGTTTTAATGACAAATATATTTACCGATGAGTTTAAAATTTTTATTAATATAATAGTATAAAATTAATTAATTAATTTTTTAGAGAGAATTAATTTTAATCTTTGAATTTTTGATCATAATAAAATGAGTAGAAGACCATGATGCTATTTTACAACACAGTAGATGTGTATGGTTTTGTATATTTTATTAAATTATGATGTTCCTAGTAAGGATGACTGTTTATTTTTCTTTTGGCTGAGTTTAGAAATTGTGTAACGAGAATTATGAATTGTTGTAAATCTAGCATGTTTCAATTACTTATTTTTTATGTAAAGCGAATGGTAAAGTAGCAAAGTGCAAGGGAATATCACCAAATATAAAATCTTTTATTGCTTACAACTCTAGCTTAAACCGATTTACAGAGATTTGGAGTAAGTAAAATGAATTCAAACTTATAATTCTTTTATAAAAATTAAGTTTATTTTTAAGCATTTAAATTTTATAATTGTTTAAAAATGTATGATTGACAGTATCTGATATACATGATCTACACTGCATTGTGCTCTTATTTGTGTAATTCATATTCAGAATAATTAATTAATTTTAAAAAATGCAATTTTGTTTTTAAAAAGTAAATTTTTATTATTAAAATGAAACAATGAAATAATTAAAATTAAATTTTAATTTTAAATTTTCTCTAGCTCTATACAAACTAAGCAAATTGAAATTAAATCTGAGGGTTAAACAATTAAAATATGAAAATCTCTACTAATTAAAATTGTTTTTATATTTTTTTCTATTTTTAAATCAGTAGTTACTATTTATTACTAATTATATTAGCAACATTTAGGTCTATAATTTTAACATATATATGCATATATTTTTTTAACAGGTTTAAACAGTATTTATTAGAAATTGTTTAACTTAAAACAACATACAGTATAGACCATTTATGAATTAACATATCATGGTTTATTTATGTAATTACTGAATACACTAGCATTCTAACGAATGTAATTTTGTTATAATTTAAAATTATATAAAAGTTAATTTCTTACGACATTTGCGTTTACAAATAGGCAATAAAAAATCCAAGCAAAAGCTATGGTTGGGTTTTTCCGTCTTCTCTCTGTAGGGTACCAGACTTATGAATAGTGTGTCATTCGTTAAAGATATTATTCAGTTAATTATTTTACTCGCTTTCATATAAAATTATACAAAAAAAAAGCTTTACCTAAAGTATTTATTTTTAGTAACGGTGTTCTTTGTCTCTAGTGAATAATCAATTAACATATAAGATATTTAGATTTATCTTTACTTTTATCAAAATTGTTTTAAAATAATAAAAAATAAAATAAAAAGAAAAACTTGTTAATAAACTCTTTGTAAAAAAAAATAGGAATAATTATTAATAACATAATAAGCGAATTATATGTGGTCACTTTGGTTAAGGAGACAGAAAGGTTGATTTTTCCAAAATTTTATACAAAATAAAAAATTTAAGCATCTATTTTTAATTTGTCATCACTGTCAACGTTTGTGCTTTTTTTTGTTTTTTGGTCTTTATTTTGCCTTAATTTGAGAGGGCTATTCTCCGACTTGTACAGTACACCTGTGAGAATAAGGAAGTAGATTTACAATCGACAGGACAAACTTTATTAAAACTAGATTCATAATTGGCGTCAGATTTTATACCTTAATAATCTAATATGAAAGATAAGCTTGATTTACAACTTTATCAGTTCCTTTCTAATAAATTCAAATACGGATATGTTTTTGGGAGGTCTCATTTTTATCCTGGTTTCCTGCGGAGAACAGAGAACTCTGACTATCTGGATATATAATATATTTTCTGAAATTAATCGCAGTCTCAAGTACTTTCAGCTTACGCAGTTCCCATCAATAGTAGTATGTAGAATTCAACATTACAAAGTCAACTCTGGTAAGAATATTGGTTAAATTTATATCAGTTTATATTTGTTAAGGTTAATTTTTCTTATATCTTAATATTGTAGCGTATCTTTTCATGTGGGTTGTGTAAATTATTCCATAAAAATATATTACAAATTATTGAATTTAATAAAAGATAATCATATTAATTCAAATATATCTGTTAAATAATATAATTAATCTCCCTTTAGTACAGTATTAAAATTTATGCTTGAGAGAAACTTTTTAAGTTGTTTATATAAATTTACCGACATTATATTGATAACTATTACGTCAGATGACTAGGTAGAAAAGTATAAGAACGTTAAATAAACGTCAAGAGGATGGTATATGTTGTAACTTCATTTAAACATCCTTGGAATTTTAATAAATGTTGTAAGTCTTCATTATTTGTTGACACAACACATCGTTGCCATGTAATTAATTAAAAATATATTAATTTATTAATTTTACAACCAATTTATAACCTAGAATGTTTTGAAAAATTTTGACAGATTCTATTTGCCCTTTAACATAATTAGAAATTTCGTGACAAATAACAAGAAGCTTCGAAGCTTTTTATTTGTTCTTTCTCTTAAGTTTTTGCTGTAATGCATTTTCTACGTTAATTTCTTTAAAAAATCATCAATTTTAAATAAATTAACATAGAAAATGCCTTAGTAAATTAGTTCTCGGTAGCTGTTTTTTTATAGATAACCTCCATTCTTAGAAAGTTGTAAGATATATTTGCGACATAACGGGAGTCCAGATATGGTGTAAGCCACGTTCGATGATTTCGAGATTCGCATAAAGAAAAATACATAATGCGTCACCAATTAGAATGACGCATCATTCCTAGAAATCTTTAAACCTACTAATACTACAGAAATCTGTATCTTCCTTCAGAGATGAAAGTTAAAGAAGATAGATAGTACATACAGTGCATCGGATTATTGGAACATGGCGGGTTTGGAATTGTTTACCAGAAATAGTTTGTCTTCTCTACGAAGTAGTAGTGAATCGTCCATACTCGGCCTGATTCCTGAATCTCTTCATCCGATTTCTGACGAAAACAGTTGGTCCTGGTCTTATCTCAGAGTAAGTTCTGACACACGTTTAAGTATTCTTTACTACAGGTTAAGTGTGAAAAGTAGATGAGAATAATGTCTCAAATTGAAGCTCTGAATAGCATATAGGTTAATGATTAAAAGATGCTGCATAATATAACTGTTAACCTGCTTCTGTATACAGTAAATTAAGCTGGCTTTGTGTTGTACTGTTAATGATAAAAATTTAAATTTATTTTTATTTTTTATAATTTAATTTATATTATTTTTAATATTTGAAATTAATTTTAAATTTATAGTTTAAATTAAAATGTGTTAATCAAATCTAAAGTACTATTCAAAATCAAAATCATACCATGCATACTATGCATTTAATATAAATTTAAATTAGTTATAGTTGATTAGAGTATTCATATTTAAATGAGTAATGTTTTAATTAAATTAATTAATTGTAATATATATTTATATATTTTTTAAATGTTCACTTTAGGAACAATTTCGTGTAAAAAATGCAGAATCGCTGTTCCATAGATATCAAGCACGGCTCCAACATGCTATGTTCATGGTCGCTCTCATGCTCAATATATTTTATAATGTTATGTCCATTGTTATATATTTAGTTTTTACTGAGGTGAGATTTAATTTATATATTACTTATTGTAACAGTTAAATTCTATACAATAGTATTTAAATATTTGTTATGAATAGGCCTATTAAAGGCCTAATAAAAATTATCATAGCCTTATTTTTATTAGACCTATATTGCAGGCCTAATAAATATTTCGAAGCAATCCGAAATATATATTAATGTATATTTAATTATAATAATTAGTGATTTACAATAATGTAATTGTTAATCTTTACTTTTGATTAATGAATAACAGTAAAAACTAACTAAACTTGAATTAGGCTGAGGCGGTTAAGGCATTAGCCTATCGCTCTGGGGATCCGGGATTGAATCTGGGCGATCGAAACCGCTTGGAATCTTTCTGACAAGTCTGTCTCGGATATGTTGGGCCCGTCTCTCATCACTAGACATTCCCCATTGTGGGCCTGGCCAAACGAGTTGGTATGATTAAAAGGCCCTCTTAGTTTCTGTAGGACGTAGTAAAAAATGAATTCAATGAGAGCAGAGTATATTTAAATTTACAGTAAATTAAATAATTTAAAAAAATAAACATTGTTAAATTTTTATGTAAATTACGTAAAACTAGCATGTGGCTTATTTAACTAAACGGAGTTTATTCTATAATGTGCTCATTATTACTGTTTTTGAAAATTCTTGTGCTTACGACTTAAATAAACAAGTTTCCAGTGCCTTTCTTGTTTTATAAACTTTCTAATTGGGGTTATATTTATAAATATAATTTATGTTATAAAAATAAATGCAAATTTCATACTCTATATTAATTAAAATTTAATTTGCAGGACCGCGAAAGTACAGTTTCTTCGGTATCACTTAGTTTTCGTTGTTTCGGCTTGGCTGTTCATCTTTCAATTTTTGTTGTAGCTTATAAAGAAACATGGTTCAAAACAGACTATTCGCGAATTTTCGTAGCTAGTATAATTCTTCTAACAATGCTAGTAAGTGAACATGGAACGAGTGTGTATCATCTATCCAAAGATACTTATCCTCATCACAACATCCGTCATACCTTCTATATTGTCATAATATGCTTCTTATTGTTGCCATATCCTAATATATATCAATCTGCTATTGCTGCTGCAGTGACGACAGCGATAGAATTATGCACATCTATAATGACTTACTCTCAAGATTCTTCAAACATGAAATTAAGGGTGAGTAAATTTATCACATAATTTAACTAAGATAAGCAACGGTAATAATTGGTCCTATAAATCTTTACAGATTGCTGCTGATGTCACTTTTTATGTTATTATCATCTCTGTCTGTCTCTGTATTAAATTTTTACTAGAAATTATTAACAGAAGAGCTTTTCTGGATCGTAGAGAATGTTTCGAATCTAAATTTACGTTCGATTACGAGAAGGATCAAGAGGTAAAATTTATTAACGAACGTTAAGTAATTAATGGATTCGTTTACGTTACGGAACATAATTTTAATAAAATAATATAAAAATAACATTTTTCTTATGCTCTTATATTCATTTTCCTATCTTCTAATAGACAACAAAAATTAATAACATAAATTACATTTAAATAGATATATTTTTGAAATGATTATTTAACATACCAGAAAATATTTTCATCTTTTATATGCTTAGATTTTATCCATTTTCTATATAATATTTTATTTATTAAGTTGTTAACGAGCTAAACAAGAAAGAGAGAATATATTAACAAGATTTTTATATGATTAACAATATTATGTAGGAGCAATTACTACTCAGTATTTTACCAAGACATATCGCCACTCAAGTAAGAGAAGATATCAGACGAGTTTTGAAAAGTCTTGATCAGCATCCATTACCTCAAAGGCCCTTTAATGAATTGTATGTTGAAAAACATAAAAACGTCAGGTTAGATGACTTTCATAAATATTATTTTATATAATTAATAATAAAAAATCATAAGAAAATATATTTTTTATACAGCATTCTCTACGCCGATATCGTTAATTCTATGCTTCTAACGGCAAGCTTAGATGTTAGCGATCTGGTAGAAACTTTGAATGAATTATTTGGTAGATTCGATGAATGTGCGGAGGTAAATATAGAAAAAAAAAGAAATTAAAACATCAGAATATTAATATATTCTATAATATTTAAAAAAAATTGTTTATAGAAAAACAATTGCATGAGAATTAAACTGCTGGGTGATTGCTACTATTGCGTGTCAGGTATGCCTCTTCATGATCCTTATCATGCTGATCACTGCGTGCATATGGGATTAGATATGATCGAAATTATAAGGTAAATTTATGACGATTTGTAAATGAATTTTTTGATTGATTGCTTCTTAATTACTTTAATTGGAAAGTGTCTATTCTAATCTAAAATAAATTGTTTTAGGAAAATTCGAGATGAAAGACACGTTAATGTTGATATGCGTATTGGAATTCATAGTGGAAACATATTGAGTGGTTTATTAGGACTTAAAAAGTGGCAATTCGATATATGGTCCAGGGATGTAACCATTGCTAGTCGTATGGAACAATCAGGAAAAGCTGGGTAAGTAAAAAATTCTTTAATTTTAAATTTGTTTTTATTAATAAAAATATATAAATATGTAATTTAAAATATATTACAATAAAAATAAGACTACATTTAAAGAATTTACTTATTTATTGTTTCGAGCAATGTTTGAATTTCGTTGCTGCATTATTCAAAAGATACGAAATCTACATTTAAATATTTGCATTTATAAAAACATTAAAATATGGATTATCTGCATAAATGTTTCTGTAATATGACTTCGTTAATAGTCGTTAATAGAAATTTACGAATAAAAGTTTATATGTCAGTTATCGAATCGTACATAAAAAGTATACTTAAAGTAAAGCCATTATTTGTAGCTATTGGTGACCTTCCGTGGGTCCATTTTGTAGTGGCATTTTAACTTTATGCAGCCAGCTGAGAGATCCCTTCCTTTTGCAAGACGGGTGCACATTACGAACGTGACGAAGAATCAACTGAAAGGAACTTTCGATTTTCAACCCGGAAATGGTCATCTTCGTGATCCTTATCTGGCTGAATATCACATTGAAACTTTTCTCATAGTTCCTCCGTCTAAAAAACCAATGGTAATTTTTTTCTTCAATAAATTAATGCGGATCTAAACGTAGATCAGAAGTGGGATTTTCTTTTTTTATCTATATTTTTCAGAGAGAAAGTATATATGAATCCGTTTCTGATGGAACTTTTCGCATCCCGAATCATCTCAGGAAAACTTCTATATCCGGAATTCATAAAAATAGTTTGAGATTATTAAATGTAAGAAATTTATACAGGTAATTTTTATTTAAATTTTATTAGGGGAGACCGGGGCAACTTCGGCATGCGGGGCAAGTTTGTCAAGCGCTTTTTTTTAAAAACAAATTAAAAGGAGACTTTGGTTATAGGTTAGGCAGTTGAGTTTTATTGGTGGCTTGTTGAGTGTAGTGTTTTTATTGTTCTCCAACAAGCGTAGTTGAATTATCAAGCAAATTTTCATTTTCGTTCAATTCCATATAATATTTTTTTTCCATTTATATTGAATTGGCAGGTTTTGTTATAATTCCATGATAACGAAAGTTACTTTTCCTGTTAGAAGGATGTAACTTCAACTTATTCACGTGGCCAGATCGTGGCTTGGCATTCTGTTCTCAGGGTTGTACTTAATGTTTCGAAATCATGACTAGCGGGGTAAGATCGGCAACATAAAGCCACATTAGAAGCAAAGGATAAAAATCAAACAGATGATAAATGAAAACATGTTTGCATTTGTTATTCATGTATATATGTCTTTGAACTTGCATTTCGTTGTAATAATATTAAATGGGTGTTGGATTTGTATTTCTTTGTTTTAATAGTGAATTCCAACTTATACATTGTTAATAACATAATTTTATATACGTGCCTATCTTGCCCCATTACTGTTGCCCCTATACCAGGGGCAACTTTAATAAAAATAATTAAAATAATTACAACTTTACAAAAAGAGAGAAGTTGCCGATCTTGCCCCTATACCCGGGGCAACTTCGTCAATTTCTCTCTTCTTGTAAAGTTGTAATTATTTTAATTATTTTTATTTCCAAACTGATTTTAACCAGTTCTATAGTAAGGTAACATTCCAATAGACAATATGCAAAGCTTTTTTTTCAGTTTACAGCAGTATTTATTACACAAAATTTAAGTAAAGCTTAACATGCCGATCTTGCCCCGGTCGCCCCTATATTTTTAATAAATTTTTTGTGGTTGTTTTTTTTAGAAACGTAACGGTGGATCAGAAATATTGTCATCTAGAAAAAGAACAGTTCTAGATTATAGGTAAGTCCAAAGTTTTGTGTCAAATTTCATTTCTCGAATGATAAATTATTTCGGAAACTGTGCAAGATGAAAATCACCATCTTCACCAACTCTTGAAACGTTAAAGGTGTCATTCTGCCGCTCTGGAAGACCCGAATTCGAGTTTAGGTCAGCAAATTCTGTAACTTTTTAGGAGAAATCTGTCCGAGATATATTAGGTCCTGTCCCTCTCAACTAGATTTTTTTTTTTTTTTTAAATTCTCCGCCTTGTGGATTTTAATGGGATCTTTTTAGCAACCCCATTATAGATTCGTCCATGCTCAATTATAATCTGATTTTGAAGGAAAAAATATAATATAATAGTCGGCGTTTCTCTAACTGGAGGAAAGAACATCTGATTGCTTTCTTCTTCGAGTACATTTTGTTCCGGAAACATAGAAGAAGCTGCTAGGATGACCGCTATTTGCATTTCTTTTTCATCCTGATTTTCGGGAACTGATTACTGATGTTAAACGGAAGGCACTTACGCTTACGTATCTTAAAATTTTTAGTCGTTAACTAAATTTTATTGAAGTTCTTATGTTACAGAACCACATTAAATTTTATTTGACTATATAAATTTCAGTATTTTCAATAGAAAATTTGAATACATTTAGCCTATATAGGCTTACTTTGTTTTGTACGTATGCGTTAACTGTTTTTTTAATGCATTAAATTTATAAGAATGAATCAAATCTATCTATAAAAAGAATTTATTCGTCAAAAATAGCAATTTCTCATTATTATGGGGAAGAATGCTCACATTTCATGTCACAAAATATTCTAATTGATACATATATTCACACTTATATATAGACAATAATATAATTATTGTTTTACAACTTAATTAAGTATACATTTAAATATTATTTTTGATGGAAACAAAGATATAACTTCACGTTTATCTATTAGGATTCACATTTAAGAAATGTTTTTCATGAAGACACTTAAGTAATGAAAGTTTAATAAAACGATGGGTGCCAATATTTAATATTATTTATAGAAGACATCATTAAGACAATAATATTTAATATTATATTGTCTTAATGGAATAAGTTTAATAAGAAGTGATNTATAAAATCTTTTTCCTACCAAATTTATTAATATAGCCACTTTTTATGTGGATTTTCTACATAGGCCTCTGGTATTAGATGTGGGTCGTGAAACATTTGAAATTTAGGTGGGTTGCGTTGGAAGTAGATTGATAGACACAACTATAATTTAAAATGATTTAGTTCTTTCTTATTAGGCTATAACAGTGTTATTTTCCTATTGAATTTTAAGTTTGATGTAATGACACTATTTGGTTTATAATTCAGGAAATTTGAATTGTTATCCAAATGGTGTTGTTAAGTTATATTAAATGTTAAATTTAATTGGTGTCAATTGATGGAAACTTAGTGTAAGTTTGATATAATAACATAATTTGATTTATATATGTGGAAATACGGATTTAATTTGTTTATATGTAGTATTTAACTTTAACTGAAAAAGTATTTGTTATGTCCTATCCATTTTGTTGAAATTTATATTTGTGTATTAAAAAATTATCTGAATAAATGAATAAACTCTATAACCTCCCTGCTTTATAATAGTAGCGCTAATTCATACGTTAAATTACTGTCACTGTAATGTTGGAGTGAATTCAGAAAATCGATAAGAATCATTTCGTTCTAATTCAAAAATATATTTTAATAATATCTGTGTCTTATTAACAATTTACTTTTTACAGAAAAAGTCTTATTATTATTTTATGATCCTGTGAAATATCGATAAGGTACGATATCAATAATCAAAATAGAAATGTATGAGTGCGTGTAGAAACTATAAATGAAAAAAAAAAGAAGCGCACCAATTGTTAGTAACCCATTAAAGCAATGAAGTGGCCAAAACTGCATTTTAGAGAAATTAGATCGATCATTTGAACTCTAGAATAAAACAATCATGACCTCAGTATTACTTCTCAAAAGTCATTCCATTTTACTTTGTTCTTAACGATGGACAGCAAATGGATCGACTTTATGATCCCAACGAGCATCTGTCACGATTCCTATCCATTGTCCTCTCATTTTGCGACCTTTACGCGTCTAAGTTCAGTGAACGAACTGATACGGTGCACATGTGAAAATTACTTTTAGAAACATTCCACTCGTGAAAAATTTAGATTAAATTTTATTTTTGGGCTCAAAGCGGGATTTAAATTCTGGTAAAAGTTAAAAATCTCAATTGCAAAAAAAAAAAAAAAAAAAAACGGAGAGATGCACCCCGAGGGGGAGACGTGATGAAAATACATTTTTCTTTTAAGCAGTTTTGTCTATTAAACGTTATTTTTTTATAAGCGATGTTAAATTAACTGTAACCTATATAAAATTAGATTTATGTTACATAGTTATATTATGATAGATATAAGTAAACGTTGCTGACCTTCTTCCCCTTATGCTAAACTTTGTAACGTGTCGTCTACTCATTATACTTTGAATGTTAATTAAACAATGAGAAATTACGAAAGAAGAATAAGATTCAAAGAGGTCAGGTACATTCTTTTCCGGAATTGAATGTTTACTGACTTCGAGCATCACATTATTATTTTACCATACAAAGTTACGTTACTAAGAATAACCTATTGACATTCAAACCTATTTTTGTTTGGTAAATTCTTTTTTGTTGGTTCCATGTTTACGATATCGTTTTATTCCGTAGTAAAATATATAAATATAGGTATTTATATATGCACGTATATAAAATTCAATAGAAAATCGAGGTCATCACTATATTTAAAATTGTTTAATTATGTTTTACTGCTTGTTCGGAATTTTATGGATACAACAGAGACGATCCAAGTTCGTCGCTTTCAAGTTCGAATCTATTTAAGGAGGTTTGTAAAGGTTATCTTTAAAGGTGATGTTGACTTATCCTATTTATCTTTCGGGATAAATAGATATTGTTTTTGTTACGAGTAATGACAGATTATTATTATTATTATTTCTTTTCTGGCAGTGGTTGAAGTTGAATTAAAAGTGAGAAAAATGCTACTCATTCTGAAGGAAAATGTGAGGGAAAAGATGAAATGGGCCACTGGGTTATCAAGACGTCCCCTTTTCACCTCTGATTATCACCTGGTCCTACTGCAGTCATTGAAAAATAAAACAAGAAAAGATCTCTAACACATACCCAGTTAGTTAGAACTGTTGACTGATACTATTGTTGAATTTTTTACGAATTCTACTTTTAAGTATCATATTTAATATAGGCCTACATCTGTAATTTTTCACGAAAAATGCCGTACCATCTTTCTATAGTTTATATGTGAAATCATCAAACTACCTGCAAAACACTGGTTTTATTAACATTTGTGTATTTGGAACTTAACAAGACTCAAATATTACTATAACTTTAAACCAGACATATATCCATGTTCTATGTTAATGTGATTTATCATCATCAATCTTACATTGAAAATGAGCTCGTCAAGACGAATTAAATAAATTTCCAAAGAATTGTCACCATCTCCCCTACCAATAAATTATTCATTTATATATTTTTAGTCTTCGAAATATTGCAAATTCCGAAAACGATAAAAGTATTTTAATGAACTTTTTCGCTCTCTAAAATATAACAATTAATATTATCGGCGACATTTTTAGAACAAGCAGATCCCTGGGCAATATAAAAATGAGGCCCTTCCATCCCTGGCTGCTCTTCCATGCTTAAAACATCTCCGAAAGTAGAGACTATATCCATAAGTTTTTGATACATTTTTTTCTATATATCAAAGTTATTCTAATGAATAACGGACATTTTATTAGACTATTTATAGAAAGTAAGAAATTGATAGAGATTAATTGATTTTATTCAATTTTTAACACTGGAATGTTGCAACCATTTCCATAAAGCTAATTAATCTATAATTCTTAAAATCATTTGTAAAGTTTGTTTCCATAGAGCTTTATTTGCTCTCTTCCATTAAGCCATATTGATAACTTTAAATACAAATCAGGAATCTCTTAAATTTATTAATATTTATTTTGTCATAATTTTAATCATGAAAATATCATAAAACACGAAAGAATTATTTTAGAACGATGTTAAAAACAATAAGATCCATATTCAAGGTTTACTACGACTTTAAGAACAGTTACTATGTCCTATATAATTACACATCATTAACATATCCACCGGGAAATTTGCTACTTATACTCGCACCTCACGAACCACTTTCACATTAAAAACGTGTAATTTACTTGGCTCATCCAGATTCTAACTATTGAAAACCCAGAGGCATTAAGGGACTTCAAAAAGTTCAATCCCCTAATTGCATTAACCTGGAATGTCATCCCTTAGTAAACCAACATAAAATGAATTTAATGTACTACAGTACATCAGGAGAAGAATAAGATTTCGAGTTAATTTAATAAAATACTCTACGTTCTAACGCGGATTCGATATCAATTATATGAGGATCACACAATAACAAATATTTACAGTAGAGATCATTGTTATCTATCGCAGTTGTAATTACAAAAACAGGATTTTCCTTATCGTGGCGAGTAATCGTAGTGGGGGGTGAAGTTGTGTCACGTGAACTTTAAGTAGGGTTTCCTGGGTCATTCATCTATACCTATGCCGTACGACGATACTGATATTCTCTAAAATAGATAATTGAGAAGGAAATCTTGTTATTGATGGATGAAGGAAGATTTCCTTCATCTGTCAATATAATTGTAAATAGGCTACAAACTCCACTTTTCCTATAATTAAGTGATGGATTCGTGGCTAGTTTATTTATAGGACCTATACGACTTGTGACAATAGCCCATAACCTAATGAATTTTTACATCTTTTTTAAAAAAATTCACTTTAGCTTCATTAATTCATTTATTGGATATTATAATGCTTACATAAAAATTGGTCTTTTGATTTCTGACCTGTTATTAACTTTAAATTTAGAAAATAGTTTAAAAATTTATTTCAAGCATAAACTTTACTTAAAATTTTATTTATTTAATAAACAGTAGTATATAAATTTTAAGGAAAACAAAAAACAATACATCCCTATGATTCAGATCATTGCAAATGACCCCAATTCATTAAAATACCATTTTATCCCAGGATAAAGTTTCAACTTCCTTTTTTAATATTTCCGTTTTAGATCCTGAAGACATCTTTTTTTTTCCTGTCTGATAAAAGGACACTTATTTCCATCGTTTATGAGAACATGTGTTATTTGAAATTTCCTAATAAAATTAATGTGCACAATATGATTAGATTAATACTCAGAAAGCTATTAAATAAATAATAAAATATAGATTTTTATTTATAAAAGTCTACATTTTATCAATGTCAATTTTTATAATTTGGAACAGTACAACTATCTTAACCATAAAATATTTTTTAATAGAATGTCTAGAAGGAAATTTAAGTTTTCTTTCACGCTAAGTTATTTGATTTTGTATACACAATATAATAATATCTTAGTGGCGGTTGTAGTTATTGCTACTAATAATTTGATTTTTCTTGATGGCTCCATTAAATTTTATTATATTAAAAATTATTGAAAACAATCAAGAATAATTTTCAGAATTTATTAGTAGTACGACTAAATTTTAAAACTGAATTTAGTTGGTGCCAATATATTCATAATTAAATTTCTTTGAACAGAATATATTTTTCATCTGAACTATGTAAATATTTATGGGTTGATGTAAGATGTATATTTACAGAAAATTAAATAAAAATAGTAAACTTTATCATAGAAAGGAATGAATTCTGTTACAGGATGGATTAGGAAGACATAAAAAATAATAAAAATTGGTTGAATAGTGAAATAAACACACACACCAACAAGATTAAAAGTAAAAACAATTACTAGAATGACAAGATAAAATTGTAATTCTACATGTAGAAAATAGCATATCTCATTGAATATGCTGTTCTATCCATGTAAAATGATGCAGAATAACTTACACAGCTTATGTAACACATTTTTAGAAATGTCATTTAAAAACAGGCAGAATTGACAATCTGTAAACAAAGTTGACAAATTATCAAAATGTACACTGCTTCTAAGATTATTCATCATGTTGCAAATACAAAGGACATAAAATATCTTTTTTTTCTTACATTAAGAAAAAATTGAGATCTATGCCATCTTGATAGATCAATTTATTATTGAGTCTGATCTGAGCTAGGAATATTTTAAATCTGTATGGGATATGGGCAAAAGATGAATTGTTCTTGCCAATAAAGTCTAATAAAATATCATATCAAATGTGCTAGATAGAAAGTTGTTTTCTTTAAAGATTAATTGCAATTGAGATTAGAAGCAATTGAGTTATTAATCATGATATTAAAAACACATAACTTTCTGAGAAAAACATTAGAAAGATAAAAGAAACAAGTAAAAAATTATTATGTAACTTTGAAGTTTTCCTAATTTGTTTGTTTTATTTATTTCATGTATATGTTTCTACTTTATACAAATTTAATGTTAAATAATATTTAACTCATTAAAATAACTTTATTCTAAATTTTATTATAAAAACATTTTCATTGACATTTACTTTAGCTACAGCCATCTCTTTTTTTATAGAATGTTTCTATCACTTCTGGATATGAAGTATAAGGTCTTAAATCTCTATATTTTCCTAAACGATTTCTTTCTTTCCAAATCTCTGAACGCATCCAAGAAGGTGTGTTTGGTGGATTTTTATAGATATTGGGATACTTGGGTGGTGGTGGTTCTTCTTCAAATGGCATTAACCCTTTAAGTCTCTTCAAAATAACTTCTTTCCTAATGTCTTTTGGATCACGATAACGGTCTAAATATCTAAATTTTAGAAAATTTATGAAAATTATTAACTGATATTAGAAAACATGAAACAATCAAAGGATTTATTCTCAAAAATATAACAATGAAAAAATACATGGAAATAAAAAAACTTATTTAATATTTAAAATCAATATTTAACCAAAAAATTGATGTTTTATTCAATAATAAAGTTAATACAGTAGAGTCTCGAAAACTCGGCACTCGATAACCCGGCAGTCCAGATAACTCGGCCACACCTTGGCAGGGCAAAAAAATCCTTAGTTAATTAATTTTCATTATAGACAGCTTTATGCCTCATAAAGTAATTTTCTGAGGTCTGTCTTATCAGGTAAATTACTGTACACAGTGTATTCATTAATTTTCATTTTCATGTAGTAAAGGCTCTATGCCTTCATAAAGGACGTACTTTTGCTTTGTTTAAGGGTATTTGGGCAGTTTATTCTCTGTTGTATTCTCAAGTAAATAATACATACAAGTACAGTACAGTATTTTCTGAGGAAACACTCATACTTATTTTTTTAACCCCATTCCCGATAACCCGGCATTTTCACAAACTTGGCCACCCTTCGGTCTACATTACGCCAAGTTTTCGAGACTCTACTGTAACATTATTAGATTTTAAAAGTAAAGATTTAGACATGAGAAATTTGCAAGTATAGGATCTCTGAGGCAAGACATCTTTCATATTTCAGGATGTACTCAGTCTATCTAAATCTTTATTTTTGAAAGAAATGGTAATTTTTTATCAGATAATATTTATATTAAAAAAAATCAATGATTGCAAAAACTTTTTCAAAAATTATATTGTTACTAATTAATTAATTTCAAATGATTGATACAGGTAACCCCCGTATAACACGGGAGTTACGTTCCAAAAAATTGCCGTGTTATGCGAATCTGTGTTATACAAAACAAAGAACTAGTGCAAAAAGGGGGGGTTAGGTTCCAAAAGTTAAAAAACATTCTGTTAAATCCTCATTTAAATTGGATTTATTATTCATTTTTTCATAGGTAAAATATTTATTTATTTAAATATTTATTTAAAATATTTACTTAAATAGTAAATATTTTACCAGAGGATTATTCATCCTATATGATGATCTCAGCATGAGCATCATCAACTGGTAACAGTTTGTGGGTGCGTTTGTTAATAGTGGTCGCTCTGCAACAGGAATGTGCTGCTGTTTGTAGCCATTTAGGAATGATGGTGAAAGAAAGATGGCGGCACCCGCACTATCGATAGTATCGTGATGGAGGTATCTATAATTCTAAAATGAGCTTTTAGAAGCAAAAGAAAAGTCCCAATTGTAAAATATAACCATTAAATGGATTATTTGTTGAAAGAGCATTCAAAGTAACCGCGAAAACAATTAGAATGCTTGTGCGGAGGTATAAAAGAACGCACCCTTTATTACATTTCATGTTGTACGAGGGTTTTACCCAATTCCCGAACCGTGTTACAGTGAACCCGTGCTACAAAAGCACCGTGTTATACGGGGGATGTTCCCAATTCTCGAACCGTGTTAGAGTGAATCTGTGCTATAGAAGTGCCGTGCTATACGGGGGTTACCTGTAATTTAGATATGCCTAGAAAAAGCCATCATGTGTGGCATTAAAACTCAACATTCTACAACTGATGATATTCTAAAGATGTAATTTGATAATATATCTACCTGATTCAGAGAAACTACAAGTTAGAGTCCTATTTAAGTTATAATCTTAATGTTAATGTTTTCTAGATATTTCTAAATTATTAATCATTGAAGGATAGACTTGTTTATCTAAATCAGTGGTTCTTAACCTTTTCTTTATCTAACCTTAACAAAACATAATTATACATTTAAACTGGCAGTCCCAGAGAAAAGTAAGAACTGTTGAGTGATTTAAATAATAAATTCCCATAACTTTTTATTTTATTAACAGTTTTTAAAGTTCAATAAAAATAAATAATCTTTATTCTTGTCTGTTTCACATAATTCAGTAATATTAATTATATTATAAAAATCCTATTTCTAACTTATTTTAACCAATATTTCATATAAATAATTGACCAAATATTGTATACTTAAAAATATTTCTCATTAATAAATGTTTTTGTCATTTCTGATAGAATAAAAAATTCATATAACTAGATCAAATCACTTTTTCTCACTGTTAATAAAATCAAACTATGTAACATTTTCCAAATCAATAACAATACTGCTATGTAAATATTGTATATTTTTAATCGTAAATTCATTTTCTGAAAATTATGCAAAACTAATTTTTGATGTATTCTTCTAGTTTTTAATTTACTCCATTTCTCCAGTATTACACTACAAGCACATTATCCAATTCATATCAGGTTTTGCACTTTTTTTAAAAATCAATTTCACTTCATTTCTATAAATCTTGTAATTTTTTCTTCCAAATAAATTTTCACATGCCAAATATTCTTAATCGTTTGCAACTTAATTTTCCTGTATGGTTTTCAAACCATTACTATAATGTTTAGGAGCATTTATAGTCAGCGGCGGCCTTATCCATTGTGAGGCTCTGGGCGGCAGAGCTTTGCGAGGTCCTTGTCCTTTGTGCAAAGTATGTGAATTGAAATAGTAGGCACTTATTGATATTAATATATACTGTACTATAAATTAAATTTATTTTATTGTTATAACTAATAGTCAAGGATAAAATAAAAAGTTTTAAATATCAACTTTTTTCTACTTGGTTGTTGCGCGAGGCCCCTCCAAGAGCAAGGCCCTGGGCGATTGCCCTGCTCGCCACCCCGTAAGGCCGCCACTGTTTATAGTATCTACTATGGTTTTTATTGTGTGTAAACCAGGCCTGGCCAACCAGCAGCCTGCATGCGGCCCTTCACGTTAAGTTTTGTGGCCCGCTAAGCGATATTATATATCTATTAAAACTTTTGTTTCCCGTTATGTGTATACCAAAATAATTAAATAAATGAAAATTTGCGTATGTCATTGTTATAATGTGCAAGTGTGAGTACGAACTCTTGGTATAACAATAAAATCTTATTCATTTTGTATTTGTTTTACTTTTTTAAAAGCATGTTTGTCTAAATTGTGGCCCATCATAATGTTACGCGTGATCAAAGTGGCCCGCGAAACAATTTGGGTTGACCAGGCCTGGTGTAAACATAAGATAAAAATACCTGTAATTATTTAATTATAATCTAATCTTAATTTTAGTTGCTTGTTGATTAATAAAATATAGAATTTTGTCAATTTTTAAGAAACATATTAGATATAGTTACTGACTACAGTGACAATCATAATACAGGAAGGATAATTTATTGGCTTACTAATTTAAAAAATATTAATAATAAATACATATATGGAAATGCAAAGAAATAAATGAACAAAACAAACTTTCAGTAAATTGTTCAATGTAACTTTCAGTTTAGTTACAATGTTATAAAAATTGAGAACTCTTACTATTTGGTAATGAGTTAAAATTTAATTAGTATTCAATTGCTTATGAAAAGTCACATCTATATCAATTACTGCTGCTTTTTCTATTCATTTATCTTTCTTATAATTCCTTATTTATCAACTGTAAACACTTTAAACTCAAATAAATATATATTTAAAAGTAAATATTTGATAAAAAAGGCAGTTTCTCATTTTTTGGGACAATCAGATAATAAAGAACAACTTAAAACAAGTAAACAGTAGTAACAGTTTTTTTAATTTAAATAATGTTTAATAAATTAAACATTTCAATTAAATAAGATATAATGTTAATTAAATAAATTCTAAATTAAATAAAAATGTTTTAACAGTTATTTAGACAGTTAATTTAGACTTTGCTCTAAATCTAAGATAATATGTTTAATAATCAAATATCATATATAAGTAATTTTTCAATACATTTACAAATATATATCATACAGACATAAAAATAAATAATTTTTATGATATCAGTTTATAGCAATAATTTTCTGAGATAAATCTGATATTTATTTTTTCTTTATATGAGAAAATATCATATTAGAATTTTAACTTTTCCATAGAATACACAAAAGATAAAATTTTTGTATTCAATGTAGAGCCCAAAAAAAAATAAAATAAAATAAACAGAATAAAATATAATAATTAAACAGTGAAATCAATAATTAAAAAAAGTATATACAGAGTGGGTATAAGTTATTGAGCACATTTCAGGGAGGAATAAAAAAAATAATACAGTAAAGTATTCACATGCATGCTGTTTTATTTAATAGGCCATTAAATAAAATATTTTACACTTTAAATAAATTTCAGATGTGCTCCATATGTAGCATATAAAATATTCAGTTGGCATTCAATTTCACACCATGTGTTACAGAGCATTTCAGCAGTTATTCCTCCACTGACTTCATCAATTTGTCTTTTCAGTTCTTCAATGTTGCAAACCTTTGTTGTGTACACCCTGTCTTTGACAAACCCCAAAGAAAGAAATCCAATGGTGTAGTGTTGAAGAATCTAAGTGGCCAGGAAATTGGTCATCAGCAGCCAATCCAACATTCAGAAAATTTTTCCTATAGGTAATCCTGAATAATTCAACCCTAGTATAGAGATGCCCCATCTTGATAGAAGTAAATGTTCAGTTGTCAGTATTCAATTTGTGGTATCACGTACATAACTCTACAACATATCAAAGTATATAATGCTAGTCACTGTATACTTGGAAAAGAAGGTTCCCTAATTTTCCATCACAGTGCCACCTATATTCAGTCAAGGTCAGCACAGACAGCTACTCTATCATCTGAAACAAAACAGAAGTCACTATGTTTATGTTTGTATATTATGTTTTTATTCCTTCCTAAAATGCACTCAATAATTTATAACCACCCTGTATATATATACAGGACTGTTTTGCTTCAGATGATATATATATATATATATATATACATATACATTTAATGCTTTATATATTCATATCTCAATTCACCCTGTCCATTCAGTAACATTCACTCTGTTCATCAGAATACATCTTCTGATTGAATACTG